GATCGTTCATTGATTTTCACGATAAGGACGCAATAATGGGTAATGGCTCCCCCTTTTGTGTAACTTCCATCCACAGTAGTAACTCAGAATGGTTTCGTCAGTTTGTGCGTTCTGATTCTGTGGAGTTTGACAAAGTCCTCAGAGATAAATGTTCTGGCGGCACCAGAGTCAACAACAGCTGTTGTTTTGATGGTTTTCAGACAAGTTTTAGAGATGAGAGAAATAGGAACATGAAGTTCCTTTCTGATTCCAATACTTTGTACAAGTCTGATAGGTACATCGGAAGATACTGACATCAATCCAGTCTTCCACATCAAAAATCCTTGGTGAGGCGACGGATCGTTGTATCTTCATCTTCTTTGTTGCTATCCTCTATTTCCTCATGATGGACTGGAGTTTTCTTTTTCTGTGGGCATGCTCTAGTCATGTGTCCCTTCTGGTGACATGTGAAACACAATCCTTTCTTCATATGGTCGCTTCTTTCAGCTTCAGTTAGCTGGTCTACCTCCATGGCATTTAGATCATGCCAATCAATAGAGGGTCTAGGGATGTATCGTTGTCCAGTTGGCTTAGTGGTGGCGCAATTGTTTTGACGGAACACAGCACCTCTCTGCCAATTGCTATTGAGCCTGATGGCTGTGGTGATGTATTTGTCAAAGTCTGTGGGGATGGTCTCCATCTGATAGATAGAGTTGCCAATCCCTTTCTTGAGTCTGTCATTGAAGAGCATGATCAAGACAGCATCTTGCTTTACAGAGGCTTGTGCAGCAAGGGTCTTGAAGCTGGTGATGTAAGAGGTAAGGTCGCCTGTCTGTTTCAAAGTGTGGAGCTTATTCATGGCTGTGCCGACAGCATCAGCCAGTACAAAGGCTTCTTTGAACTTTGTTTCAAAGTTTGCAAAAGTCCTGTAAGACTTGGAGGTGGAGTTATCAACTTTGGTGTAGAAGGTGAGTGCCCAACCCATAGCGCTGTCTTTGGTCATATACATGAGGGTGGTGATAACTTTCTTTTTGTTGGTGTTGTAGATTGTAGTGTTAAGAGCAAAATATGCCTTAATGGAAAACAGCTATCTTGAAGCCTGCTGAGGGCTCCCATTGTAATTCATGGGAGCTCCAGCTTTGAGTTCTGGGGTGTTTATGGTGGACATCCTGATCATTCTGGTCTAGTGATGTTTCTGATTTGCAGGGGATGTTTCATCTCTCTCTGCCTGGTTCTGTTTCTGGGATTTGGGACCTCTCTGATGGAGGGGGTTGTTGGGTTACTTTAATCTTTTGTTATGGACTAGGATGGTCGTAACAACAGCAGCTCAATAAGAGCAATGGCTGAAGTTATAGTCAAGACCTTGCAAATGCAAGGGTCATAAGACAAGGCAAAGAGAGTGTCTTTGACTTGAATATCAGTTTAGATGGCTTAGGATTGGAGGTCCTAAGCAAAGATGTTTCAGGTGAAAATCTAGTAAGATTAAAGTGAAGAACTACTAAGTACATCATTGACTATATATATAGGGAACCGTAGATGATTCAGGGCAGGCATGAGTCAACCAATGAGTCAGAGATAAGAGATGAGTCATCTAGTGATAGCAGCGGCGATCATGATGTAATACAAATGAGTCAAAGATAAGTCTAGCAGCAGCAATGTGCAGCTCATGACGTAATACAAGAATGATAAGGAGAAAATGAATAGGGGCATACATGACTGTAACATAGTGACTCGCTGATTAGAACGAAGTCGAGCCACTGAATTAAGTAACACTCCCGTGATGGCTAAGGCTTCATGGTAGAATATTGTTCCAGTCAGTGCTGACCCAGGTAAGGGTGACTGAAAACCTATATTGAGAGAAGGGAACCAATACACCAAGCCAACACCTGACACATCAGTATAAACTCTCAACACATCAGCCAGAAGATGAGTGAAGTTCCAGGAGACGGATTTGAAGAAGACGCCTTCAGTGGAATGGAGGTGATTAATGACCCATGTTAGTTCCCGAACAACATCCTGGTGTGACAGTCAAGTTTTCCTTGGGCTTAGATTTACTTACTTTCATTACCTTTACCTACCCTCACTTTCTTTAGCTTATGTTCGCATTTTTGCAGCTTATATAAGCATGACCTCTTACCTTCACTCTTTACCTGTAGTCTGAGACTAGCACTTTTATGATGATTTCTCTCCTCTCTGAGCTCTGGGTCTAGTACAGAAACCCTTGTGGGTCGAATAGCAGCTAGGTACAGCACTTAAGACCCAACATATTGGCTAGGTACTTTACCAAGTATCTAGCCAAGTTGTGTTACTCACACTGGTTAACCCAGATAAGAGCTTTAGAGACTAGTTTGCCAGGGGTCTTAGCATAAAGAGCTAATAGTCCAGGCCTAAGCAGTGGATAGACATTGAGAGCCCAGTTAAGCCAGCCAGCTAAACACTGAAAATCATGAAGAGACCTTCATGACCCTCATTGTGCAAAATCAATCAACTCCTGAATAAGGCAAGTATGAGAGTCAACCAACATGCAGGTGTGCATTAAGTTAGGGTCAACATCAAACCCGATAATAGGAAGTTCAAGGCTGAAGATTTGTTTCCACTCTTCATGCAGCAGTCCAATTGCATCCCAGAGTCAAAGAAGCTTGACAAGATTTGAAGGAAGGAGTTTTTTGTAGGGAGCATAGAGCTCAAGACTGCATTTATCTTCAAACGAGAAAGAGTCATCAACATAAATGTACAAGAAATGGATAAGAATCTTGAAAATCGCGATCCAGATGATGAGAGACATGAATGCGTGATAGATCCACTGAGAAGCTCTTCCTCCAAAAACATTTCTTCAGTCAACATATCAACGCCCTTGAAAACTCACAATTTGCTTTACCTACCACAGAGGGTGCATAGGCATATGCTGATAAGCTTCTGACATGTCTGCCTTCCAAAGGTTGAGTTTAGCATGAGGTCTCCGGTGCCTAAACACCCATAGACCATTAGCTAAATCATGCACATTATCCAGAGTGATGCCAGCAATGTCATCATGCGAGATCATGGCATTCAGGGAATGTTTCCCAGCACTATGATCGGTAACCAGTCAATGCTTGTTAGTTCCTGGTTTAGGTACAGTGTGGATAGGCATGCTGTACATGCCAGGAAGCAGATCTGGTCCAAATGCCTGAGAATAATGCCCTACTTCAACTTCCTTCTTGATTTGTGCATGTAGAAACTCTTTCTTGGCCTCAGTCTTGGGAGGCTGATCAGAGTTATCATAGATGAGAGGCCATTCCTCAGGATGAGAATTGGCAAAGGGCCAAAAACCTTCCCTAAGTCCAGCGCAAACCAAACAAACAAAGGGTTGATCTGGATGGTCCGAAAGTAGAGATTTGAAGATGTTGACTTTGATAGGCATAGAGACTTCAAACAAAGAGGGATGTTGCTGAATAGTATCAAGCGCTCCATGGTTCAAAAATTCGTGTTCAGGTGGCCTAGGCATAGGAACTGCAGTCTCTGTCCAGAGTGCAGTTCAGCTACAGCTGGAGATTCCTCTTCCCCATACTCCTTTGCGCTGAAATCTTTGTCCTTGTGCGATACTCTCATTTAGCCCCTCCTTTATTTGGACATTCCAATTTTCAATGGGGGCCACAATACCCTCTCCGATCACAGCAGTGCAAGAACCTGCATTCACCATCTGGTTTCTGGCAGGTTCCTCTATTCCATTTATGACAGGGATCATCCCTTCTTCCATATCCATCTCTCTGATTCAATCTTCCCCCAGAACTAGATGTGGATGAGGTGGAATTGGCACCAATGCCAAAGGAGGTGAGGAAGGTCATTCTGAGGTGCTCAAATTGGGGATAATCAGTGAGGCATAGGTTTCTTTGCATGGCCACTTGGTTTCTAACAGATCAGTCAAATTCAATGATGCGTGAGTGGAGGCAGATTTCCATGGCATGGAAGAGTCAACTAAGGTAGGTGTTATATTGCATAAATTCATCTCTTCACTGAGGGAAGACAAAGGATATTGCTTCAATGTACATGGAGAAGGTGATATTATGGTTGGAGGACATTTTGATTCCTGTTGAAGACTTTGAGACTCGCAAGGCAAGCTCAATCTCATCATCAATGACATGGGTCTTTTTGGGATCCAGCTTGGTGTGATGATCATATTCCTGCTAGGCTTGCAATGGCCATCTTTTGATATAGGTGATGGAAAGCTACAAAACCATTGACCGCTTTTCCTGCACTCAACCCACTCTGGATGCGTATTCCCACGCTCTGCGGACCTGCACATTCACTCCCATGCTGCGTGCATACCTGTGGTCGATTTCCCACGCCTTTGGACTACCTTACAGATGTCCCATGTCAGTCCATTGTCCATCCTACCTCATTGGTACATATTTTGCCTTGCCTCGTGTGTTGTAACAAGTGTTGCAGTCTTATTACATGTCTTTACATATTCCTACTGCCTGTCTGTCCTGTCCCTTCTGTTTCCGAGAGGGTTTAGCTAGTATAAAGTGCCTAGAGTGACTACTTCATATTTACTTTCCTTCTACAGTATTTCCTTCCCTTAGGTTTTACTGAGGAGCAGTCACCATTAGTGTGCGCTTTTAGCCCCTATTGGTTACCTTATACCTGGACACCTTGTCTTGACTTTCCTTACCCATGCAATCAATACCCTTGCCCTCACTTGTTACCCGCACCATTCCTTAAGACTTCCCTACCCCTTACCCTAGCATCTTGCACTTCCGCATCAACCACTCATTGACCACACTTCCACATTCCCGTGCTCTACATACCCGTGCACTTGTTCCTGTGCTCTGCGCACTTTCAGGTCTTTAGTATCATCAGCCGTTCTCAGTAGCAATTCCCTTTAGGGTCAAACATTCTTGCTTGCAAGTGTAGCAGCTAGGCAGAGCATTGACCTACAACAATATTTTTGGTTAGGCACTTTAACAAGTGTCTAGCCATTGTTGTGTTTGCACATCAGTTGTGTGAGCTGAGTTGAGGACCTTAGTGAGGTCGACATATTTCTATCGGACAACATTGAGCCATTCACTAGGTGGGAAGGGTGGACACCCTGGAGTGGATAGGATGTCATTAATGACACTCTTTGGGTCAGCAGCGAAGTTTTTGAGTTGCTGATAGGTTTCTCTGATATCTGGAGGTAAAGAGGCAAGTGCTGTTGACCGTCTTTGTGTCCAGGGAAATTTACTGGAATCAACAGTTTTGGCTCACTTTGAACTGGGCTCATCTTCATCCTCTGAATCAGTGACAACTCTTGGCTGCTTTTGCCCTGCTTCTGTTTCTTCAGGGTTGTTGTTTCCCCTATCCTCTCTATTAGCTTCCTCTTCCTCAAAGGTCCTGCTACTTCAACATCCTCTTTCCAAAGCTTGTGCTTTTGAGGCATCGATACTGTCGAGCATTCCAATGAAGACATCAAGGGCTTCATTAATGTTTCTTCCGCTCCTAACAGTGGGAGACTGGAGAAGACTCTCTTGGATGTCAAGTATGGTGATGGCTTTCCCATTGTGTCTGAGCTGATACTGATTAATGAGCTCATTGCACTGTTCAATACAGTTGAGATCAGTTGAATGCTCTGTAGTTTGTCACTCTGTAGTTTGTTCCATTGAGGTAGTGGTTTGAGACGTTTCTCCATTGTCAGACATGAAGAAGAATTCTGATGATAATGAAGTTATGATACTGCTCAAAACAACTAGCTAGTGAAGTGATGGGAAAGGTTAGAAAGAGGACAAACCAATTCTAACCTGAGTCGCTCACTAAGCAAGCTCTACTCCACTATAGGAGTAACTGAGAATGAAACAGGGATTAACAACTCCCCAACACATGAAAACACACTGATCGCAGCTGCCAACGACCAGCTCATATCCATCAGGAAATCAACCCTAACTTGATATGACCAGATATAATTGGTAAAATCAAATCAAAAATACACTAAATTATATAAGATTATATATGTTACAGTCGCATATGCCCCTATTTCATTTTCCTCCTTACTATCCTTGTATTACATCACGACTGCTGCTGCCGTCGCTAGATGATCTATTTTTGCTATCACTTACATGTCCTTTATCTCTGACTCATATCCATTCCAATGTCTGCCCTAAAGCACTTGTAGTTCACTATAAATAGTTCTTTTGTATGCTTTAGTTCTGCACTTTAATCTTACTAGGTTTTCACCTGAACATTCTCTCACTTAGGACTTCCAATCCTAAGTCATCTGAACCAATATTCAAGTCAAAGACACTCTCTTTAACTTGTCTTACAACCCTTGTGTTTGCAAGGTCTTAACTATAACTTCAGCTGTCGCTCTTATTGAGCTGCTGTTGTTACGACCATCCTAGTTTGTAACAAAAGATTAAAGTGCCACACTGACCCTCTCCATCAGGGAGGTCCCAGAAACCAGACACCAGAACCAGACAGAGAGAGACATAATGTCCCCTGTAATCAGAAACATCACCAGACCAGAAGATCAGGATGTCGACTATCAATACCACAGAACTTAAAGCTGGAACTCCAACGATGTATGACAGAAGCCCTCAGCGGGCTTTATGATGGTTGTTTGCAATCAAGGCATACTTTGCTCTTAATGCTACAGTCTATAACACCAATGAAAAGAAAGTCATCACTGCTCTTGCTTATATGACCGAAGATAGTGCTATGGGTTGGGCACTCACCTTTTACACCAAGGTCAACAACTCCACCTCCAAATCCTATGGAACCTTCACGAACTTTGAAACAAAGTTCAAAGAAGCCTTTGCACTGGCTGATGCTGTTGGCACAGCCATGAATAAGCTCCATACCCTGAAGCAGACAGGTGATCTCACTTCCTACATTGCCAGCTTCAAGACCCTTGCTGCGCAAGCCTCTGTAAAGCAAGACACTGTCTTGATCATGTTCTTCAATGATGGGCTCAAGAAAGGGATTGGTAATGCCATTTACCAAATGGAAACCGTTCCTATAGATTTCAACAAATATGTCGCTGCAGCCATTAGGCTCAATAGTAATTGGCAAAGAGGTGCCATGTTCCATCAGAACAACCACACCACTACCAAGCCAAACAGACAGCGATACATACCCCAACCCTCCATTGACTGGCATGACCCAAATGCCATGGAGGTAGATCAACTCACTGAAGCTGAAAGGAGCAATCATATGAAGAAGGGATTATGCTTCACATGTTACCAGAAAGGACACATGACCAGAGCGTGTCCTCAGAAGAAGAATGGAAAAACCCCCATTCGTCATGAAGAAATAGAGGATAGTGACAAAGAGGATGAAGATACAATGATCCACCACCTTGCTGAGGATTTTTAATGTGGAAGACTGGATCAACGTCAGTATCTTCCAATGTACCTATCAGACTTATATGAAGTATTGGAATCAGAAAGGAACTTTGCATTCCCATTTCCCTTATCTCTAAAACTCATCTGAAAACCATTGAGACAACAGCCATTGTCAACTCTGGCACTGCCAGAACCTTTATCTCTGAGGACTTTGTCAAGCTCCACAGGATCAGAACACATAAACTCATAAAACCATTTTGGGTCACCACCACAGATGGAAGCTATGTGAAAGGAGGCACTATCATGTGCTATTGCATCCTCATTGTTAAAATTGATGAATGATCCATGATCGGAAAATTTAATATCACACAACTAGGTCGCCATGATCAAATTTTACTTGGGATCCCTTGGCTGCACATCATGGACCCAATGATCTGATGGAAAACAGAAACCCTGGAACTCCCTCATACCGAGAAGAGCGATTTGATTGAAGAAGATGTTGATATAGAGCAAAAGAAGAATGGTCTCCCACCTCTCTTTCAGAAACCCATTAGCAAGACATGGGAAGATTCCCATCTTAAGAAAGAACCAACTCCAGTTGTAGTGCTGCCAAAGGCACCTCCTGTGAAAATTGAACTGCTCCCCTGAGCTACCATCAAAGAGATCCCTGATGAAGAAGAACCCCTGGTATTGCCCAACCTTGACCCCATCCCTGATGACGATGATGATTCCTTTGATACAAAGGATGACATATGGACCCAAGATTATGCACCTCCTGTTCAGGAACTCACGACTTACCACCTTGATGATGATGAATACTTAGTCGAATACCCTGTCGATACCACTGAGCTCTGGGTCTTCACTAATATCTCCATGGACACCCCATTAACCAAGGATGGTACTAGCATTGCAGAACGGGAACCAACGATTACACCCCTGTCATGGCCTATGGAATATGTCAAAACCAGTAACAAGGCTCAGCAGTTTGCTTTAGCAGCTGGGCTTGAACAGAAAAAAAAATCATTCAAAGAACTCGTCCCTTCCTATCTCCACGATTTCGCTGACATCTTCACTAAAGACAGTCTTAACCAGTTACCACCAGAACAACCCAGCATTGACCATCATATAGCAACTAAACCCAGTTTTACTCCTAAAACATCAAAGGTGTACCCGTTATCAGAAGCAGAGTGCACTGCTGTCAAAGCTTTTATTGAAGAAAACGTCAAGAAAGGTTTTATCTCAGAATCAAAGTCGCCACAAGCAAGCGGCTTCTTCTTTGTAGGAAAAAAAGCAGAGATCTTCATCCATGCCAGGACTATTGATACATCAATGATTGGACAGTCAAAAACGCTTACCCTCTCCCATTACCACTCTCGCTGGTCGCTTGGTTGCATGGTGCAAAATACTTCACGAAAATGGACATTCGTTCCGGTTATAACAATATCCGGATTCATCCCGATGATCGTTGGAAAGCTGCCTTCACCACTGAATATGGACTGTTTGAACCAAACATCATGTTCTTTGGCCTCTGTAATTCCCCCACCATGTTCCAAGCATATATGAACTGAACCTTCCAACAGGAAATCAATGAAGGATGGCTTGTCATTTATATGGATGATATTCTGATCTTTTCCAATGACCTTGCTTCCCATCATGATCGCACCCAACGCATCCTTGAAAGAATTCACAAAGAAAAGCTATTCCTGAAACCGGAGAAATGCACATTTGACATGCAAGAAGTGGAATACTTGGGTATGATCATACACCTGGGTTGTGTTGTGATGGATGTCACCAAGACTGACGGTATTTGCGATTGGCCTATCCCCATGACGGTAAAAGAAGTCCAGTCGTTTCTTGGGTTTTGCAACTTCTATCAAAACTTCGTCCCTCATTACTCTGACATTGCTAGACCCCTGATTGACCTCACTAAAAAAGAAAATGTATTCCTGTGGTCAGATCAATGTGCTTCTGCATTTTCCACACTGAAAGAATGCTTTTTGAAGCAACCCGTCCTCCAGAACCCAGACCCAAGCCATCAATTCACCATTGCCACCGATGCTTCGCTCGTTGCTACTGGCGCAGTATTACTGCAGACTGATGAAAATGGAGTGTACCACCCATGTGGGTACCTGTCACAGACATTGAACCCTGCAGAATGCAACTATCAGATATTTGATTGTGAACTCCTGGCCATTATCCATGCCCTGACCGAATGGCGTCACTATCTAGAAGGAAACCCACACCCTGTCCTCATCTTCACTGATCATAAAAACCTATTGTACTTCCATTCAGCTCAGAAGCTAACTCGCCAGCAAGCCCATTGGCAATTGATCCTGTCCTGCTACGACATTGAGCTTCACCATGTCACTGGATCCAAGCTTGCTGCCTCTGATGCCCTCTCCCGCCATCCTGATCATGGTATCAATTCTGATAAAGATAACACTAACATCACCCTTCTTCCTGACTCCATGTTTGTCCACCTTCTTGATATAGAACTTATGACTTCCCTTGCCAACCCTGACCCCTCTGACCCTGACCCCATCTTCCAAGCCACCTCCAATGCCCTAGAGGGCCTGTCTCTCCCTCCAATGAAATCCGCACTTGCTGACTGGACGATAAAGGATGATATCCTCTATTATAAAAATTGTGCCTATGTCTGTCCTGCCGGTTGACATCTTATTCTAGAATGTTGTCATGACCATGCCACCGCCGGTCACCCCAGTCGTTTTAAGACAGAAGAACTGGTCAAACGGGACTTTTGGTGGCCCTCTATGGGCACCTACATCCATAAATATGTTAAGGGTTGTGCCCTTTGTCAGCAAATGAAGTCTGATACCCACCCCACGACACCACCTCTTACCCCAATTCCCTCTGCCGCCACTGCACCATTCACCCAGGTCTCAGTTGACCTTATCACTGACCTCCCTCCATGTGCTGGTTTTGATTCTGTTATGGTCATGGTAGACCATGGCCTTACAAAGGGGGTAATTCTGGTCCCTTGCATGAAAACCATCACTTCCAAAGGTGTCGCCAAGAAATTTTTCAAATACATCTATCATTGATTCGGACTACACAAAAAAGTCATTTCAGATCATGGACTGCAATTTGTATCAAAATTCTCAAAAGCCCTCACCAAGCTTTTGAAATACAATATAGCCGCATCAACCGCTTATCATCCCCAGACTGATGGTCAGACTGAATGCCTTAATCAAGAACTTGAAACCTACAGTACCTCTGTATCTACTGCTGTAATCACCCAGAAGATTGGGTAGAACATCTCCTAATGGCAGAATTTGTTCATAACCATCGGAAACACGACTCCCATAATGCCTCACCGTTCTTCCTGATGGTGGGATACGAACCAAGGGCCCTCCCTCACATACTTCCCGACTCTACCATCCCCACCACAGAAGATAGACTTCACTCACTTCAGAAATCTAGGGAAGAGGCACTATCCTGTCATAACCTCGCTATGCAATGAATGGCAGAACGAACTCATGGACAGAAATACCATCCATAGGAGATAAGGTTTGGTTATCAGGAAAGAATTTGATCACACAGCTACCATCATGGAAACTCACACCAAAACGATATGGCCCCTTTTCCATCACCACTGTACTATCCCCCATCACTTTCACACTCCAGTTACCACCACAGTGGAAGGTTCACCCCACATTCCATGCTACTGAGCTATCATCCTATCACGAGACAGAAGTCCACAGCCCAAACTTCCATGATCCTCCCCTAGATGTCATTGATAATGAAGAAGAATATGAAATTGATGTGATCTTATCACACAAAGGTACAGGTAAACGAAGATGCTATCTAGTATCTTGGAAAGGATACTCCTCTGCTAGTAACAAATGGATCCCAGAAGAGAACCTCAACAACACTGCTGACGTCCTCTCTGCATATAAAAAGACCCATCAATTGTAACCTCAGAACAATGTCTCTTGAATGCTTACACCTCTGCATACAATGCATTGAAGAACTCACTGCTGCTATGGACACTGTATCCGAAAACAGTCACTCACCCATTATCCCTCACTGATTACCAAACTGCCACCATTGCTAACCTCACTGCTGCTGAGAATACCACTCCCATCATCAGCATCTCCACCCCTATCCAATACTACTCTCTCCAATGACTCCAGTCTCTCCAACTACTTCATGATTCTTGATGAAATCAAAAATAACACTCTATTCGAATCTGCTATCATGTCCCTGCAATACACAATTGAAATAGATCATATCTTAGGAGAAAACAGAGCAATCCCTAGCAGACTCCTTGTCAGAATCATCAGAGACACTAGCCTCATTGAGCATACCGCCAACCTTCTTGATGACAAATATCACAAGACCATCTTCCGCCACCTTCATATACGTATTCATAATACTGCAATCTGCTTGCTGCCTTCTACTACTAAGGAGGCTATCAGAGAAGCTATCCACATTATCACTGAATGGATCACTACAAACCCAGTCGCATGAACCCCATCCCCACACATTGCAATTCCAATCCTACCGCCAGTTCTTCTGACAGCTACCACTGAGCATCTGGATGACAATATCCCTCCTATTGCTGTACTTGACATACCAGCTTCTCCTTCTCCTACTGTTAAGAACCATGTTGCTCAAAGGAGAGAGAGACTGACTCAGAGGGGCTTGGCCTCAGCTCGTACACTGTGCCCCTTACCCAAGTATGTGCCCTTCATTTCAGAGGAAGTCTGATGAGGGTCTGATGAAGTCCAGAGGACTTCTGGAGGCTGGCTACTCTGGTGGAGAGTGCTAGAGGACTTCCAGAGGAGCGCAGGAAACGTCCAGAGGAGCACGGGAGAGTTCCGGAGGAATGCAGGAAGTGCTCAGGAGAGTTCCCACTGCAAGGTAGTACTTCTACAGGAAACAGGATGGAAGGGTAGGATGTCTGAAGGTCCGGAGGACAGGAGGACAGGAGGACAGGAGGACAGGAGGACAGGAGGACAGGAGGACAGGAGGACAGGGGATGGAGGACAGAAGGACAGGATGTCTGAAGGTATGGAGGGTGGAAGGTACGGAGGGTGGAAGGTATGGAGGGCGGAAGGTACAGAGGGTGGAAGGTACAGAGGGCGGAATGTCCAAAGGTATGGAGGGCAGTGGAGTAGGGGGTCCTAGGGTCAGGAGAGTGCAGAAGGTTCCTCAAGGGCAATTCTGAAGGCTTAGTCATCCAGAACGAGTACATAGCACAGCATACGAGTACATACAAACAACCATACACTACAGCAGCAGCCAAGACACCTAGCACTACTCCATCATGGTGAACAGAGCAAATTCAAACCAATTCATCTTTGTTTTCAGCACTTAGTCTTTGCCATAGTCTTAGCTCGCAGTCTTGGTTAGCTACCCAAAAAAGAACTTAGAACCCTCGATCTAGAACAACAAATCATACACAAAAAATCCGCAGCCTATTACGTCGCACCACATCTTAAAAGGCCTGCACATATTACAAAAAAGAGCTGTGTCCTTCATACCCTTTTACATGAAAATACTGAATGCCGAACACTGACAGCCTAAGACCTAGAACAGTAACAGGACAAGCAGTAACTAACGTTCATTTAAAAATGAACTGGGCAATTTGGTCAGAAGAAACATCCACCGCTTCCTCCCCACTTGATACACCAGAGCCATCCTCGCACAACACCCCAAACCACTCTAGTACCTCATCACTCAGTAGCCTCGAAGAAAGTGAAGAACACGACAACCACTTCCCATTCCCAGAGTTAGAAGTCCCAGAGTTAGACATTTACTTACCGACAATCAAATACCAACCACAACGATGTCGTGCAAAGACAGAACCGCTCACAGCAGCCTCCATAATACCAGATTACAACTTAGCCAAATTCTTTGAACTAGCACAACTCAAAACCATCATGCCCACAGAAACCCCACAAATCTTCCATGGTGATGGACACACATTGGAGAACCCAGCCGATTTCTTGAAATCTTTCAACCACACAATGCGCCAACAAGTGGTGATAGTCAGTGGCAACAAACTAGACGCCTTTGGAGACTACATAGGAACAGGATCTCAGGCAGAGAGGTGGTTTAAGGCCCTCACATCCACAGACAAGGCCACATGGCCTGCATTTGTAGCAGCATTCGAGAAATGCTGGCCACCAGTTACAATCACAGAAAAAATGAAGGCAGAGTATGAGAGGGAGCTGTTGGATCATGCACTAAAAGAGGAAGATGTAGGGAAGAAGACAACACTCTACAACAGAGAATGTTGGACTCACGTTGCTTGGGCCGTGAAGACATTACAGCTCGCTACAGATGCAGGCATAGACCAAGGCACGTCAATGATCTGGCAAGTCCGCAGCAAGTTACCAAACGTGGTAAAAGACCTACTTAAAGATGAAGAATATAAGACATGGGCTGACTTTACGAAGGCAGTAACGGAGCTGAAAGGGAGTAGACTCGCAGAGAAGCAGGAACAACACCTCAAGCAAACTCAGGAACTCAAGGCACTACATGCAGACCTAGCCAGGGTTCAGCTGCGAACACCACAACAGAGCCCAATCACTGCACTCCAAAGCCAATTTAACAAGTTGTCACTTAGCCCAGCAATATCCCTGAGCAACAGTTCATACACACAAGTACCGACATTGCCCACTAGCCAGAACCTGCAGACCACTTACAGCCACCAACCAGCCACGTCCCAGCAACAGTTCATCATCACAGAAGACATGAAGACAACCGTTAGACAACTCGTTAATGCCATACCCCAACAGCCAGATAGCCCAAGTGGCAAGACAGCATATGCAAACCAACTTGCACAATGGAATGTGAAGTGGGGAGAGAGCACTCATGTCACACACAAAACAGGATATCTGCTTAAACCAGGCACAGCAGCCATCGCCTCAGGTGAATGTTTCAGCTGCGGAACTCATGGACACAATGGATGCAATTGCCCTTTGCTGGCAGACCACGCAGAGAGGCTATCACACAAAGAAGCAGCATGGAGAGCAATCACAAGTAAGGTATTGGGAGCATTCAATCATGCTGCAGCTACGCCAATCTCACTCATTGTCAATCACACTCTGCAATACCATACTGAGTGGATCGAAGAACTTACCAAGCAAGACAAGGGAAAAGCAGAAGGGTCAGCATAAGGAGCAATGCTATGCTGACCCAGGATAATGCAGAGACGTGCGCTAGAAGAACTGTCCTCACATGTAAGGAGGCACCACATGAGGACATAGACCCATCTATACGCCCCAAGTTCCCAGCTATCCCAATAGTTACCTGTGTACAAGCATCATTTGACACAGTTGACATTGTTGACCTGTACTCCATGGGACACACTGAAACAACGAAGGAACAACTGGAAATGAAGGAAGCAGTACCATTCATTCACCAAATCACGCTTGAAAGTCCGAGAGGAGAAGCAGTCAGAATACGACCATTGTTTGATGACAGCACCATGGTAGCAGCCATGTGCATGTCAATATTTGACAAAATCAAACATCACCTTGACAATTGGGGCCCATCAGAAAGGAAGCTGAGAATGGCAAATGGGAATATTGTTAATGTGGACATGAAATGGTCAGGAACCATAGAGATCAACGGGATATGAGCAAAAGGAGATTTCGAGGTCTTCAATAGTGGAGGAGGATGGGCATTCTTATTTGGAAAACCACTGCTACAATTGTTTAAAGCAGAGCATGACTACAAATCCGACTCGATCAAAATCGCTAGTGATTCCCAATCAACAACCATAGGCAACCAAGTAGCACACCCGTGAGCATTACAATGAGCAGAGCACAGAGTCAGTCTAACTCAAGATATCAAGCAAGCCTGTAATGACACAGCAAAACTTACGAGCTTAACACACCCCTCACATACGCCCATGGGACAATGGAAACCAAGCACCATAAGCCCAAAGCAATGAGAACAACAAAGACTACACCAGATATGGAACTGAGCTCAGAAAGTGACTGAAGAGCAAGCTAAAGAGGAAAAATATGAGCATAGTCAACACATGTAGCCTGACAACCCAGCCAGAGTAGCGAAAATCCTATCGGAAGTCAAGATAGGCGACAACATCACAGGGGACAAGAAACAGCAGCTAGAAGACTTCATCTGGCGCAATGCAGATGTCTTCGCACTATCGCTCAAAGAAGTTAAACCTATCCTGGGCACATACGTCAATCTTAACGTCCCAGAAGCAGCGACATTCAACTTATGAATCCACCAAAGACCACTAACCCCAGATCAATCTCGTTTCTTCAATGCACGCATAGACGACATGCTGGAAGCAGGAATTATCAAACAAGCACCTGCAGAACTTGTCAAATGCGCAGCAACAACGGTCATCACGCAGAAAGCCCACGAACCTTCAGGTCTATCCTGGGAAGAACTCCAGCAACACATCAATGACCAGTGCAGAACTGCAGGAGAGCCACCAGCGTTCAAGCTCCCAGAACGAAGTGTCAAAGCACCACAGCAAATGAAAGAGAAGGAAGCACCAAGGAAATGGTGCATATGTCAGAATTTTGGACAACTCAACAAAGTCACTGAAATTGCACCAATGCCTCAAGGCGACCTTTTAGCAAAACAACAACGATTGAGTGGACACAGGTATGTGTTGGTTTTCGACTTCACATTGGGATTCTATGCTCTCCAAGTTCCAGATAAATGGTGCCCGTACCTAGCCTTTTATGTTGAAGGCAGAGGCTACTTTTGGTACAAGAGGATGCTGATGGGAATAATGGGGGCACTGACAATGTTTTGTGAAGCAGTCGCAATGAGACTTCATGAGTTCTTGGTGAGTTACATTATGGAAATCTTCATGGATGATGGTGGGTGCTCGGCAGACACATTTGAGGAAATGTTAGAAAAACTCGAAACTATATTCAAGCGATTCAGAGAGTGCAATTTCTCAATAGCGCCATCAAAAACTCAGCTTATGGTCACCAAAATGGAGTTTGCAGGAGCCACAATAGGACCTTCAGGAGTTAAGCTGGACCTGTCAAAACTAATGGCAATAGTGGATTGGAAGCAACCAGAAGATGCACTAAACTTGGTATCATTTCTCAGACTCACAGGACATTATCGCTCACTTATTAAAGCATATGCCAAATGCGAAGTGCTGCTCAGAGACCTTCTTAGGAACGTACCCCTCCCAGCACAGTACAACAAGACAACCTACAAGAGGATAATGAGCAGCTACAAATTAGCAGCCCATTGGAAAGCAGAACATACACGCACATTCCTACACCTCAAGATGGCAGTCACATCAAGGCCAGTAGTACAGGGACCACAATATGATGGATCCCCATTCATTTTAACAATGGATGGCTGCACAGAAGGATTCATGGCAGTGTTATCACAGAAGGTTCAAACACAAACCCCAGAAGGATGATGGGTCGAGAAGCTACATCCTATTGGATTCGCTTCGAAGCGAACTTCAACAGCAGAGCAACACTATAAGTCCTATCTTTTAGAGTTTGCCACACTGAAATTTGCACTGGATAAGTTCTCAAATACGGTTTGGGGATTCCCAGTTGAAATAGAAACTGACTGTATTGCATTAAAGGACACCTTGCTTAATCCCAACCTTACAGCAGCCCACACACGATGGAGAGAGGGCATCCTATCATATAACATCTCCAATGTGCGACATGTCCCAGGAAAGCTTAACGTCATAGCAGACAGATTGAGCCACAAGTGGGAGGGACAACCACGTGCACCTGGAGATGGGAGCGAGTGGACCATCAACGAGGACTGGGAAGCATGCACTGGACTTGTCAATGATATCATGCACGTATCAGAAGTAGATTCAGCAACAGAAGCTCTATGAATCCATTTCGCAAAAGAACCAATATTCCTGGAAGTAGTGGAAGCCATCTATGACTTGAACCATAACGAAGACCTGGGCAAGAGAAGGCGCGCAAAGCATCCGCCTCAGAATATCTCGTAGACAAAGGTAAGCTGTGGCGACTCAAAAACAGTAACATGTCGAGGGCCAAGTCAAGAGTCGAATGTGTCACTAAAGAGGAAGCTAAAGAGTTAGCGAGACAGACCCATTCAGACGGTGGACATTGGGGACGAGATGCAATTAAACTAACACTTTTAGATCGCATATGCAGCCCAAAACTCGTCACATCAATCCTGGAAGCCATTAAAGACTGTGCTAAGTGTAAAAACTTCGGACCCACATATATACACTCACGATTAGAACCCATCACCAGACGTCACCCATTCAAACTCCTAGTAGGAGACTACTTGTCCCTCCCAACAGGGAAAGGAGGATATAGCATGCTGGGAGTCTACCTCAACACATTCTCCCAGCATGTATGGGTATTCAAGTTCAAAGTCGCAGGAAGTGCAAAGACTACGCTTGACAGTCTAAAGCACATATTCAATGCATATATTGCACCGGAGACATTCATGGTGGATGGAGGAAGACACTTTAATAACGACGCGGTGAGAGAATTTTGCACGTCAAAAGCAAGCAAACTACACACCATTGCAGTGTATTCCCCATGGATAAACAGCCTGGTAGAAGGAATGAACAAACTATTGCTCCATGTCTTGAAGAGGCTATGTGCAGCCAGATCTAGGAGAGGACAACACCCAGGAGGTATCATGGGAAAAGCTCCCAACCTCCTGGCCAGACCATCTAGACGAAGCAGTTCACGCTCTCAATCATCGTCTCCTTCCAGCCCTCAAATTCTCGCCAAAAGAACTCCTGCTAGGCTTAATCATCAATACACTGCCAACACCGCTAGAAGAGAGTACATCAGTACTCAGAAACACAGATGCATCAACACAGATCGCATATGTTGAGCAGCAATGTCTAGACTGGCTACAAAGAAATCATTAAGCATGCCATCAAGAGGAAGGCAGCCTTTGACAAGCGACTCTTGCAAAGACCACCTGGTGAAGTCACTTTCAGAATTGGTCAATTAGTCCAGGTTTATCACAACAATTTAGATTATACATTTAAAACGGACTGGAAATTGATTCTGAAGTGGTCAGTACCACATCGGATATGAGGACAAAACCTCAACTCATACAAACTTGAAACCCTGGAGGGTACCCTGTTAAAAGGAGACTTCAGCACTAGACGATTGCACACATTCACACCACAAGAAGGAACGAAGCTTGCAAGAAATCAAGATACTTACGAGGAAAGACTTCAGAAGAAAGAGACAGAGCAAGAGGCAGAGAGATCAGAAGATGGAGCCAAAGAAGAGACAATGGCTCAGGAGGAGGCAGAAGAAACAAACGAAGCAGAGAATACAGACAACAAAACATAGCAGAAGATAGAGCAGAAGGTGGCGTCGAGGGTGGTGCCAGTTGTTTTTAGGGGGGTGCATGGAGTAGGGGGTCCTAGGGTCAGGAGAGTGCAGAAGGTTCCTCAAGGGCAATTCCAAAGGCTTAGTCATCCAGAATGAGTACATAGCACAGCATATGAGTACATACAAACAACCATACACTACAGCAGCAGCCAAGACACCTAGCACTACTCCAGCAGAACGTCCAAAGGACAGGATGCCCGGAGGTATGAGGGACAGGAGGTCTGGAGGTCCAGAAGGAATAGGGGCTACATCAGACAAAGTCCAATGTAGAAACAAACAGAGGTAGACTACCCTAAGGTAGAGTTGGAGGGACAGGGATTGGACCTAAGTCCGGAAAGAGGGTAAGTGCCGGAAAGGCGGAGCTCCAGCCTAGGGAATCAATCCCTAGGCCTGATGAGTAGGACAGACTTAGGTGGACCAAAGTCTGAGAGAGGATTGGGCAAGTCTAAGTTGATATTCAAACTAAGGAAACTACAGGAGTATCTACAGGGGTTATATACTGGACAATATCTGAGGGGATCAGTAAGCAAAGGAGCAGGGCTATGTATGAGCATGCGGAAACACATTAGTAAGTAAGATGGAACATAAGTAAATGAACTTGGAGATGAAGACTCGTACAAGGATCAATAAGCAAGATGGAAGAAGAGGTAACCAAAAGCTGGAAAGGTAGAGATGCCTAAATGGGGATAGGTGCAGGATCTCAGACAGAGGGTGGGAATAGGTCCGGAGTTAATATCCGGAGGTCCGGAGATCTGGGGATCCGGAAGACAAGGTGGATACAGGACCAGGATATGAGGAGGTGGATATAGTCCAGAATCTGAGATGAGGTGAAGTCTGGATGTCTTGCTGGATGAAGTGTGCATAGGGTGGATGGGACCAGGGGTTATGGGTCAGGCTAGCAGTGGAGATCCGGAGGTCCGGAGCTCAGGGGTAAATCTGGAGTGTAGTCAATCCTGCTGAGGTGTGGGGCACACAGCGGAAGGGAATCCGGGAATGAGTTGGATATGAAGTGAGGTCCGGACGTAGGCTCAGAAGGCGTGGGAATATGATGGAACATGGGTCCAGATTGTGGGATATGACACCTACCCCCATTGCGCCCACTACAAGTCAGTACCCTACTAGGTGCAGATCCACCCATATTGCCAAACAAACAGCATCAGCTTCCCCACACAGAAACTGTAAACGACAATCTAGATCCCCATCTCCACCTGCACAGTCGTCCACCATCACCACCATAAAGACGGCAACCATTGATAACATAGTATGTCACAACTGTCATGTCGCTGGGCATTGCCACAAGAACTGCCCAGTGTATTACTGCCAGGTCTGCAAAGAGTATGCACCTGGACACCTATCAGTCTTTTGTAAAGAACTGAAAGGGGAAGCAGTCATTCCACTGGTCTGGACTGATGCTGGTTTCTATGAAGCCCTTGCTCATTGGGAAATTGAGCAGGATGCTATTTATCACACCACTGAGATGGCTGATAAATCATTTACCATAACAGAGGAGCAAAACGACTTGCTGGACTCTAACTATGATGCTGACCCAATCTATTGGGCTAATCAGGATGTCTGAAGTTGGTGACTTCATTCCTAACTGAGGGGTAATTTTACAGTCACATACACCCCTATTTCATTTTCCTCCTTACTATCCTTGTATTACATCACGACCACTGCTGCCATCACTAGATGATCTATTTTTGCTATCGCTTATGTGTCCTTTATCTCTGACTCATATCCATTCCAATGTCTGCCCTAAAGCACTTGTAGTTCACTATAAATAGTTCTTTTGTATGCTTTAGTTCTGCACTTTAATCTTACTAAGTTTTCACCTGAACATTCTCTCGCTTAGGACTTCCAATCCTAAGTCATCTGAACCAATATTCAAGTCAAAGACACTCTCTTTGACTTGTCTTACAACCCTTGTGTTTGCAAGGTCTTAACTATAACTTCAGCTGTCGCTCTTATCGAGCTGCTGTTGTTACAACCATCCTAGTTTGTAACAATATACAAAGATAAATCTTGATACAAGCACAACAAATAGCTATTGAATGAACAAGGATTACAATAAAACTGACATTCTGATGTAGATATATCATATCTTACAATTGATTGCAATAAAACCAACATTCTGATGTTAGAAATATCAAGTCTTATAATTAATTGAAAGAAACCCAACATTGTGATGTAGATATGTCAAGTTTTACAATTGTATCAACAATTCTCTATCAATTGGTCTCCACTACCAACACTTGCATGATATTGCACCAGCCATGTCACATGACAAATGCTTAGGTAAGTCTGAGTTTGAAAGTTTTCACCAACTTTGACACTTGTCTTCTCTTGTTCCACCACACTCAAAGTGCACACTTCTGGCTCTTCAAGCCAATATCCTCTCCTCTCTCTTTTTATCCCTTCATGGTGGTACCTCTGGCCCTCTATGGTGATTTATCTTCCTTCCTGGCCCTCCCTGGCTCCTCCCTGGCTCCTCCTTGGCCCTCCTCCTTCCTGGTCCCTCCCTGGCCCTCCCTGGTCTCTCTCTGGTCCTCTTCCTCCCTGGTCCTCCCTGGCCCTTCCTTATGGTATCTCCCTTGAGTCAGGTAACTGACATCTCTCTTTGTCTTCTGTCATATCATGTCTCTCTACTCTCTTGTATTGTTACTACCTGTATATACCCCAATCCCAATTAAAATTTGATTTAATTTATAAAATGATAAAATGAGTACCAAGATTGAGATTTTGTAGTAATTTTTTGTCAATTTTGTTTGGAGTGATCTGGCATTATAAAACTTTATCAAGGATGGCAGATATTTGCAATATGTGTCATAATTGTGTCTTTGGTGATTTTCCCCAGCATAACCTGCCTATCTAAAGGTTTGTCAAGCTGAGTGCAATTATGATGGATATTATATCAATTTTATGCTAGGCAAAGCTTTGAAAAGCTATATCATTCTCAGGTCAATTGCCTGATGTCACGCCCACTGAGTGGAGAATATTTGAGTCAAACTCAAACAAGGTTCACGTCGTTCGCAACGACGCTGGGAATCACGCGACCCATTAGCTTAGTATAAATAAAATTAAACCCGATTAAAGTGTGCCGTGAGCAGTGCACCCTGGGGCCACCTTGGATGTTATCTTCACAAGGCTGGTTCTTTGATTCTATCGCACGATGACTTCACTTGCAAAGCTGGTTATGCATAGCCTATGGGGTGTGTAATCTTATCGATCTTACGAGAATACATACTGACTATTTTGTTCCAGTCCATCTATCCCAACTTCGATGTCGAAGATGGGCACCACGCTGAAGAGTAGCGCATGACCCGCCGAGGCTGAGTCCGACTCGGAGTCAGAGCTTTCTACAACGAAACTTATGTACGTCTTTGCGGTTTCTCTCGGTATTCTTGTTTTATCACGAACTTCATATTCAGAATGTCCGTCTTTCTCTCGAAACATCCCAGCAGTGAGCACGTCGCCTCAAGTGCTCGATACTCAAGTATTCCCGCCTCACAATATCCTTCATGACATACAAAGTTACTGTTTTCTGCCAATCTTGGAATCGGGGACTGCTGAGAGGGTCCACAGGCGCCACTTGAGTGGTCGAACACTTCTCTGAGGTTCTGCAAACAGCCATCTTTTAGTGATGGCATCAGGAGCGAAGTTCGTGAACAGACTTCCACTAGACGTTACGATCTTGACAGCACTGCTGAGATCAAGTGCGTGAACCTCAGCATCGGGGAGAGATCTATACTCATAGTCCGCCAAAAGCTCCTGTATAATCTATATCTACTTCACAACTTGCTTAAGTACCGCGACAAAAACAAAAACGCATTCTCCCGCTCCCTCCACACTACCCGCCCATCGCAAGTTAATCATGTCGAGCATCTCCTACGCTACACACTACTGCTGGTTGACATATGGATGCGCTCCTGAAAAGCAATTGAAGTCATAGCGGTTGCTGTATCAGAGTTGGCCACGAGCTTAGCGTGATACTCTCGAACACCGAGGATCAGGCGTGGTCCCAGCACAGACAACTGCACGAACTCGAATATCTGAGCAAGACCAAGATAAATCTGAGTGTCCATGGAAAGCATGTCCTAAAGAAATGATGAACCATGGTTGCAAGTAGAGATCGGTAATAGATCGGCATACCGCTGAGAGCATTGGAGAGAATAATCCGATCTGGAAGCAAGAGATAGCCAGAAAACTAGCACATGAAACACTTCAGCAGAACAGGAGAACCGCATTCACGTTATGAGCTCACCTCGCAAAGTAATTCATGTGAGTTTTCATTAACACTGTGAAACAGTCCCCAATAATACCACTTGTTGAGTGCTGTCGTAGCTCACGGAAGTGCTTTACAGCAATCCAGACCGCAAGACACAGTACAAGGACCTCCCAAACAGTGCCAAGTATCCAAGTCATGGAACTCAGGAACAACGCATCTCCTGCGTAGCCATTCATGCACTGATAAGTGCCGGAGAGAACAAATTCTTCTGGTACTTGTCAATGAGCCTGATGCACTTCAACATTTTATACATAACTGAAGCTTACCCGCTGCAATCTGCATCGTCGATATTGCGCCCATCACTACATTGGCGATTCTGATGGCCAGAAAGATGACAACGAGAAATATCAGCACCTTTCTGGATCGCTGATACATGGCATATAACCGAGCGATCATGATGACTTGCATGATGTTTCAGTCAAGTCAATATCACAGAAGTGTATAGTTCACCTCCTAATATTACATCTATAACGTCACCCGTCCAAATAACTGCGTCGAACCTGATACGGCCTGACAACTCCAGCAACATTAGTTATCAGCCCCGGAGGATTACAGGCTCGAAACTCACAACTGTGGGAGTCATTATAATAAACCAACGAATTGTTCGAGAATCTCACTCACCCCTACATGGTAGTTAAATTGTTTGAACGGGAATGGAATGCATGGGAACGAAATACTCACTGCATCTGTCGTCGAAATTGTTGGAACACTGACTGTATGTCGCCAGTCAGAATAAACGAACACGGCAGTAAATGTGAGAACACATACACAGCATGATCCTGTTTGTCAGAAATGGTTGATGAGCGCAATATCAATGGTTTAGACGTCCAAACATACACAGCATATTCTATGCCAACATATCGTACCTAGGATATGTTCACGTCGTCAATACAACTTGTTAACCACGCTTAAAAACACAAGCTACATACAATGAGATACAGAACGGTCATCGGGGACCAGCGTTGCCTCTGCCGCAAATTAGTTATGGTATTTTTATATTTATATCGTTCTTTTGATGCGGGATTCCGCTCACCCAGACCAGTTCCACCTATAAAACTGTTCTCAGTGAGATGGCTGTTCCTGCAATGGTGTTAACCTACCTCCTGTCCAAACGTAAGTCCTAGAAATGCCATAATGTCAGTGGTCTTCTCATACTTGATCTTGCTTACCCCAATCGTACATTACCCCAGCACAGGAGACAACTGTCAAACCGCAGCCAAGGTCAATCGAGTCATCAACATCGTCATGCGGCTAACCCTCCACGAACCTACAAAATAGCTGCTAATACGATTTGCATTGATGATGGGCCACCAACTAGGATCATTTGAGACTAGGACCATACTATTAGAGGATGCGAGTGAGCGAGTGGGGGAACTTGGTGGATGTATAGTGATCGCATTCGTGCCTGATATACCACCATCCAGTGCTTACATCGCCAAAGTGAGATTTGAAAGATGATATCTGATTGACCGAAGCTTGCAATTGGTTGAACGTGAATTCCAGTACAAAGACAATGTGCATCCAGAGGATCAATGTAAAAGTGGTTAGTGAGATCGCAAACAAGTGACTCATGCGGAACGTTTGATCGAAGAACTGTTCGTGACTTTAGCAACGTGCCAGTGCGATCTTTGAGGTGTTCCCAGTATTGCCAGCAGGTTCAGCCTCGGCCCATCAATGACACTATGTGCTAATCAGCGATCTGACACAGGTTTGAACGTTCGAGCAATGCCCAAGTACTAGTTGAGACGTTTTCTCACAAGGTCAGCAATGTTCTTCCTTGAGATTCACTCTACGTACTTACTCGATGCTGATGCTTAACACGACGTGAGCGAAAATCCACAATATTTCTTCTAATCCATGTACATGCTGATAAAATGCGACCACAAGTCCATACATGTATCGTGTTCAGTTTCCCGTCATAGAATATGATCGACGTGTAAGGCGATTAGGACAGTTGTACAAAGGAAGTAGGAGGCGATACAAAGAATGGGGCGTCCGGGAGGCGATGGACGGAAGACAGAAGTCCTGAACAGATCATCTTCCGCATCCACGTACATGTCATAAGAGCTTGCGATGGTGAAAGTGAATGACCTACTCAGAGAGGACAGATATAGATGCTGAAACAGGAGTGCCGAACATCGAGTTGGAATTCGAGGATGCAGTGAACTTCCGAATATGGCTCCGGGAAGCGTTGATAAGCTAGCCGATGAAGGAGCGAGTGAATGTTCCGAATTAGTGAAAAGTGTGCTCATCTTGATGAGAAAGGCTTTGAAAATGAATAGGTGGTAAGGAAGGGAGGACGTACCAAGCAATGCCCTCCTTACAATCAGCATTTGCAACTATCGTGAAATTGATGCTGCTCGAGCTCTCGCACATATCATGTCGAGCAGTTTAATACACGTCGTGATGATGGAGGGGAGTGCCTTTGGCAGCAGCCTGTGATACCGCTGACTGCTCTTCCTCCAAGCTTTCTTTCTTTCGAACTCCGACTTTAGCTCCAGAAGTGAGTGAGCGGCCAACGTCTCAGGGAATAATAGGCTGGAGGCGGACTCGAGCATTCGGGCACCCCGAATGCTTCAGCGCCGGCTCGATCGTTACTCGACTGTGTCTTAAAAATCAACCCAAAGCTGGCCAGTGTGAATACAAGTGATCAAGCATCTCATCTTGCCTTCGACCAGCTGCCCATACACCTGCACACCGTGCGTCGCCCTAGTAGCAAATATTAATTCCATGAGTATAATGTGATTTGCCCCATGACAATCCGAACCGCTAGATCATAAACAGTCTTGTGGCATTCATTGAAGGAACGTTCACACAGGAAAAGAGCTGACTTTGAAGGTACTGCCTAGGAATCAAACGGGGTAAACTGGTCAAACTGAGCGTTTGTTTTTGGGAAAGGATCAACGTTAACTGATTGTTTACTACGACCACAAGATTAAGGTTCGGGGTCGAGCAAATATTAATTCTTTACACGTGGTCGACGAGGATGAGGCCGTGCGCTGGTGCCAAACCCAAATCTGGCGGAAACATCAAGATTCGAATCCGTTTGGAATCCGCCATTCAACATCTAAATGATTGCCCGCGTGAGTTGATAGAAACAACTGAGACACTTTCGGTTAGTGAATACCCCTCGCAGCGTAGTCGGTATGGTGACTCCTGAGATCGCTTGTTCTTTCAATTCCTTACCAAAGGACGAGTCTCAGCTTACTGTCATGCATTACCTATCTTCCTCAGTGCTCACACTAAATGTCAAAGCGACTCGTCGCTTCTTTATTTGTCTACAGTTGACCCTCAATCAACCGGCCTTCCTTTGTGCAGACGTGAACGGCATCTCTGCTGGTTCAGACGATTCGAGGCATATTGATCAGCATAATGATCTGCAGGCCCTATTGACGAAACCGTTGTCCAGCCGCAAGTATGGCAACGCAGTGCGTAATGCCAGAATTGTTGTTTGCGGGATAGTCCCACTCGCGTTCCACAGTTGTTGATCACCCCTGGCTAGACATTCGATGCGATTCACTATGTAAGGGTGCCCCATTCCTGCAAGGGATTCACGAACTTCCATTTATTGAGCAATCATCCCATACTGTGCTAGTATTCTACGTGTTACAATGAGTTGATATTTATGAATAACACTTAACTTGCGAACAGCACCAAAACAACACGGCGTATAATGTTCGAGAGCAGTCAAAACACGAAAACGTATAGATCCTTTATATCGCCATCAGTAAACGAGGGGCTCTGAAAACAAGACAATCAGCATGGGATCACGTATTCTGCAGCACAACGATAGCTTACTTTTAAACCAATCAACCTTTGCTCATCGATCATCACGCCCGAAAAACCTTTAAGCTCATCCCTTCGACAAACGCGATAGGGCAAGCTTGTCTCAACAGGGCCCGGGAAAATGCCGTCCGCCAAGATAGTCGAGGGGTAATCAATGACCTCAACACTCGCTTTGGAGTCCGGCTGCTGAGGAAAAACATGCCGCTTGGTTTTGCGTACATTGAAGTCTAGCACTTGCATGTTGCCGGATAGTAGTGGAAAGACTACTCGGTAGCCATGAACGTATCTACTCAAGGCTGATCAGCGTGTGGTCATAGCAGGAGTTTTTCAGCTCCTTCTTACCTCAGCCACTGATATGGGACTTGATGATGGAGCATGCGGCTCTCGCGCGGGCCCCACTCCTCCCAAGGCACCTCGAAGGGGTCTGTTTCTCTTTGTTCACGGTATTTCCGTATGTATCTGAGAGGAGTGCTATTCTTAAAGAAGAGAAAAAATCTCGGTCTGGCGCTAGGGACATTCATGTCCACTTGGATATATTGCACGGATAGAACATACATCCGCTCCTCCTGATTGGTCCAGAAAGGCGTGTTTGGAAGACACCTTGCCACAAAGGGACCAGGTATGAATCGCGCAGTGCACCAAATGGGTACGGGACTTGAGGGGAGGCAGTGATAGGCTTGCGACATGGATAATTTCGTGTTCATTTTCCCCAAATGTAAAGACTTGGATCGAGCCCTCGTTTACCCCACGCGTGATCATGTACGCACGGTTCGAAATGAAGGAAAAGTCGCTGATATGACTGGGTAAGTCGTCGCCGTCACGATCCTGCAAAGCCAGTGTTGGCTATAAGCAACTACTGTGTTCATAAACGGGCGCTTACGACAAGTATTTGACCCGTCCTCCAGTTCCAGATTGTGATACGTGGACTTTCAAGCTCCATCCAAAACATCATCCCAATAACATCGTCCACAATCTGTATGAAGGCACTGGTCATCGTGGACGGGGTGAGGGTGCGAAGAACAGGAGATGACGCTTCGGGGTGCTTCACGTTGGAGGATATCGTGCGTATGTGTATTTCTGTGTAACTAGAGCCATTCACTCTGCATCCAATAATTGGTTATCTGTGCGATGCAAGACAAAGAAAATGACGAAGACGTACAGATTATCATCAGATTGGACAAGAGCGATGAGATCTTGCGACGGGTCGATGGCGAAGTCTCTTGTTGAGATCCCTATATCTTTCCGAACCAGCGTGTGACCAGGATCAGACGAGGACGGCAACCAGGAGGAGATGAATTTTCGTGGACCGGATTGATTGTGAATGCCTGCCGGAGAGGATGTCTTCGCAAATACGCCTCCTACAAGCTCGTATGCGTGGCAGAAACCATGCATGGGTACCCGAACCTCTTTCTTCCACTCAAACAAGGTCCACGCACGACGAAGGGTCCGGAGTTGTTCTAGACGCTCTGCAACGGTGACGGTGCTCTGAGGGCCGTCAAGCATGCAATCGAGAGCAAGCTCGATACGATACTGGAGCTCTGCAGAGGAATCAATCACACTATTCAATTTGCGGCAGACCTAAAAATGAGTCAAGTTTAAGGCTACAACAAAAAGCAGTGTAGCATACGTACAGAGGAACACCGCAAGATAGATCGACCGTCTGCATGACGAAGGATTTCTATTAGTAACTCAGAGGGCAGGAGGATCAAAGCAAGTGTTTCCGAATGCTTCATGTCTGCCTGTATGGTGGGCAGGCTGCCCACCACTGTGGTCTGCCTCATATCGAGCTTTGGTGCAATCATAATAGCTGACTGCAAGTCCTGCTGTAGGCGCTTGGTGGGTGCTTCTGCCCAGCGTGCAACTCCAATTGAAATTTGAAATGGCACGGCTGCAATTGGATTTGTGACGCACGGGCTTTTCGATTCAACCATGACTGCTATTTTGAACAAGAAGGAACGACTGCAAGTTTCCTTCCATATGGTCCATCTAGGGGAGACTAACTACGATTGAGCTTATTCGTTGTCCTGAACACGTTTGCGAGTAACGATATCGCAGTGAAGGAGATGCCGTCGTGTGGTATGACAATCAAAGTAGGTCCCACTTCGACAGCTTTGACGTATGGCTTCATGACCAACTCTTTCCACTTGTCTAGGGTATTCGTGGGCGAATTGCCATGAATCCCCCTGTACTTGTCCCCATCACATCTCTGGATGCACGAATGCCCTGATGTGAAGTGTACGCCCACCCAGGTCCGCTGTTCCTGCCGGCTGTTTAAGACCCCGAGTGCCATCCAGTTGAATGAAATGACTTTGTACATGAGTGCGTTGGTGAATTCCCTTGTCGGTACAAATGCCGACACAACCATGCAACTGACATCCTTCCTCTAGCCCACTTGGCAGAACTCTCGCCCAACACATAAAGTCCACTAAGGTGGGTGAGATGAAGGAGATCGCTAATGCCGTTGACTCGGAACCTGAAGCTAATGATGTGTATGTCATCGTGCAGACACACGACTCTAGTGAGTGTTGAGGCCTCGTAGCACAGGCTGTCGCTCCAGTCCTATAGACTGTTACAGAGTGTTTGGCAAACGTTCATGTTCCGGAGCCTGTCCAGGTGCACGTGGCAATATTTCTCCCAAGCTGGAACATGCACAAGTGTCAGGACCACTCCATCAAATTTTAGATTTCACAGTGCGGCTCCTTCCAGCACCCAAGGACAGCCTGATACTTCCAAGGCCATCATCAAAAGGCATGCGTTCATTGGGATCGACCATCACCTCAACCTTACTCCGTCCGCTATTTGGTATATTCATCGAGAAATGCATTTAACTTATGTTCCAAGTCCTCGGTCTCACCAAAGACGCTAATCAGTGAACAAGGAAATTTCCTTGTGTACTGGTTAGTGTATTCGGAAAGTCCATAGCCTCTCGCAGCGATTGCGAGCCAGCTATACTGACGACAACTTTAATACCGATTACAGACGATCGTATCAGCTCTTCAGTTGCGGTTGGATCATACCATCCGAACATACACAAGTTGTCCGCTGCTCTTGCGCTCGAATGCATGTACTATCCTTGCGTCATTTATGCAGCGTGCCAATCGAAGTCATGGAATCCATCGAGGAAACAGTTTCACTCATGAATTTCGAATGAGTGTCTTCTCCACGATATCGTATCACATATGGACGAAACACGTGCTGATAGTATTCATTCAATGATTTACGACGAGTGAAGCGTTCATGTACAACATTTATTGCCCAATTATCAACGTTGAACTATAGTAATCCATACGAACGATGCACGATGCACCACAACCCCAGCTAAGCACTCAACACTCAGAAACATCCTCCCCCATAATCTTCGCCACCAAGTCATTCCCCTCATGCACAGGCGCCTCATACACAGCAAATGCCGCACGCTTCCCAGCCCCACTCTCCTCGCTCTTCCATCCCTTCTTCCTATCCGTGAACACAGCCTCACTCCGATCAAGCAACATATTGAGGTCTTCATCTGACAACACCCGTTTCTTACCCTCCGCAGACGTATTCGTCACAACGTCGATCTGCTCGCCTTCTAGCTTCAAGAGGTCGGCTGCGAGTTCTGTCATGGATTGCAGGTTTGATTTAGGTGCTCCTTGTCCGGGGAGTTTGAATTTACCTGCGATGGCATGTGGGTGATAGAATGGTGGGAGTTGGAGTAGGACTTACCCTTGGCTATAACAAGCGCCTCAAGCTTCCTCTTCTCAGTCGCACGATGCATGATCCTCGTCTCAATAGTATGCGCCGTAACGAGTCGGAACACTAAAACGGGTTTCGTCTGACCGATACGATGCGCTCGATCCTGAGCTTGGATATCCACCTGCGGGTTCCAGTCTTGATCGTAAAAGATCACCGTATCAGCCGCTGTTAAGTTGATGCCTAGGCCACCTGCGCGAGTGCTAAGGAGGAACAGCTTCGGAGCGTCATGAGAGTTGCCTCCTTGCTGGAATTTGTTCATCTGCTCTCGGCGGTCCATAGGTGCTGTTGACCCGTCGATGCGACATATTGACCAGCCTTTCAGCTCGGTAGCCCAGTCCTGTGAGAAGAGTTTGAACACAACGACCCAGATAAAAAAACAGGGACGGACCTCAAGGACATCCAACATAGTGGTAAATTGACTGAACAGCAAAACTTTGTGTTTCCTGCGGAATAGTTCGTCTAGTAGACGATCGAGGACCATCATCTTTCCGCTCGCATTTACCAACTGTTCGTCGAGCACGAGCTCTTGAGTACCTGGGATAACAGGCCAGTGGAACAAAAATGGGTGGGAGCAGACTTTGCGTAGCTGCATCACAACATTCTGAAGCTTCATGTTGTTAATCTGCTTCCCTAAATTCGACGGTCAGCCAAATGAAAGCCAAGAAAACACAAAAAACACCAACGAGTCGCAAGTTGCTGATGCTGTTTTGCCAGCTCAGAGATATCCTCCTTTGGCTCCTTGGCCTTGGCCCCTCCACCATCCTCGAGCATCTCAAAGTACTCGTCATCATTTCCATCAACGTCGTATCGCGTCTTTGTCTGCTTCCGGAGCTTCATCGGCGCGTCCACATCGATCTCGGCGACCTTCTCGACTGCTGTTTCTTTGGAGATGCCAAGAAGGAAGTTCCGCAACGACCCGTCCAAGATGTTATCGTACAAATCGCGTTGACCCACGCTAAGGGGTGCGTACAGGACATACTCCTTCTTGGGTGGGAGGAGACCTTCGACATCCGCCTTGAGTCGTCGAAGGAGGAAAGGTTTCAAGATGCCATGAAGGGTGCCAATCAATTGAGATGATTGGCCTTCAGAGAGACGAGATTGCATGGTTCCGAGGTTGAACCTGAATTTGCTATCAGCCCAAACGTCGATAGCGCGAGAAAAACGAGCACGAACCATTCCTGGAACGTGTCCAGATCATCAAAAATATCAGGCAGTATAAAGTTTAACAATGACCACAACTCTGCCAGATTGTTCTGCAGAACGTGAGCAAGAGCAATGTTGGCACACTGAACAACACTTACATGTAGTGGTGTTCCAGTCAGAATCATCCGACCTGCGCTCGGGTATTTCTTGATCTCCTGCATGAGCTTGCAGTCAAGATTTTTTAACCTGTGCCCCTCATCTACGACGATATAGCCCCAATTATAAGTGGAAAGGTGCATGCGGTCTTTAAGAATCATTTCGTATGTGGTGACAACGACCGGGAAAGAGCATGGGTCTGTAGGAGGGAGGGTATCGCTAGTAGTGGGTATACGGGTGTCTTCAACATCTGAGGTATCTTCGTCCTCTTCATCTGCATGTACTGCTATTCTCCTCATCGACGTCCGTCTTGCGTCTCTTGGTAGGTCTGGCTTTTATTTTACGCTTCGGCGCAGGAGCTTTACGGGCGGGTGCTTTCTTGCCCTTTCGATTGCGTTGCGTCTTGATCATAACTTCCTTATCAGCCACTTCTTCAGTGTCCGGTGCTCGCATGATAGTCCGACGAAGATCAGCACGCTCAGCTGGCGTGCCGTGATACATGCAGACGGGTATCTAAAGATGGTCAATGCCAGAAAGAAGATATGGACGGGTAGAAGACTTACAGCAGGCTGCAAATTTCTGGAATTCCTCTATCCAATTATGGAGGACACTCAAGGGGCAGACGATGAGGAAAGGCTGATAATGACCGAGGCCACGTAGGTGTGCATTGAATGCAATCGTTTGCAGGGTCTGAGGACATCTGTTAGATATGATCCAAAAGAAAGATTAGTTACATTACCTTGCCTAGACCCATCTCGTCCGCTACACCATACACTTGAGAATATAGAATGCGAGAATTAGGGGTCGAGGGCTTACCAAGAACACCACTGACGCCATTCTTATCCAAACTAATCATCCACTCCACTCCTTCTAATTGATAGTCCTTCAACTTCGCCCCTGTGACTAATGCAGGCTGAGGGAACTTAGGGCGCTGCCCGTTCTCCCCTTCAACTACAGGAGGTTCCTGAATCTGTGGTTTCACAGGGGGCTCCTCCTCTCGTCTGACTCCTCTACGCGTGAGCGTTTCTTGCCACGCCTCGGAAAGTGTCTTCTTGAAGACTGTGGTTTTGAGGGTGCGGCAGCTTGCATGGCGGCTCGGAGTGCACATGCACGCTTCTCCTTGTCCATCTGCGCCCCTAAAAGTTTGGAGTATGTGAAGGACTTCTCGAGGAGGCGTTGGAGGCGAGAGAAGCGTTCCCGAAATTCCTAGGTTAGATGTGTCAGAACGCGTTCAAACGAGTGATAGGACGCTTCTACCTCGTCTTCTATTGCTTCTAATATTTCTGAGGACTGTCACACAAAGTTGTTAGTGTAGAAAAAAGTGCACTGGGTTCTGAGTTTGACCTACCTCGCGTGTGCTCTTGTGTGCTCTGCCTAGTCTTCCTTCTTCACTGGGGGGAGGTGATGAGGCAGCTGTACTTGCTAGAGCCGAAGACATTGCAAATGGTACGGGTGACGACGAGGCTGGACTCGAAGACATCGTCAGCTACTAGATAATATGGAGCAGGATGGAAGGTGGACGGCGGATAATTCTCTTGAATCAATTAACATTGGACCGCGACGAGTAATAATAAATATTGTTCTGGTCTTGGATTACATCATCAACGCGACACAGCCGGCCCTAAACCAGCGCGTGAAGCACAAGGAGCTCGCTTGTTACTTATACCACTCGACATATCCCCATCCCTCTTTCTTCACGTCGCCGCCGGCATGGGCGACACAAGGGACGACGAAGACAATATGGCCAAGAACCTAACCTTTTGCCTGATATGCTGCTAACACCAGGAAACTGGCTTCGGATATGCATGGGACTTGCAAGGTATGGGTAGTTTTTTTGTACTGCAAGAAGCAATGCATTGCTGTGTCGATCTTTCATTCGTTTGAACACCTTTGTTAACGCTTCGTTTAGTGCATGTCGCGTGCCATGCCTATCTAAGATCATCGTCACTCTCAGGAGGGGTTGATGCAATACACTGTAGCAGGGCATCGAGAAGGTGTGCTATTTGTGCAGTCTAGTCGATATTCGTGTAGTCCGATACTGGCGACGCGCAGGAATCTCCATGTGTATGCCCCTTTTTACCAGGCTCTCAGTATCCGCAATAAGTGCCTGCTCTTTTGGCTCCTTCGGGTGTGATCCTTACCAGTCCCTAACCATTCTATATAGGTTACGTTTGCCTATCGCTGATTTACTCTCTCTCAGCTGATCTACCCCCAGATCCTCTTCTACTCTTCCAACGACCACATGGAGCCATTCCTATCACCGATCCGACCACTCAAAGGTCACACTGACTGGGTGCAAGAAGTGGCGAATCAGAGCTTGCTGACAGCTTAAAAAAGATTTGCATCAGATATGCTGCTCGACGATAGACTAGGCACAAATTTATCACCTGGTCAATGTAGGTTGCGATGTTGGACACTGGAAATGAATGAGGGCGACACAGCACTCGTCATAATGGTGGACTCCTGCGATATATCCCACAAAAAAATTGTGTTCTGCACGTCCCCTGTGACAACATGCTGGCCGTCCGGCGAGAAGGCTATCGTAGATACCCTATCGGCATGCTGGAGCACACGACCGAAAGGCTTGCGAGTGGAGGTGCTCCACACCCTTGCAGTGTGATCCCTGGACGCACCGTGACTGGCTATCAGTTCGCCATTAGGTGAGATGGCCAACAAGTTAATCTTGTCGAAATGCGCTTGCAGTGGGGACCCGAGTTGGGCACCACTGGCGACCGGTGCACTCCAGAAGTGGATCTGGCCATCATTACAGGCAGAAATGATACGACGACTGTCTGGAGACCAGACTATCGAGCACACTGTCTTGCCATGAGAAAGTGGTTGTGTTTGCTGTTTGCCAGTCGCTGCGTTCCAGATGCTAATGGTGCAACCCTCCACCCCACTCGCAATTTTGGTTCCATTGGGAGAATAGGCCACCGTCCATACTGGGCCTTGGCGATCATCTGATCAGGAGAAAATCGTATGCAAATGACTCTCATTGTGTGTTGGAATAGATATCTGATCTTCTTCATCTGTGCATCCCATATAACGATCTTACCATTCTCCGCCCCGCTCATAATTCTTCTTCTGACCATCAATATATCCAGTTTGATAGTCCCACTTCTGTGTCCTGTCAATGTTCCAATGTGTTTCCCTAATACTACATCCCAAATCCGAAGGCTCTTGTCGTTGGACATGCTCCGAGTCATTTTCAGCCTCTTCTACACCAGCACCGGACGAAGTCCCGGATGGGGCCGAGTTCCTGTCAGAAACTGTAGGCTTTCAGGCTTGCGTGATGCTGCTACCTCATCTCTGCCTCCTCAAGGTCACACCCATCATGAAATCCTTTCTCCAATCTGGACATCTAGTCGAGCTTGCGGATAGGATCCAAGTGCCTCCAGAAACCATCAACTCGCGTGGTGCAGCTGCATCCCCTTCCCCATCTTTTCCCCCTCAAGGTTCTCCCCATCCTCAAATAGCTACTGCTTCGGCTTCCACTCCGGTCCTGCCCTCACCTGCGAAGTCATTTTGGAAGCGCCTTTTTATGTTCAATAGGTCTGCAGCATCTGTACACTCCAAGCGGTGGAAATTCCCGCGCATTGGTAACATCATGTACGCAACCTTTCGCTCTCTGTTGAAGTACGAACATGTTTTGAATTTGATCCCTAGGTAGCGCAAGCATCGGAACACGGGACCTAACGATCCCCAGCATTAGTACGCTTGTTGTTCCTGTCTTCGCGTCTTGTCGCAGCTGCCACCCCTCGTATCGTCTATCCTCTACCAAGTCCGGTTGAATTAGCATAATCAATGCTGCCGGCCATGTGATCATGATTAGGCATAGTATTTCGTCCATGGTAGGTAGTATCTGATACCAGTGCTTTACTCCGAATGTCCAGCGTGGCAGAGGATTCCGTGCCAATGTAGTAGCACACCTGTATCACAACAACTACCACCCCAGGTACACAACCGGAGGTCCTGTCGACCGCAACCAGATGCTTGTTCAATCAACATGGGCCTAATCTAATATCGCCTTGCGCTAATGATTAACATCAAAATATCGCTGACGGCAAACAATGAGCTAAGTACACAGCGTGCGTGTGTACACAAAAATTACTGGCTTGTTAGTGTAGACTCAACATTCGCTCCCGTGAACTGTGCTGTCCATTCCAGTATCCAGATCATCGCCATAAATATTCATCACAACACTCTTCCGGACTTCAATAGGTGGCTAAAATATGTGGCTTGAGCCCCAGGCGACGACAAATAAGAATTAGTAGCAGTACGAACCAAGTGTAACGACTGTTGGTGTGATGTTTCGAACGTCGAAATGTCAGGCATGAATGAAAGCGCAACGCCTTCCACTGCACTGGGAGCGGTCTGCTTGGTCGTTCCAGGTCTTTTGCGAGTATTTAATCTGGTAGATATTTTAAGCTGATGCATAGAGGATGGAATCACAACACGCACGATGCCAAAAATGATATTGCATAGACTGCTCAGAACGTCAGTTAGGAGTCAATGATGGGAATTGAATCAGACAGACATTTGCTCTGGACTTGGACAAAGCCAATGAACGCGAGGTTATTTGGTAGACTGAGAAACTGATTGAAGTTAGCTTTGGAGTTGGACTATCTTCGACATACGCTTACCATGACGACCACCAGAATGGCACAAAACCTACAGAAAATAAGTCCCCGAGTCATGTAAGGTAGACCATTAGATGTAGGCTTACGACGTGACGGCACCAGTGTTGATGCTATACAATAGGAGGCGGTTAAGGATACTATCAGTTCTAAGGGAAACGAGGTGAATTTAATGCAGAGTTGGGCTAGCAGATATCCTACTGATTCATGCCAGTGCGACGTTTTCGGAGATATAGGCACAATGTGAATGCAATCGCACTGTCGACCACTGCTGAAAGCACCCATCCAACCACCATGGTTGGCTGGTGATACATTGAGACCAACGAACACGAGTATATGCCGAGGTACATACAAAGACGTGTTGCCTAAAGACCTTCCACATGGGATAGTAGAAACTTTTCCGACTATAGTTAGTAGTTAGGTCATCATATACAGGTACTAAGACGTACCTCAAGGAACAATTTGCAAGTCCAAAGCCTGCAGAAAATTCAAGTACAGCTCGATGGTAAAATTGAGAAGGTTCTACCACAGCGAATGGTTGCCAAAATGACCTATAACAGGGGATTGGGTAGGAATTCTCGAGATCAAAGATAGTTACGACGTACAAAGCAAATAGCGATCCAGCGTTTTTGACTCACTGCACACGCAATGGAGGCGAGAGGTAATGCGTGTATCATGGTACTCACATTGCAGTATTCGCCAGATGAAGCAACTGGTATTACACATCAGCACTAGTTTTGAACCTTTATGATGTTTCGAAAGACTTACAGATTTACAGCGTAAGCTATAATAAACTATTATTGTGTCACTATGACAAACGGCAGGCAAATGCAAAGTGACATACACCGATAACATATGAAGCCTGGCGAAACGGGGCGAGATCAGCAGTAAGTTATGTGTTTGCACCGACTGCTTACGGGCATGCCCCTGTGATAAAGATTGAATGAACCAGGGTGGATATGTTAAAGGATGGACGCACCAAACTGCGTATGCCAAATTTGTGACATCTCCAAAATGCATAATGAGATAAAACTCGACAGCGTATACTGTCAATGCTGTATGGACAGTCTCCAGAATACTGAAGGATAAAATGTGGCTCGTGCTGATGCGCCGACAGAACAAAGTTTAGCATACCAGATGGACACAACCTATGACAGTATCAGAGAAAGCTTCATTTGTATGTCTCACAGAATTACCAAATACTTCAGAATCTTCATGTCATGTTCATATGCTTGCCAGTAGCGGAATGTCTGCATACAGATGACTCCGTAGAGTAGCATGGTAGCGAGGGCACCGCAAAGCGGTCCTTGCATGATTGACATCACAACCGACGGCATGTTAGCGGAGAGGGCGAGGCAGGAGCATGGAGGAGTAAAGCAATGATCATTTTATGCGCCTTTCTGTGATGGTTTCATGACACGATTGCACAGGTGGGAAAGGCCCACAGACGGAATTATCTTCGCGGGAGGCATCATAGGTGCCAGTGATGGCTGCAGCGGTGGTGAGAAATAGTACCTGGTGATGTTGATGTGATACTTAGAGTAGCACACGCTTGTTTTCTAAGTACCTGCTACTGCAGCTACCATTCACCAACTGATTAAAATCCACGGCGCGCGAGGGTAACTGGTTATTGATCAAGGAATATTACAGATCGTAGTTAGCCATACCGATACAGTGACGCTATGCGCACCACTTACTGAGCGCGTGAGGTCTCTCTGTTACCATAAATAACATGGGCAGAGAAAAGTTAATACCGTGTCAACAACCTTGACGTGGTAGGAAAACATTGTGTTAAATAAACAATATGATGAGATCAGACACACAATGATTGGAGCACCCAGATATCTCAGAAGCTGTGCAAGTAAGTATTATACTTGTAAAGACCACCACTCACACAAACGGCTGTCGCAGGCTCCCTCTGCGATTTTTCCTACAATTGTTATTTATGGCTTAACACAGCCAGGCTTATGCCTCCAAAGGTCCGCGGACATCTTTCATCCCCACCTGAGTGATATACGCATACATTGCGTTTGAGACACCTTTTTAATACAATTGAAACACACAAAAAACAGAGATAGACTCAAAAAAGGTTTGACAGCCTGAAAGCTTATCCAGCTGTCAGCTTGCGGGGCATATCCTCATTAATGGGTAATTACGGTGGGACGGAGGAGTAAACGAACTTGACGTAGACGGGGAATGTCTGGAACACTGAACTACATGGCGTATTGGGGCATGTCCGAATAGGAAAACAGTGAGGCGGACGAGCTGGCATAGGCACGAGATGCGAAACTTTGGACAGGGCGGTGAGTGGATGTAGCAAGATGAGAAACGCACCGGAGCTGAAGCTATAGTAAGAAGCAGGTATAGCCAGCATTGGCATCGCTCTCTTCAACTCGAACCGTTAATGACGCCAGATCCCAGTGCGATCGCACCTGTGAAAGATGCGAATATTAAGGGAAGGGACTGGGCAACCCAATGGCTTTTTTAAATGCGAAGGCGGAGGTGTATATCGAAAGGCGGGCGGTTGACCAAAAAAATAGTATAGCCTGTACACGATCTACATGGCTTGTGTCTTGTAGTAGGTGTGCTGGCGGCAGCAGTGGGATGTTTCGTTACTCGCAAGTAGGTCTGAGATCTAGAAACGAACGCTAACAGTCGCTTATGTAAACTTGCTTAGTAACTCCCTTCATCGTTCTCCCGCGCCTTTGAAACGCATCAATCAAGGTCCCGTACGCATGCTCTCCTGCCAAATTTGTGGTTGTCCTCGGCAAAACAACCCATGTTTTATTTCGACATACACAATTACTCAGCGACGGCGGTCTAGTCAGTTCCAGACTGAGTGATGTTCTGCAACGTCTGGGTCCCCAGTTTCAAGTGCGTCACTGTGCGTGTATATCTATCATGTGCTTCCTTTATAAAGTTTAAATACGTGTCCAGTGTTGCAAGGCAAACGGCTCCGAGTTCAAGTTGTTCGAACAGCGTGTGTATCTCACCTATAGTACGTACACTCTCCGCCTCTGGGTTCATTTTACAGACTCTACAAACGCTTAAGTATGGCTCGGTACTGCACCTCAGTAATTCAGACTGCCCTTGCTGAGACAATTATTAACCTAAATTCACGAGTCACTTGACAGCGAGGCCGAGCAATGTCCTGTAACATCTGTGTTCCCAGTTTCAAGTATATGCATATATATCGCTTGCTTGCTTCATCTTATCCCAAATACAAGTCTGGTGCTTCTTCTGCAATGCCTTACTGACGGATTTCTGAACGCACGCGCTCAATAAAACGGTTACAGCAGTTCGAAATCATACTTCAACTTACAACTGGCCATGGCCACTCGGTATGCTACACATTCAATTTGCACCACCCACTTACTACACATATCCGCAGTCCAGTGTACGACACAATGTCAGATGCCTAATTCTGTGGTAGAACCCGGAACCGTCCAGAACCGTGGTCCATTTGGAATAACGCTCAAACTCGAAATCCCTGCCAATCCATTTGTTATGCCGCATCCAATTGCCAATGCCACTCACGTACTTTGTCCGGTTATTCCCTTGCAAAAATTCTGACGAGTTCAAGTTACAGTACCACCCGACCACCCTAATCAGCAGTCGCGGAGCCGTAATTGGCGGCGATGTTCCGCGAATATGTGAGATTCGACTTACGTCTGTTGAGAGGCAACGGTATGCGAGTGGTTCATCTTCGATCAAGTTCCTTTTGATTTCTGTCGATCTTACCACTATTAACCGGTCTCTAGTACCAGGCTCATCTATCACACAACCCGCGCAATACACAATAAGCCCACGTCTGTTGTCGACTGCTGGCTATGTGAATCCTGGCATAGGTTCATCAGAGTTGCATTGAAGTACACGTTGGCACGATCTGCGTATCTAGTAAAGGGTGGATCAACTCCTGAGTCGTGATATTGGAAATATCAAGAAAGTTCAACTTCGTCCAGCCGATATCACCGACATCTGTTTAACGTCTTCGGAAAACGCTCGTCGTCACTACAACCACTGACCTGGCTACTAGTACGCTCTGGTTGGTGGCAAAGTCATGCGGGCACCGAGCTTCGCTCTATCGAGTGTTTATATGCGTAGGGGCGGTGGGTTCATCTGCCGCATTCCTGCAAATGTGTAATCAGCATCACAGACCGACTTCGCCAAACCGTACCAAAAGGACACGTGGAGTGCGTTTCAGCCATAAAATTTACTTCACTCGCCACTATAATCATCATTGCTGCAGCGGTGGCTGGCGTAGTTATCGCATCCAGCAGCGACGGGCCGGACATACACTGCGTTCCTCACCAAGGTGAGCACTTTTTCAGCCTACGTGCAAACTTTAGACCACATGCTTATGGTCATCCGCTTATAAAGGGGGGGGGGGGTGCTCGGGGGGCGTCAAAAATTACAACAACGATAACGCTTTCGGGTATATGTGCGGGCCTGACGGGCACATCTAGTCCTGGTTGCCATGCTCGTGCAAGGATCCAATTTGCTATGTAATGACTGATGATGATGGGTTTCTCGTGGGCTGCTGTCAGCCTGTTGACGAACTTTTGACTTAATTTGACAACACTACAGTGCCTGGGTAAGCCTGTCTTTTCTTCTTGTCTTCCGAGTCCGAGTTGCTGGTGTACTTGCTTTCGCCAGTGCATGGAACAATTAACATGATACGTGCAGGAGGGCCTGAAGGAGTGCTATAATTGAGGGTCGTGATCACGCTGTCTCGTCGTCCAAATAATGAAGATGCTTCGTAAGTGAGATGTCGAATAAATTAGGCTATTAACGGGGGCTATATTGTGGATTTCGTGACAATCTTGATGTTTGCGAGATATTTGGAACACTTCTAGTTTTTCCAACCCCCGGGAATACTCCGACACATTGGCTCGCTCAGACGCTCTGGTGCGAAGGAAAATAGGAAACATATTTTGAGGATGGACGAGTATAACAGAGCAGTCGGTACCAAGTAACACCATACACGGAATGGGGTGAACACGCGAAGCACTTTCAACCCGAACACCAAACTACATAAATGTATCCTCCTTGCTCACGTCCCGCATCCCACATGCCGCCCATATAACAGCAGCCTTTAAACCCTCCACATCTTTATTCGTGCCCATCAGTCAGCTGGGTTTTGCCCCAGCTTCTTAAACCAATCCCTCCCAGCCTCCCACGAAACCCTCGCCGCCTCAACCCCATCAAGCGGATGCGTCTCCCCCTTAAACCATAACATCTCCACTCTCCTCTCCCTGCCTTTGAGCGCATGATAAAATCTCAACCCCTGCGCCGGTACCACACGCAAGTCGTCTTCTCCAATCAATAACAACACAGGCGCGCGTACATTGTCAACGTGCGCGATAGGCGATGCTTCAAACATTTTTTGGAATGTAGCAGGCATCATGAGCGAGTCCGGGGTAAATTGGAGCCCGAGTTCAGCATATGCCCAGTCGGGGATGTCAGACGCTGTTAGTTCGCCTACGCTAGTTACGGGGTTGCGCATCACTGCTGCATTGAATAGGGTTGGGTATTGGCCAATCACTGTGCATCAGTGTCGATGTGAAAAGTGTTTTTTTCTGGAGAAGGGAAGTCTTACAGTGCGCAGCGAGAAAACCACCGTGGCTTCCACCTTGAACAACTTGTCGTCCATGCTCTGAGATACCGAGTCGTACGAGCTCGTTGACACTCTCTACGACGTCTTGTACGTCCATTGTTCCACAGTGCCCAAGAAGTTTTTGGATATATTTTTCGCCGAATCCCATGGAGCCGGTATAGTTGGGAAGGGAGAGAGTATCTGCGAGCATGCTTGCCGTAAGCGGTCAGTAGTCGCGAAGTTGGAATGGACTTACATCCTTCTAAAGCCAGTGCAGCAGTAGCAGGGTAGAATGATGTTGTCGATGATGCATGTGGTCCTCCATGTGGAATGGTAATGCAGATGGGTTTCGGGCCAGGTCTCGTGGAAGCTTTCTTCGACTGGATAATAAGAGTCTCTGTTGGAGGACGCGCACCGATGGGTATAATCGAAGCAGTGAGATCGCGGAGTGCGTTTTCAGCTAAAAGGCATGATGAGACTTGGCAAGAATTCAAATTGACTTGAACGTACTCGCGAAAGATATTGTTGGCTTATCTAGGACTTTCCAATTGAGGTTGTCGCGTGGATCAAAGTATCCTAGTAATACCTCGGATGGGGTAGTAGGCGTGCTCCTTGAACAGATGAAGCACGTCTTGTTGTCTGTGGTATGGAAGTCCCAACTATACAAGGGTTCGCCATCTCGCATTTTTGTCTCGTCTGAAATCGCTCCTGATTCTGTATCGATGAAGAGGATTGTCGCACGAGAGCGCCATAAGGAGTGGAGCACGATGTATGTACGATTTCCACGACGTAAAAACGGACTGGAGGGCATGTTATAATTGGGATATAGGCCTGGAAAGTCGTTTTCGGAGGTAGGCTCCATCACGGTGTCCACGAGGACCTTGTTGGTGCCTGTGGCTAGGTCACGAGATTCCAGGGAAACGCAGGATGCGTGGGGACCACCGACGGGATTTGAGAACCAGAAGAGTTTAGTGGGCGTATGACCATCATCGTATAACACACGAGGTGAGCGGCAAGACCGTTCTGACGGAGTCAGCTTCAATGCGTTACACAATATTTTGGTGCCAAAAGGTGTCCCTTGCACGGTTACTGACTCGGGGAGCTTAATCTCCCATATGCCCATGGGACGATTGAAGCACCATTTGACCCCCAGCAGTCGACCGTCTTTGGTGTGTTCGTGTCCACTGGCATAGATGACATCTTCCGTCGCAAAAGTAGCTTGGCCAAAAAGGACGGGTACTTGGGCAGGCTGTGCCAACGAAAGGGCAACGAGCAACATGTCCTGCTTAGCAGCCCTGGTGAAGTCTGTGGATCTTGTCCAGCGGAATAGAAAAATGGTCGATCTTTTCCTGGCGCGAGATGGTTCACCAAAGTGCGGGGTGAATCTGAATTTAGGGTAAGGATCATCTGAAGCATTATCATCGCTGTTGATGTTTGCTTCGGCGGTGTATAGAAGGGATGTTTCCGATGGGGAGAAGGAGAGCGAGGATGTGAAATCTGACATCTGATTCGCAAGTATTTCGGGACGTTCGTGGATTATTGAACTCACCATCGGTATGGAAAGCATCATGGTACTTGGTAACATCCAAGGAAGCCTCCACCTGGGCGCCAGCCCAGATTTCAACGAAACGCTTCGTACTTGTGCCATTAGCAACCTCTCGGAGGATTGCCTGACGAGACTTGGAAGGAGATGTTGTAAACGCCTTAACTTCAGAGGAATCATGGGAGGTCGTCTGATTATCAGAAGTGATGCCCCTGGGAAAAGTCTTGGTGAGGGATCGTGTAATGTTGCGCTCGTGATCGCGAACAGAATAAGTGACGCGTGCAACTGTGCGGGTGTCTATCATCAATCTCTGATTATATTGATAGCCTACGCACCATCGTTGCCAACGAAATCAGCAGACACAGGAAGAGGTAACTCTGCTAGTTCCGTGTAAAACGTTGATGGACCAGTGTGTTGAAGTAAGGACATGTCAGTAGTTGTACTTGTATGATTCTGACGTTTCACAGATGACCGCTTGGATAAGCTGAGAGTGGGAGGACGAGAGATGTGCTTAGCACGTGTCCACTGCAACCTAAAGAACCTCAAATCGGTTGAAAACAAATTGACGGGATTGAATAGAAGGTAAGAAGACATGAACATGATACCAGGATATGCACTACAGCTAAATGCACTCTAGAAATTTAGAGACACGCCTGCTTATTACACCGCACTTGAGAACGTTATGAAGGTGGAGGAGAACAAGACCCTACCGGAAAATGCCGCAACAGATTTGTAACGTCAAGTTGAATCGTCGACACTGGCAAGTTGACAACTTGTGTCCAGCAGGGTTTAAACACATGTTACGCCTCGTCCTCCAGCTCAACTTTGTCTGACATGGACGAGCTATATAGGTCCTGTCGAGTTTGTTGTGTTTCGTGAGATTCGTGATATGATCTATTGGTTCAAAGGTTGGCATTAGCCCTATTGCATGCTGTCCTTTATAAAACAGGTGAGCTGTCAGCGTGCGATGCTTTATTATTGACCAGCAGGGATTGTTAGCACAGTTGAAATGTTCGTAATGATTATTGAATGCTGTCAGGACCGTGAAAAGTTCGGCAATTTCTCGCAACTACATCGTAGTCCTCTTCCATCTGGTCGTCCCTAGTACTGAAGATTATCATTGGGCGTTTGAAAGCGCATCTCAAGCGGACACTGGTTCCAAAGGCTAGGTGATGGAGGTCCAAGCCATCGCAGAACACCAGTCGCAACCTCAACTCATCATGCATTTGGAATAGGTTATGATCTTATCGTTCTGATTGAATGGGGGTTTTCAGTGTATTTTTGCTTTGCCGAAGGTAAAGTATACATTCTTGCATCTCGCTACATGCACCGATCCTGTATCGCCATTGAATGGACATGGGCGTGGAAGTGATGGAGGGAGATACCGTAGGCTGTCCGGCGGTTAGGAAGAGAAGGCACTAGGATCTACTAAGTAATGTCAGGAATTACTTAGTGAGGGGTGGATCAACTCGTGAGTCGTGATATTGGAAATATCAAGACGGTTTCGTCCATGTATTCCACAGCCGATATCAGCAACATCTATTTAACGTCTTCGGAAAATGCTTCCTGTCCCCCCAGCCACTGACCTGGATACTTGTATGCCATGGCTAGTGGCAAAGTCATGCGGGCACCGAACATCGCTCTATCGAGTGTTTATGTGTGTATGGTCAGTGAGCGCATCCCAGCAAGTGTGAATTGAATGAATAAATCATCATCACATATCAACGTTCGCCGAACTATACCAAAAGGACTCGTGCCACGAGTGCGTCCGTCACATTATTGGTGTTGTTGGCAAAACTCGGTAGTTTTGCCAACCGGTTCGGCAAAACTGGTTGTGCCCGGTCCTCGGTAGAACTCACGCAAAAGGGGGTAGCAAAACTTGGTAGAACTCCAGGGTATCCGAGACTCAGAGGTGTAATTTAAATCTCTGATAACATGGTTTGAATTCAAGAGAACATGCAAGACGACACTCCTAAAGTAAGATGGTGCATGCTGGAGGGTGCCCCCTTGCATCACTGATAACGACAATTTCGAGTGCCTGGAACAAATTGACAACAGCTCACATCGTTACTACTGAAAATGGCATCAGACATTGCAGTGACACTGGTAACTCATCAGGTGCTCGGAAGGAATGCTCTTGATTTTGACAAGTTGGACCAGGTCGAACAAGGAATGATACCACAGACTGTTCTAGATGAGGTTGAGATGGGTGAGGGTAACGGCTGGGATGAGGTAACATCATTAGGAATGTCGTACACATACTAATAGCCTACAATTAACCTAGCTAAGCGCTTAGAGTTTTGCCCCCCACACTACACATTATTGAAGGCCTTCGAGAAAAATATGACACGATGCGTGAGCTGGCAAATTGCCAAACTATTTGGCTGCGCCCTATACTATTCGTGTATAAAAGCCAACGTACTTGATTCAGAAAACACTATCAAGTTTCAGCCATGAAATTCACTTCACTCCGGGTCACCTCTGTAATGATCGCTGTCACAGCAACGGCTGGCATGGCTGTCGTATCCAACGGCGATGGGCCAGACATACCCTGTTCTCCTTACACAGGTGAATACTTTTGCAGCCTACATGCAGACCATAGATCACATGCTCATGGCCATCCACCTATAAAGGGGGGTGCTCGGGGGGCATCAAAAGTTACAACAATGGCAACGCTTTCGGGTATGTTTGCGGACCTAACGGACACGTAACGGCCTGGTATCCATGCTCATGCCCAACTTGCTGTGGAGTAGTCACGGGCTATGGGATGCTTGATCCCGGATGTATCACAAAACCAGAGTCTGAGTGAGCCTTTCTTTTCTCGTTGTCTCCTGAGTTCGAGTTGCTGATGTGCTTGCTTTCGCCAGCATGGAACAATTAGCATGATACATGCAAGAGGGCGTGAAAAGTGCTATAATTGAGAGTCATGATCACGCTGTCTCATTGTCCAAAGAATGAAGACGTTTTGTAAGTGTGATGTCGAATAAACTAGGCGATAGACGGGGGCCACATTGTGTGGCTTTTATGACAATCTCGATGTTTGGAACACTTCTAGTTTTTCCGTCCCCCCAGGCCGGGAGTACCCCGACACACCAGCTCACTCTGACGCTTTGGTGCGAAGGAAAATAGGAAATATATTTCAGGGATGGGCGAGTATAACACTGCAGTCGGTACGAAATAATACTATATACGGGATATGGCGAACAAGCGAGGTGCTTTTCAGCTTAATTCCAGCCCGGACACCACGCAAACATATCCTCATTGCTCTCATCCCGCATCCCACACGCGGCCCACGCAACAGCAGCATTTAAATCCTCCACATTATCATTATTCGTGCCCATATATTACCATCAGTCAGCTGAGTTTTGCCCCAGCTTCTTACACCAATCCCTCCCAGCCTCCCATGAAACCCTCGCTGCCTCAACCCCATCAAGCAGATGCATCTCCTCCTTGAACAAGAGGACGAGTCTATTGTGGCCCTAGGACCATCTGGTATGTCTGTGCCTCCTTAATGAAAGGTTGTCTCTCTTATTACTTTTCGTTTTGTTCGTCCCAGGCGCTCGTGCATGTCCTCAAAAACCTGTTACACAATCAACTATCTCCCCCTTCGAACAACTCCAATCTGAGATCTAAGACCCAAGGCTAGGTATACACTCAATGAATTACTAACTATACACTCGATATCGTGGTCTACGTAAGGTTCTCTGACGTCTTCGCAAGTCAATTTACTGGAATAACAAAGAGCTAAAAATATCGATTTAATCAACTGCGTGGAACGGAGAGAGCAAGATTGAGTGGACCGAATGAGCGCGTCCCAGCAAGACGACTGGCTGCACCATCATAATGAATGCGGTACCGTATTGCTCTCATTCGTTTCCTCAGCGTCCAACATCACGAGCTACATCGACCAGGTAATAAATTTGCATCTTGTCTGTACAGCAGCATATCTAATTTCAAACCAAGCTCCGACTTTCTTTCAGCGTCTTCTGCACAAGCACTGGACGAACTACCGGACGGAACCGAGTTCCCATCAGAAACTGCAGGCTCGCATGATGCTGCTACCTTACTTTCCCGCCTCTGCCTCCCCAAGGTCACTTCAGTGATGACATACCTTTTCCAGTCCACGCCTCTCCTCCAGTCCAGCTTCCGGACGGAATCCGAGACCCTCCACAAACCATCAACTCGCGTGACATAGCTCCATCCCCATCCCCATCATTTCCTCCTCAAGGCTCAGGCTCCGTCCTCAAATAGCCGCTGCTTCAGCGTCCACTCCGGTTCTAGCCTCACCTCCAAAGTCATTTTTGAAGCGCTGTCCTATGCTCAATAGGTCTGCAGTGTCTGTAGACTCTAAGCAGTGGAATTTCCCGCGCATCACGTAGTACGCAACACTCCACTCTGTTAAAGCATGCGCATATTCTGAATTTGATACTTAGGCGGTGCAGGCACCGGAGTGTCGAACACCAAGCAGGCCCTCATGCATTAGTATGTCTATGAGTCTGCTCTTCATCTCCGGTATGATCTTAGTAGACTCTTGGCTGTGACCTTCAGGCTCACCCCTCTTTCTATTGCGTTGTCCCCCCTGCCTATGTAGTCTGGCTGCAACACCTGTATCATTGACTGCTGTTGGTCGTACGTTGGCAGTCACAGGTGTCCATAGGAAATTCACTTGATACGAAAGTAGACGCAGACAGAAGGAAAGTGATAGGCAAGGTAAATTCGAACGCGGTGGCTGTCTTACCGCAGAAACTATGCATTTAGCTACCTAGTCGACAATGAACATACTATAATACGGCTACTAACTGAAAACGGGGGACCCACTGAATGATGCATGGCACCTTCACACTCCCAGTCATTTGAAGATCGAAATACACCCAACATGTACACAAAACTTGTACGTATACATGAACATTAATCCAAGACAGGCACAAACACCCATCCAAACGCCCTAACCTCATTCCCCTTCGTCCCCAAATACCTCTCCGTCTCATACAGCCAATTCACACTCCCAGCAATACAATCCCGTAACCCCTTTACATACCGCCTGGCGTCGTCATTCATCACAGCACACGCAGCGAACTGGCGCTCAGTAACCAAGAATGCATCTGCGCTCTGCTTCACGAGCGTGCCTACATACGCAAGCGCACTCCCGAACGAACAATTCCGATCTTTCATTAGGACGGTAACGATGTTGAGTTTTGAGCTTGGGGTCATGCCTTTTGCACATGAGATAGCGTCCTAGAACCGATATTAATCCTAAGTATATACATATTGTTTCACGCAAGCACGTACCTCGGACCAAGCTATAAGATCACAAGCCTGGTCTGTCAACTGCTTCAACACCGGATGCGAAGACGCCCGTTCTGGGAGGTCCAATCCCCCTGCGTACTCGATCAGGTGAAACACCATCCTCAAACCTGACGCGTTTCTTCGTAGGTCGACATATGTCTCCAAATCCGGGATACACGTCGAATTCAGGGAATGAAGACGCCGCCTTGCATCGTGATACGCACGCATAGATCGATGAAAACGCATGTACCACGCTGGGCTTTTGTACGCGACGCGACTGAGTCGGTCGGATATTCTTCGTGCGTGTTGTCAGCGAAATCAACTGTCATTGGACCGTTATGGGAACTCACAGATCAATCATCCCGTTCTCATTTTCATTTTTATTCTCATCACCACCACCATCCCGCTCCCACCCCTGCTCCTGCTCAAAAACCAACAAACTCAAAAAATCCACTGCCAACCTCAGCTGAGTCAAATCCGCACCAGGATAGCACAAAGCAGCCCACAACCCAACTTTCATTCCTTTCCACTCCAGCTTCAACCCTACCTCGCGCAACCACGCCTCGCTCGCTCGAGATACGGACCTACAATGCCGATTGACACGTAATTCAAAGGGCGCGCATGAAGAGAGGAGGTCGGGGAGTTGGACGCTTACTGTGTGCGAACAGGCAGGAGTTAGTGGTGGTGAGTCGGACATTGCATTCGCGTTGTGGGTCCTTGTTGAATGACAGGGTGAAACACCAGCGTGAAGGTGACTTGGAAGCCCTGGGGCGAGGCTGATTTTGAAAGGCGCGACGGGCACGGGATACAACGTAATGATCCGACACGAGCGCTTGCTTATATTAGACGTACAATAGAAGAAGACGAAGCATGGTGTCCGTTGATCGGCGCCCATGGCCGTAAGCTTGAGGCAGGTGACTACCCATGGAACGGGACGTTTGAGAAGACCATTGTTCTCCCCTTCAAGGCTGCTGACTTGTCTAACCTCGCCAGAGTTGTTAACACTCAAAGCTACGGCCACTGCAAGATGTAGTGACAGTACACGTGTCCAGTGTCTCAGCCAACGTTGCAATCCGTTGGATACGTTCTGATTTTCCCTGAGTGCTAAATCCTTGTCGCCTTACAACCGAGTCCCGACAGGTTCTGATCCCCCCCAAGCATCGAGTTCTTGCTGTAGGAAAAGGAGGCACACGACCAGAGTGATTGATCCAAGGAATTTAATTCAATTCATCAACACCCCTCACGCACATCAAGTCATCACCTATACTAGGCGCCGCTGAACTCAGTCTTGGGGATGATGTCTGTATTCCTGTAGCAAGGGAGACACGCTTGTGTCACGGTCGGCACCCTCCGTTCTCTCATTCTTAACAATGACGCTGGCGTTCCCCACGATCCCATCCTCCATCATCTCGTGCTGAAAACTGTGGGACCCCCTTTGTGAGATGCGGGCACAACGAAAGACCTCATTTTGGGGTCTCTCGCCGCACTCAGAGGTTCGTCATCATTCAGTTAGCGTGCTGATCACCTTCATGAATCATTATATTTTCAGGACATCAAGGACTCGTGGAGCAATGCATTCTTCATCAAGACATGAGTCCAGGCAATTTTTTCGGTGGTTCTGATCATGCTAAAGGTTGGAAGGGGTTTGTCGCAGATCTCGAACTCGCTTCAGTGGCACAGCCAGAGACTGAAACCACAGTCTCATTGCATCCGCTCTCCCCCTTCGCAGGTCAGCTGAATACTAGAGGCGTCTCTCTGGAGGAAACTGTCCCCTCGGTGAAGATCAAAGTGTATCTACTTTGCAACTTGCCTGTTTCCACTAAACATTATCTTCAGGGTACTGCTTTGTTTATGACCGAGGAACTTGTATCCATGATGCTTCTCCCGGACAAGTCCAAGAAGGAAATTTGACCGGCACACATTAAACGCGGGGTACACCATGACCTGGAGTCTTTCATTCTTGTTGTTTTCTATTCGGTCATGAAACGTGGTCTGGAGCGTCGACTCTGGGATAAGGATCCAGGCAATGAATCTCAGATCCAACAACTTTACTGTACTTTGTTCGGTGGCCATACTATTCGGATAATTCGACAAGATTTCTCAATGAGAGCGGTCCCCCTTGTGTATCTTTTTAGATGTCCTGGATTCGCCAATGGAGCAACTACTTTATGGTTGTTGGAGGCTTTTGAAAATCCAGCGGCCCTCCAACTTTCCCAAAAATGAATGTAGGCTGAAAGTTGATCAAAAGATGCAATGGGAGAGTGGTTCGGAGGATCTGAAGGTGATCACTTCTGTGCAGTTGTACCATGTCTATGACGTGGCGGTCTGCGAGCTTTCAGAAGTTAACTAGGATAATAGAATAATTTTGTCGTCAAAGAATAGAGGCCTTGTATGTCCATGCGCTAGTATGGCGCAACTTTATGATCTGGATATGTGAACTTCAGAAATGGATTTCTTCATCAGTGTTTGCGTTTGCCACACAAAATTATTTATTACAGGGTCCTGTGCATCATCCTGCAAAGGCGGGAGTGAGGACCGCTGGAACAAGATCATTACAATAGATGTAGGGGTGATGTTCGATACACTCGCTTTCGAATGATAGCTCTCCCTCCACCGACACATAAAAGTTGCCTCAGTCGCCCCCAATGTTTCCGAAGTGAACAGTACTAGAAGCAGTTGTAAGTAGTTTCACGGAATGATGGCCCAACTCTACTTACAATGGTGGTCCATCCTACCCTAGATGGACAACATGTTATTTCCCCATCCTTCCTATGAACGACAGGATGAGCATTCACGTTCCGAAGACGTATAATAGAGGCTGGTTTAGAAGGAGATTGACATGCGTATTTGGACTCGATGACTTTGGCGAGCAATGGAATAAATGAATACTGCCCCCTGCCTTAATGCATTAAGAATCCGAGACATGATGATGAGGCTGGCGATTCCACTCAATTTCGAACGCGCAAAACAAAGTACTCACCCCCGCTGCGGCAGGACAAGACCCAGATCATGGCATGCTCAAAGCACAAAGATATTCCACGGGAAAGCACAGCGCTGTCGAGGGGGACGTAGAAGGAGTACCCTGTGGCAGTCATGTATTAGGCTCAAAACTTCAAATGACAGGACCATGGGATGGTAGAGAGTGAGCTCTCTTAGGACAACTTATACAGAATTTACCGGAGCGTACACGTACTGCTCTTGTCCTCTGGCCCAACCTAGTCTAAACAGCGGGACTGATTGCGCACGAGGTAGTATGAGGAAGTTTGGTGTCAGAGTCCAGAATCCGAGACTGAATTGGAGTCATAATATATAAGAAAAACGGTACTGCGCGCAAGCCTGCAGGAGGATTGCAACCCAAGGATTTCTAGAATCTGAAGTGCAGCGCGGAGGTTTGCAGTGAGTGTCGCCCAAGTTGTGAGTTATGTAAAATGAAATTACATACCGGTCACGTTTGATGTGCACAGCCTCCCATGCAGGCTCGTTTGATCCTCGTTGCAATTGGAAATATTGTTATCCGAATATTTCTCCTAGACCTCATCATTCGCCACAGCGCGCTGCAACGCTTCCTCGTCGTTGAGCACGACCTAATCCATCATACGTTGTCGTATATCTAACTGATGACGGTCCACCGTCCTCCAGACTCTCGTCTCCTTTCCAACCTCATAGCACACGAAAAGGAGTACACGAAACATTTATCCGCTCTTTTCCCCATATCACATGCTGCTCTCGCATCTCTTTCTGCATTCGCGGCTGCCTCACCTTCGGCTATTCCTAGTAGTTCTTCAGTCTCCCTAGCACAAACTATTGGCACCATTGTTGATGTCCTCTCCGGCGCGGACGATGCTCTTCAGCTGTACAATCAGGCGGTTGAGAACTGGCGCGACCAACTCGGCCACTTGATAAAACTCGAGGAAGACATAGCAGCTATTCTCCGTGACAGGGAAATTCTGTGCGTCTTAACTCTTTCTCTACCAGCTCTCCGTTAACCTTCATTTCAGAATAACTCGGCTCATCAAAGTTTCCAAATCCTCCAAGACCACACGGGATCCTCGCTCATCACTCGTTCTACCATCTGGTTCTACCTCATTTACATCTCTCCCTTCCACCAATTCTACGTTACATGGCTCTTCGAACACCAAACTTTTGCAAGCTCAAGAGGAGCTACGCGCATGCGAGAATCATTTGGCTACCAAAGAGCTGGAATTGGAGGCACTTCGGATTAGCATAGCTAGAGAAGGTCTCGGTGCTCGCTGTCGGGCTCTTATTGATTGTGGGTGGGCTTGGGGTGAAATGGGCAAGGAGGGTCTTCGGGCGTTACAGAGTCTTAATGCTCCAAGTCCTGATGGTAAAGGTATGATACTTTACCGCTTTTTCCCCCGATCACCCATTCATAAACGCGTATCCAGTTCCAGAACCGCCCTTGTCGTCATTTCCGTTGCATTCGCATTCGCCCTCCACGTCCATTACTCCCAAACAAAAACCTTTACGTTCTCCCGCGCTGCCTTCTCATGTTGCACAGGGCCCACTATCATACTCCTCCGACATTTCCTCCCTCACGCCTTCTCAAAGTGCATCCCAACAGCACGATTGGCCCTCTCGTGGAACTAGCCAAGAAGGCGCGGTTCCTGATCATCCTAGCTCCAATGGTCATGAAGAGGTGACAATCAATATCCCTCCTGCGCACGCCATCTCAGAACTTACCATGCCCACTGGTGTCCCTTCCCCGTCCCCTCTCAGAGCCCCCTTATCTGAGAGTTCGACAGACCTCGAGGCTCATCCCCTCCCACGTGGCAGTAGCACACAACGAATCCGCCGTCCATTATCCAAACGCATCACCGAGGTAGACGAAAATGAGTACAGGGAGAAGCCTGCTCTCGTAGCAGACTCCTTCACATCCCTAACGGTGCTCGCAATGCAGACGATAGCAGTGAAGATGGGGAGACTCAAGGTCCCTTAGAGGTCGTCGAGAACGATCCATTCAAACAATTGAAGCGTCTTTCACTCCGTCACGAAGTATCTCCAGACGCTGTTGAGCGCACACCCGAGCGTAACGGTAAACAGCGGGAGCGTAAACCATCCATGAGTTTTTTCGGCTCTCTGCGTGGTCTATTCAAGATCTCGCACAAGGACCAAACTCGTGCGGAATGGAGTGACACTACAGAATCCCCGCATGCGAGTCCAAGCAACAAAGGGAAGAAGGGCTGGTCTACGCGAACAGATGCAAACATGAAGGCTTCCAGATCTCGAGACAGCTCAGAGTCTGAGTCTGAGAAAATACTTAAATCCCCCCTGCCTTCAGGAGGTGCGAAGTTGCGCAAGGGGCGGTCACAGATGACAGCTCTTGCATCATCTAGTGGATGGCAGACGGACGGACCCCCTTCTGCAAGTCCACGCACAAGCGTCAGGCGGAAAAAGAAGAAGTCAGTTGCGGAGCTCAAGGGCAAGGACGGCGGATATACAGATGGCGAGCTTGACGCAAATGATTCAGTTCCTTCGAGCCTCCCATCTCGGAACCAGTCGGAGGTTGTTACCCGACGTTCGTCTGTAAAGCGGCAGACAACCCCAACCTCCAACCCCAGGCTCAACCGCTCGACCTTTCACGTGCCTCCTCACTCTCAACGCGAAATAGCGTCAGGTCGGCTCCAAATCAGCCAGCAGTCAAGCCGCAACATCGCAGAGCAACTACAGACCTCTCCGGGAATATTGATAACATCAATGGGGAAGCGCCTTGTGAAGGTTATCCGCGGCGATCAGCCTCCCTCACATATGGTGCTGCACCTCAACACCTAGGGGATTCTTCTGGTCCTGCGAGATCGAAACCCAAGCGTACACCCAAAGCAGGGACAGTCCATCCTCTCCCAGCAAAAGGCAGCACCAGTGTGAGTCTTATGAGCATCGTTGAGGATGTCGCACAACAGAATCGCAACGGCCGGGGTGCTACAGCCACAGGCTCATCGAGTCCAGGCACAACGAAACTTGAGGTCCCGCGTGCCCCTATACCAGGTGTGCCTACCAATGCTACGTGGTCCCCAAAACTTTCAGATGATCGGCTTCCTGTCCGTTCAGGATCATTGGACATTCCCCGCGCACCGGGAACAGCGAAACCCAAATACGAAACCCCGCCTCGTCGCTCGTCTATTGGAAAGGGGAGTAGTCCAGCTGCAGCTACTGGAAGCCTTTCCAAACAGACCTCCCGACCAGCTGTGTCGCCCCTTCGTTCGGCTCTTCGAAATTCTAGTCGTACACCATCACCCAGCCCAGCTCAATTATCAGAGATACGGAAGCGAGAAACTGATGTGCGCGTTGAGGAGGATGATGAACCTCGTGGAAGGACAGAGCAACCCGGGGAGTGCACTCCAAGACCAGCTCGGCCTAGGCAGGCTAGTGAACTGAATGATATTTCGATAAGAGATTCAGTTTCGATGACATCAATATCATCGTATAGAACGGCAGAGGAAAGTCCTATCGAGGGGGGGTCAACTCCCCCGGCTCCGCAACATGATACCGAGTCATCCACGATCTCCACTGAAACACCGACAAGACAAAAGAGTGTTCGGGTATCTCTTCAGCCGACATTCTCCCCTACTCCGCCTGCCCTGGAAGATGATGAAGCTCATGGCCGCTACCCCTGGAGCTCAACGAAGAAGGACCGTGACCACCACGATGGATCCAGCGAACCTGTCATATGGCAAGACTCAAGTGACGAAGACGAGGAGTATAGTCGCGCACGGAAACTGCTTAGTAGAGCCGGTAAGAGAGATAAGGGGAAGAAAAAGAATGTATAGCCTGTGGTCGAACTTGAAGGCGGTCGTTTGGCCCTTGATCAATATTTATTCCTTATCATCTTCGGCGATTCATACACGGTCCTTGGTTGATTGTTACATACTTCTCATATAATTTTTCTATCAGTTTGGTTTTACAGTCGAGCCTTTACTTTACATATTCTGAATACATAGACTGGATCATCGTACATGCTGATTAGGTAAAGAAGCGGTACAAACACCGACAATCTCTGCTCGCCGTCCCGTCCTCACAAATCTCTCCTTGTCTTCGTCACTTCCTCACTGAGTTTATCTCACCCACGTTATCCGCGTTTCCCAATCTTTATTCACGTTATTTGTACAATTTTTACTCGCCACCATGGCTGAAGAGCAGCAAAATTCCCAAGGACAGGAAGAATTTAAGCTTGAGGAAAACGCGCCAATTAATGTCAAGGTACGAAAATCGATGGCATCGCATCGATTGACGCGACTTCCCATCTCACAACGGATCGCAAATCTGATCTTCTCCCCTAGGTTGTAAGCTCAACTGGGGACGAGGTTTTCTTCAAAATCAAGCGCAACACCAAGTTGAGCAAGCTTCAAGGCGCTTATGCTACTAAAGTCGGCAAGGATGTGGGCAGCATTCGGTGAGTAAAATTTTCCAATTTGTCTTTTTAGAAGTTGGGCAGGTTGTTGTTCTTGGTGGTGTAAACTATGTTGGTTCCCTATGTGCTGAACGACCCTTAATCAGATTTTTGTACGACGGATCGAGAATCAACGACGATGATACGCCTGCAAGCCTCGACATGGAGGACAATGGTGAGTCTTTTTACTTTGTCTTATATTTGTCTGTTTCTGAAATTACTCCTATCTAGATACGATTGATGTGATGGTAGAACGTGCGCACTCTTCCAGTTTCTTCGTTACTTTCCTAATTTTTGATCTCATTATCCTCCTTTTGGATATGCAGAGGTTGGCGGTTCATCTCCTGCATATTTGTACAGTCGTCGCCCATAATTGTAACACTACCGTTTATTCGCTTTCCTTGTCAATCTCACGAGCATTCATATGCATCGACCGATACCTTTTGGATGACGCATCGCTTAGTGCTTGGCTCTGTCGAGTAATGCGTTCATTTCTCTCAATCAAATCCCTCGTCGCCCGCTCAGCGTCCTGTTGTTGGGTGCTGTAATATATGTCTGCAGTGCTGCAGAATCTATACTCGCTCTAAACACCAAGTATGCTTATCTGGCTGATGGTGTGCTTGTTGATCCCGTTGACCACGGGATCATCAGCCCTCGGCACGGATCACAACTGTGCATGTCGGCATGCTATCGAAATAAGGTGTGTACCTTGATCTGCTTACCTTGTGTGCCACTCGTGAAGTTTACACGACAAAGCAATCCAAAAGCCTAATGTACTCCACGTCATATTGAGTAGATTGTCACTCTTAGGGAGTATCAGCGTGGACTACGTACTTGACATGTAGTACAATCAGGGCACTAGCTCAGAAAACCAGCATACATTGTTATCAAGTATGCTCGTCATTAAGCGCCGTAGAATATATACCCTGCCCGAAGTCGAACAGTTATTACAGGCTTTTACAATGCTTTTAGATGTAAAAGTCCGAATCCATGAGGATGACATTGAGCTAGATAGAACAAGAGTAGCAACGGTAGTAGAATTAAACGGTCTCGCGCGGGAATAAGTGTGAAATGTAACTCCAGTGATGAATTATAAAATGAAGAATTGTCAAGTTGCGGGTCATGATGTGAATAGATGATATCAGATAAGTAACATGCAAAAAAAGTGAGAAAACACGGAATGCTCATGCAGGTCTCCACTCAGTGCCTGGTCTGTCAACCATGTGCAACACTTCTTGCCAGCTTGCCGGGGGTTCACTAGACACTGAAGTGCCTCCCATTGTAGCAGGCGCTGTTATGAACGATTGAGCCGCGGTACTGATGTCGGGTCGGCTATCATCGCTTTGCCCCCCATACGGCCGCCTGGGGATATCTAATCGCTCGACCTCTCGCTCGCGGGAAGTAGGACGAGCAGTAAGATGAGAGGTAGTGGCCTCCGAAGGTGCAGAAATAGAGGGGGTGTAGATAGAGGGGTTCGAGGAAGCCTCCCTCAGACGAGACCCGGAGCTTTGTCCCACAGGTGGCTTCACCCCGAAAGTATAATTCTCGTTGCTGCTGTGAACTCCCTCTGACCCGCTACGTGAGCGAGAGTCGGATGAGAACGCCATGTCCTCCTCAAGACGAGCCATAGACGAATTTGCACGAGAGCGCATGGACTGGACAAGATCCAACGATGATCGTGAGGCGGCTCCGATACTGTGTATGAGTGACTGTGTCCGCGAACGAACAGCTGAACCAGCACGGGAACTCGACGAACCAGATCGAGAGCCAGATCGAGAACGTCCAGATTGTGAACGTCCAGAATCTGAGCGATGACCACGACGACGACGGCTGCTGACCATCGAAGATTTCGGGCTGCGAGGACCAACTCCGAGGAGACCAACACTATCCTCGCCCTCCGCGGCTTCATGGGTCCTTCAGGCACAGGCTGCTCCATCATCTGAGGCTCATCATCCTGGTCTTCTGCCTCTTCCTCTTCCTCATCACCATCATCCTCTGCTTCATCATCATCGTCAACCTCCTCACTAAGGAAGGACTCATAACCGCCCCCACCAAAAGTCTCCGTATGGTCGCTGTCGACACGACTTCTGGTAGGAGTAGTGTACACGATCGAGGGAGATGATAACACTGGAACAGTTCCTGCACGAGCGCGACCACGACCTGGTTGGGGGTGACGAGGGGGCATAGGTATCGGGCTACCATATCCAGAACTAGGACTGGACAAGCCCGAGCTCATGCCGTGCGAACTGGGAGACTCAGATGAGGTATCACGATTGCCGGTGGATTGTGTAGAATTTGATGTTCGCGACTCCGTTGAGCGGGTATTCGTCGATGGATGTGTCCTAGGAGTTGAGTGTGTACCAGCCGCTGAAGAAACTGAACCTCCACGGGTAGGACGGCGAAGTTGGAATGGGTAACGAGATGATACCGGCTGTCCAAGACTGGACATCGAACCGGAGGTGCGTGGCGGAGCTTCGCTGTTATCTTCGACCTCGATCTCGATCTCAACCTCGGCCCCGGCCCGGCCTCCTCTTCTGACTCCTCTTCTTCATCATTATGATCATCCTCTTCATCATCTTGTGCTGGACGTTCCGAGCCACTGGTGGGTGGTGATCTACGTTTTTCCTTCCTGGAACCAGGGGAAGGCGGGAAGGGAATTTGATCTTTAGACGATACTTGGGCACCATACCCAGCGAACGGATACGGAAGCTTGAGCAGGGGTGCAGAAGGACCGGTCATCTCCTTGTCCTTCGATGATCTCTTTACAACTTTGGGGATGATCTCAGACAGCTCCGGTGGAGGCGCTGGCGCCTCACCAGACTCCTCTCTTGGATAGGCAAAAAGATCATCTGAAAGCGCACCGCGCCTTGCTAGTGGTGGCACAGAAGGTAAACCGACAGCCGCAAGCACCTGCTCGACTTCAAACGGTGGGGAGGTTTCCAAGCCTAGTGGTCCTGATTCCTCCTTCTTTTCGGCACCAGACCACCGTGCAGGAGGCTTCACCGTCAAGCAAAAATCATAGGCTTCTTGGATACGTAGACGCGTACAAATTCTCCAGCTCCACGGGAGAGCATCCGCTTCAGAGGCACCATCGCTGTTGTAGTTGGACACTGACTTTTCGTGATCTTCTTCCTCCCATCTGAAACGCGGCCCACAGAGTCCGGCACAGCCATGGCCGCTAAGAATCCACAGACCAATCCTGTTCATGTTTTTTTTAAAAAAACAAAAATATATTAGGCTGTGATCGCTCACCAGCTGAGGAGTAGCACAAGGACACGCCACGCCGTCCAAGCGGCATTGGCAATAAGAACGCCACGGGCGTAAGCCGTTAGTGTGCCATCAGATGCACTAAAATAAGTTCCATCGCGACGATTGAAGCCAGCTTCGAGCATAGCAACATAATCAGGAGAAGCGGATGTAAATGTGAGCAGTAAAGCTAGGGAGAGTCCCGCTCGAGGTAGTAGAAGCGCAACAGTGGGCAGGTTCTGTGAGTAAAACCAGAACGTTTCCGCAATGCCATCACGAAGACTACCATTTTCGCCGAAGAAAGCCGAGAAGCGGATGTACTGCATGAAGCAGAAGTTCGTGTATGACGTCATGGAAGCGAGGTTGAAAGCAGCTGAAGAAAGATATAATGGCGTGATGAGTGGTCGCTCTATATCGTTTTCAGTGTCGCATATAATTTGTTGAAAGATAGTACTCACTAGCACGCCATCGGCGCCAGAAGGAGTAGACAAGTTCATATAGAACAAAAACCGTAGTAATCCAAGCCAGCCAACAAGCTATGTACGCTGCAGCACCGAGCTCCCAATTCTTGCCCGAACCTGGCACGCCTGGTGCGGAGGGATTAGGAAACCTGGCGATCCTGCGGAATGATAAAATTAGACTGCCTATTAATCCTTAAACGAGATAAAAACTTACTGCAAGATTATAAATACAGCGTTGAAGTCGAAGAATGTTTGCACAGGAATGTGGTAAAAAGTCATGAAAGGAAGCAAGTAAAAGTAAAGACGAGTTAGGGCAGAAGGGTTCCGAAGCAGTTCCGGGTGAAGACCAGATGACCGAAACTTGGGTGGTTGAGAGTGCTCCTGTGTTTTAACTGTTGGTAGCACTAGAGTTTCGCTCAAACCAGTAGTCGTAGCACGCGACCAGACTCGAGGACGTAGAGGGTTGCTCTGTGGAGTCTGGTCTGTAATATCCCGGCGATTATACGGATTAGCGCTAGCCTGCGCATTGTCCTGGAGGCTCACAACACGTACGGAACGTGGTGTAGCCTTTCGACCACCCGAGAACGTCTCGGGTGGAGGAGGCTCGAACATTCCAACGGAGGAGTGGAAAGTTGATGCTGGTGCAGGCGGCGGAGGCCTCCTTGGGAGCCATGAGGGATAACCCTCTGAACCTTCTGATATTCTCGGATGAGTAGAAGAAGACGGGCGTTCAGAGACGTAGCCTCTGTTTGGGGAATCCCCATGCGCAGATGCGCTTAGAGGAGAATCGGAAGACGTGCTGGGCTGCAGTCGTGACATATCGTTAATAAAATGAAAATATCATGCAATGGATGAAATAATAAGCGAGTTCGTGAAGACGTAGCAGAATATAAGTTGGTGTCGCGTTAGAGAACTTATTTTTTTTGTGGATAGTTGAATAATAGAAAATGGAGAGGATGCGAGTAAGATGGAAAGCAAGATGTAGAGCGGGATGTCAAGATAAAAGTCTCCAAGGACGATGTACCAGAGAGATCTAAAGGAACAGGCAAGCCTCGTGTTCCAAGTCCACGATTAAGAGCCTCGTGTCTTTCCCTTTCGTATATAGTGAACCAAAAGGTGGGAAGAAGGCGCGCGCAAAACCAACATGCGCGCTGCCCTGAAAAACTAAATATCCTGCCCCCCAAAAAAGGAAACCGAACAAGAATGCTTCCGCTTACCAGATCCTTACGGAAACAAATCGGACCTTAGTGACGGCTTGCCAACCTTCTGAATGAAAGGAAAAGAACGTTGGGGAACAAGAGGACGAGTAAAGCTTTCGCTGAAAGTACCGGCAGCTGCCTGCGCTGCGAGAAACGAGTGACTATGAATCAAGCTAGTGATAGTGATGGTGGTAAGGGAGAGAGTTGTGTATTCGTGTGTTTTCCTATGTCACTCAAATGTCACCATCGTCGTTAGGCGGGAAACATGAAGAACAACAGAGACAATGATAACGTAGTTTGTACTTCACTACAGGTGTTTAATCTAATCAATATAATTACTACAGTAACTTTAACACCGAGGCCGGTTTTCCCTCGAAGTAAAATGTAAGACATCGGAACCCTCTCCATACACTTCTTCCCAGTCGAAGTCGCTCTGCTGATTCTCCTTACCAAACGCTTCCAAGAGCTTCGCAGCTTCCTCTCCGCCACAAATTATTGCGTGATCCGAGTCACAGAACTTCCCCCTGGCCCCCTGGCCGTATATACGCGAGTTATCCCTGGAAAGAAATGTGCCGATATGACGGAACGTGAGACTGATGCGCTCTCCGTTCATGAATTGTTCCTCTGCGGACTTCAAATGGATCGGACGTCTGTCATGGTTAATTGCGTGCAACCATTTCGCATTCGTGTCGAGACCAAGAACGAACATTGAATTATGAGGTAGCGGAATTTTCTGTGATGGCCGTGGGGTAGCACTGTCACCCGCTTGTTGCACCCCATCTCGTTTCAAGCGAAGTGTCATCACTCGCTGAGCGCCTAGGCTGACGTTAACTATCTTCGATCCACGCACAACATCGATTGTCTTGTCAGAGTGCTCTGAGATGTAGTCCGCACCACTACGGTAGTGTTGGATTAAGACATGGTTCACGGGGTGACCAAGAACATTCTCCACATGCTCGCGGATGGTAGCTACCGTTGGGGAAAACTGCCGAAGCAGAGGCGACTCATCTGCAGGATGTCGGTAAATCGGGAAACTGAAGTTGAATAAAATCAGCTGATCGAAAATGCGGCGGCGATAGAAGGCACCTTCCATCATCTGCGATCTCCCCCTCGACCGCCACGCGCCTCGGTACCTCACCACCTGAACGCCCAACCATGTCAGAGCTTGGGCAACACAAGTTGGTGGAAGGAGGACATACCACGATGATACATCACATTCCAATCAACCTCGTCTATCATCTGCTTGAACGCTATGTCGCATAATTCAGGGGGAAGCACGTCAAGCATGAGGCTAGTGTCCCCTTCTCCAATCTTGTCACCCACACCAAGACTTGAGGGCGGTGTCTGTTTCCTGAAACCGAGAATGACTGACTTTCCTCAGTTCCTATTATGCGAACACGTACATCTCTATTGTGACCCTCGAAGTGTTTGAGACAAGGTGCTGGTGGCGGTCTGATTGGGAGGAGATATGAATGCTCGATCAGAGGTTACCCGATGTGCTGACTTGCAAGAGATGATCTAGACTTTAGTGATGTATGAACGTACGCAGACTGACTTCTCTATAGCAGCTCTCGAACTTCAAGTCGTGATTCAAGCAATAATTATGATAAATTATAAAATACAAATAAAATACACGATGATATTTTATTATGTAATATTATATGCTCGAAAGTTAGCTGGAATATAGACAACAACGCGAAAGTGTCATTTCAAGTATCCCCAATTGTGTGTAGGCCAGAGCGCCCGTTGTACTTGTTGCTTTGTGGTGCTTGCCAGGAACTTTAATATCCATGTTATATTCGAGGTACTTTTTATTCTCTTTTTGAATCCATGTTTATTGTCCGTGGGGCAGACTGTGATGGACAATATGAATATGTATATTCAGGGTACTTGCATCACAGGTTGCTGTCCTCACGGCAATAAATATTCACGAGGGATTGTGACGCTGATGAGCGCCGAGCCACGATAATATGGAGCGTGCTGCGTGCCTGCGGTACTCATAAAACGGGGTCCATAACTAATATCGATTTTGCGGAAAGACGCGAAAGGGCGGTAAGTACGTTAGTTAGAACTTGAAGATCAGTAAACATCGGTCTACTGTAATCGGAACCGGAGGGTATAAATATATAGGTCAGTCATTTTATATACTTCAATTGTTGATGCCGATCAGCCGCGCCTACTACATCACTCATGCTTCAGCCTGGACTGTCTCAAGGTTCGTAGGAGTTCCGCGAAAGCATCCAGAGGCCACACGCGGGCATTTAATCGGTTCAATCACATCCGGACATCGCCGGTGACGATAGTACAAGTTGCATCTGTCCAAGAATAACCTGCGCGCTTGTCACTTCACGCGAGGTATGAGTTGGGTTGGCGATCCCCTCATAGATGGGATATTTATTCGCCTAACAAGTGATGGGGGGTTTGCATGGTAAAGCTTACCGATTATCATGCAACTCCGTTCGGCAATTCGATTATGATCGGCCAATGATCGACGTCGATGAACGGATATCACGTGTCTGTTTGACTATTTTCACTTTGGAAAGTAAATAGAACGAAAAAACATTACAAGGAACATTACAAGGAACACGGAGTACAGCTAACTAGTAATGCTACAATCTCCGGAGATACCTCATCCAAGCAAGTAAAAAATATCAGTAATACAGTCACAAATATTACTTTGTGATGTGTAATGGCAATTATTGTCAAAAAAAAGGTGAACGGCAGGGAGTGACGCGGTGAGTATCGCTGCGGGGCTATTCATATCAACATAGCATAATTTAGGACAATACGCGCTGGGGCGTACGGGTGGAAGTCGGTTGAAAGGAGGAGGATGGCTTCTGCATGTCTGCAGGATTACCAGCTGGGTATTGTTGGGGCGGCCGACCATTGATTAAAACAGGGGGCTGGTTCAGCGTTGGTGCCAAAGACGCTGCAATTTGCTGCTCCAACCGTCGCTTTTTGGTTCGCGGTGAAACGTCCCCATCCTGCACCTCTTGGTCATCAGTGGCACCACGCTTTTTCTCTACATTCCCGCCAAACTCAAAAGGCGCCCTAAACCGGGAGAAGGGTCTGGCAATTGTCGCTAGCATTTGTTCTGCGGTAATCTCTTGAAATCTCGTTCTCCACGTCTTAGCAAGCGCATCCCGCTTGGGTTTGGGAAGGTTGTACGCGCGCCATGGGTAATGTGGTCGTTTGTCGTAGGCTTCAAGCGCTTCCCTGTCTTTATTACTCCACCGCTCCTCCTCCTCCTCCCTCTTAAGCCAGCCAATATCAAGCAAGCGACGCGTTATTTTCCCTGGAAGACATGGTCGCATCATAGTGGGGTGCAAAATTACGGTCTCGTACGTGTTCCACGCCTGTAGTGGATCAAAGAGCTCGGCAGCGCGCTGCGGAATGGGAACGGCCTCGTGGCCAAAATCGCGAACTTTAATTCCCATTTTCTGGATTTCTTCTACAATTTCCTCTTGTGTAAGGTCCAGCGGGATAATTTCGGTGGGGGCAGGAGACGGAGCTGATGAGCGAGAAGGCTACACGCAGGTAATCAAAATTTGCTACTTCTACAATCGGTGGGTGACTCACTGGTTCTTGGGGCTCCGACGAGGGTTCGGTAGACAACACCGGTGTTGGGATGTCGAGTGTGGTCTCACTTTGGGTTTGTCCACCAAACGATGCGTCCTGACTAGACTCTCCTATATGCTGAGAGCCTGTACGAGGGATTGCGTGCTCCGACGTAGGAGCAGCGTACTGAATCAGATCACTGGCGGGCATATTTGTTCGGTCGAAGTCGAGTTCAAAGGAGTCGTGTGCTTGGGAGGACAGCATCGTAAATGATACGAAACCAGGCGAATTTAATGTCCAGGAAGTGTGGACACTTTATACCTCCACAAGACTCGGTGTGATGAACTCAATTGTGTTGTCGTCAATGTCAAATTGTCAATGGCAGAATTTCTGTGGCAACTGCCAAGCGGCAATTCCCGGCAGCTTTAGAGGTGCACAGGTGAACAAACAACAAAAGATGATAGTAGAGTCTGTCCTTAGAGAGGTCAAGCTAAGCCCTGAAGCCTGATTGACAATTACCTTGGTCTCACTTTTATTTTATCGAGCGGAAATAGTGCAGTTTGAGCAAATTTTTGGTACCCCTAATTAATGACTACTGGACGCGACGCGACGCGTCGCGTCAACGTGGGTCTGTTCAACAATCCACGAGCCCTCTGAGAAATTCCAGAGGGTGTAACAGTCGTATAGACCGATGCGAACGAGGCCTCAAAGTACTTTTCACCAGTCTACTAACCAGTACGAGCTCGGTACTTGTCTGCTTGCTTGATGTCCGAATCGGATCTTGGTGCTTGTACCGAGACGTTGGCTTCAAAGAGTAGCGGGGGGTAGATATTTGGCATGAGCGCTTTTCCGCCTGGAAGCGCATATACAGATTGACACTAATGACAACGATGCAAGAAACCGATAGATGCTTAACCACGTGCCTTTTCTGCTGACGCAAGCTGTATAATTCAGCATTGAATCCAAAGGTTACAGCGAGCAGCTTGCCACGTAAAAACAGACAGAAGCCGGCCGATCAAGCTGCCGGTATAAGCAGCAACTGTCAAAATACCATGCAGGTCGACGGGCATGCTTATACTGCACATAGTAGACATGGACCGCTGGATCGTTTTTAGTCTTGCACATCGCCCTACACATTCACATTGATGATGATGAACAAGCGGTTCAATGAGTGTCCCCTCAGGGCTTGAGGACGATCCAACACCAGTCTGCCGTCCAAGAAAAGGCCAACCTCGGCGGTGTATCATCAGAAGTACCGAGAGAATTACATAGACTGTGTGCCAGCACGTCCTAGGATTCCACGAATTCGAAGTGTACAGTTCGCACGATGTGATAGTGTTTTATTCCTGAATTTTGCCTCCATCGCGACACGACAGGTCACTGACATAGTCCATCAAGAATATTGGTACCAACGAGGCGGTTCGTCCTTCTTCAGCAACTTTCTGAAAACCGTATATTTTTCCTCCAACGGCGAGTTGGCTGGTAGGCCTTCGTAAGGATCGCTTGTGGCGAATGCAATGCACCAAGGTCCAAGAGGTCCTGTCTTGGGCGATCTTTAATCGATGTAACAGCGTGTAGCCCCATAGACACCTGTTAGCGCTCTGATATCCCTCGTTGCCAAGCATATTATCCCCCGCGCATCTTGATTCGTCTCGGGGGGCTCGTGAACTAAATCCATACCGCGCTGGGGCCAGTCGTCCTCCATCAGGTACAGTAGCATAGAACTTCGCCATGGCTTCGATGCTGGAAGAAGAATTAGAATATGGAAAGAAATGTGACGCAAGTGCGCGCTTACTCGTAGTCTCCCGCAGTCAGACTTTATACAGGTCCTTGATAGAACGAAGATGGTCGTTCCTTCTCTTCCAAGGCTCGGTAAGTCGCTTGGTCAAAAATATTGGCTTTATATGGCTTGGCATGTGACAAGGCACGTGAACGGACAGCCATAGTAACATAGAGTGGTACGCGACGCGTTTCAATGTCTCATGCTTTGTGCAATTTTCGAGGTCATGTTCACGACCGTAGCGTATTGTGTTCCAAGTTCTTCTACCAAAATTTGCAGACTGCTCATTTTATCACGGCTTAAAGTTGCAAGATGATATCGACTATCAAATAGTTACGTGTTCAACCCGGTATCACTTGGCGTATCAAGTTCACACGTCTAAGGCTTATAACGAAGGTCGAGGAATGTTGTGGAGACAACGCATTGACGACCCAAAGCTCGAGCTCGTTCCTCGAGCTGTATGTATCAGTCTCAACGATATGAAAGATTTTAGTGTGTTCTGACGCAGCCTGTATTGGCATTGAACAGTCGTTCAGTCATCATCATACAGAAGAAAACTAAGAGTTTGGACATCGACATTTCATTAGTAACAGAATCACTCCGGTAATGCTCAGACCTTATAGCAAACGGCAAGCGAACTTGGACATAGCTAACACGAAAATCAATAACAATTCAAAAGCATATAATTGTCGCATTGCTCGTGCCATCAGACGGCATAAACAATCCTAGAATTTGTATGATCCACGACAGCGTGCTCACATTCTGGATGAAGCGGTCTACTCCTTCTTGGCATCCCTCTCCCGCTTCTTCAGTGCCCTTCTCCTGATATCCTTATGAAGCGAATGGGTATAAGCAATAAGTCGAGTCTTCCATCCGACGACGTGCATCGCGTAATCGAGGAGCGCGTGGCTCCAGAACGCTGTGACCGTGCCTGGGCGCCCAGTGAATGCTGCACCGCAGGAGAAGCCAATTTTGGAGAGGCATGTGCGCACGTAGGATGTGGGACTGGGAATTAACGCAGATGTGCGTCGGATTTTGGACATCTTGGAAACCTGGAAAAGACAAGAAGGGGCATGGTGAGATGTAATGGCTCGGAGACGTAATGAATGTTACGCACGACAAAGTAAGTATTAAGGTATTGGACGACGATCCCATCGGATCTAACCTCCTCTGCGATGGCGCTGGTAAAGGTTTCAAGGAACGCCTTAGTACCACTGTATGTCGCTAGCATTGGAGAAGGGACGAGTCCCGCAAAGGAGCCGAGGTTGAGAACCAACCCACGTTTCCTAAGTCCGTTCGCATTGAGGCAATAGAGGTGAGATGCAGGTTAGATAGCTCACCGCTGAATCATACCAGGGAGAACTGCATGCGTGACGCGAATTGTCGCATTCACGTTGATGGCAACGATGTCAGCATTTTCTTGTTCCACAGTTTCAGCAAAATAAGTGGGCATGGTGTGGGATTTTCCGACATTGTTAACTATGCTGTGTCAAAAACGAGGGCTCAAGAGTGCTACTGAGCACGCACCGAGCACACCAACATCGAGAGTTTGAAGAAGAGCTTTCAGGCCATCATATTTGAAGTTGTCGCTTTGGGCAAAGTCGATAAGGTAGATCTTGGTTTCAACTGTAGATTTTGTTTTCGTAGCTAGAAGAGTTGTGAGGCTTTAAAAAACACTGATGTGAAGAACTCGTACCAATCTCGACTGCTACGTCGTTCAACATCTTGGCGTTCCGTGCGATGAGCAAGACATTGAACCCCGCTGAACCTAGCTGGATTGCGAACTCCCTCCCAATGCCATCTGAAGCACCCGTAACGACTGGAATGAATGAATGAATGAGATTTGCACGTCAGCAGAGGTCGCCTAACCAACCTGCCCATGCTCCCTTCTTAGCACCAAACTTCTTGAGCTGCGGTAAGGCAAGTCAGGTTCTCACCAGAGGGCTAAAGACACATGTTCTATGATCCACATACATGTGTCCCAGAAAGAATGAAGGTTTGAAAGAAGACGACAAGAGTTTTGAATGTAAAACGTGCAAATGTTAGAGCACCGAGAGAGAGCAGAAGTGCATACGGCCAAGGACAGTTATTGACTGTGACGCGAGTTGAGAAAGCGGGTATCATATCATACAAAACGACTGACCATGATCAAGCCAAACTTTGAGTGCAGTAGCGTCCATCGTCGCGTCGCAGTCGCGTGCTAAGGCTCACTAGTACTGGTTAATGACGAAATGCCACTCGTTGCTTAGTAAGCTCTTGTTTTTCTGTGGATGTCAGTGCCGCGGACCATCAGTTGGCAAGTTGATCAAGAGGGTACACGATTCACGAATCTCTTGATCATTTTGAATTTCCGCTTTTCCCTTACAAGCCCGTGTCCTTCAACTTTATTCTGTCAAGATCATGCCAGCCTGAGTTACATGGTTTCTCGATTTCTCACTGGGCAAATCGATCGTTTACTCGTGTGGTAACTGCAGCTAGTCCCTTATCTTATTCATATTGATATTATATGCGTCCAGTGCATCCCGGGGAATTGACCTTGAACTTACCAGGCAGAGGCAGCTCCTACAGTCATCTTCCAACACTGTTTGTCACCTGTCACTCTCCTGCCACACCCCTTGGCCTTGAATCTTGATGCCCTCAAATCCAGTCCTGGGACCCTCCATTTCGTTTAAATTGATATCATGAATGAAGGCAGTATCAAGACCGGGTGTTCAAAAGTTCTTGGGCTTCTCGATGGCACTGGGTTGGACTCTATCATTAATAACGCTGCGATCGTGCGTTTTGCTGTGTTAGCTTTTACAGGCTGTATGATGATTCCTGCACTGCAGAACCCTTGTAGGGACTTGCTGTTTAGCTTCGATCCAGCTGTGCTTGCAGAGATGATCAAATGCAATATCACAGGTCCAACACTGGTTGCATTCTTCCTTCTCCCAGTCATGAAATGCAATATCACGGGTCCAACACTGGTTGCATTCTTCCTTCTCCCAGCCATGGAATAGCAGCAGCAAAGACATCGTCAACATGAGCTCCTCTTTTACCAGTGTCAACAAAGATCTCGGGCCCGGATCGACCAGCTACAATATCAGTAAGGTGGGACTTAACGTACTCGTAGGCGATCCCTTCATCGAAATCTGTGTGTGCTAGAATACTGAATATTATCTCTTATTTTCACGAATGAATTCTTTTGTGCTGTTTATTGATCTGTCGGTCTGTATTTCCTCTTGCAATTGCCGGTGACTGGCCACGCAACAGACATGCAGACAAATGTGTGAGCGTCCCCACTTCATCTCCATCCTCATGGACAGACATGGGCGGCAAGGGTGCGGTGATCGAGCCCCATGTCTCCGAGTTTGTGACAGGCATTGTGAACATCGTGACGAAACCCACTACAGCTGATGTGGGCAAGTTTTACAATTATTTGGGCAAGCAGAATCCGTGGTGATAGAATACTCTTTGCGAAGTCGTATAGCCATCGATATAAATCTATATGCTGTGAGTGGTGGTGCAGGAAGTATGAACTTTTTAGGGCTTTGGCGCTTGTTTGGCGCAAGCCTCATGCTCCTGCTTTCGTGCTAAAGGCTCTGCTGGCTTCAATCACACTGTCAATCTGATATGCAAAACTGTACTCTTTTACGATCCGAACCGAATCGAAGAAGGCGAGGGTCCTAGCACATTATCATACCACCGCTATCCTGATATGCCCTTGATCCATCCAATTGCAATGGCAACGTAAGCCTCCGCACCAAACCCGCACGTTATTCACCGTTCACATCGCCCACCTCACCGATCACACGTGCTGAATCTCTGATGGTTCTTCTCCCACAGAGCCTCGATATCAAGACCGTTGTATCTCTCGAAGTGCGACGATATGACCTAGATATGATGGTGTACGCTCTATAGATTTACACGTCTGATTCCATGCTGGCTTATAGGGTCGACAGACTTGGAGTGCGTCCCGAAGCTCGCGGAATACCTGGGCACGTGGTTGATACGTGGCGGGCTTAAATCTGCGTGACGTGGCTCTCACTTCGCCAGCATGCGTTTGGTGCGTGTTGGTCTTGTATTGACCCATTCATCAAATTTCCTCCCGCAGTCCCCCCGATATGCTGTTGTTGATCTCTTCAGATGACAGCCCTGTAAAAGACTAGTCGGCACAGAAGCAGTATCATCCAGGGGCTCTCGCGAGATGTTCTTCCATTTCGCGCATGTGCGCCTCCTGTTTTATAGTCTACACGCTTCAACTGGATGCGATATTGTGTCAGGGAAACGGCCGCGTGTCGCACATTAACTCGGTTCGGTAGATCTGATGGCCGTGTGCACTGGGGAGGTTTAAAGCGAGCCGGGGAGGATTAGCCCAAGCTGAACCTTTACATTTAATCCCCACTCCCCTCCCAGCTAATCCTCCAACCGTACTAACGACCTGCAATGCCTGATGTCCATGGTGTCCTCATTATCGCCCGCAACGGCGACCGCACGGAGTTTTACCAAGATCCGCATACCTACGAGCCATCTTACAGCGAGTCTACACCTCTCGGCGCTGTATGTCTACCCCATTCTCCGTGCACCCTACCTAATATACGACCTTAGGTAGAATCATATCAGCTTGGCTGCTATTTGAGATCGACGTACTTAAACCCCTCTTCCCCGTCGTACATCCAAGGCATCCATGCTGACCTCGTGCAGAACGATCAAGTGGTTGTGCATGCCAAGGCTGGTGGGGAAGGCACTTCGGTCTTTGATAGCGCCATAGCTGTCCTGCAAGGCCTCTTCCCGCCAAATTCAAACAACCAGATCGAGCTTGCTAACGGGACGAAGGTTGTCACTCCACTCGGGGGTTACCAGTACATTCCAGTCGAGATGGCCCCGAGCGGCGTTGACCGTGCGCTGGAGCCCTGGACTGAGTGTCCGGTGAGTTACGTGCCTCCAGGGGTCTGTGGAAGGCTGATTCGTGTGGTATATAGGCATTCGAGCAGCACATCAAGAGTGTGTATGCATCTGAGGGATTCAGGGAGACTGGGAAATCTGCAGGACACTTCTTTGGCGTCGTTCGCGACTATGTATTCGGGAGGCCTACGACGTTTGAAAATGCTGTACGTATTCTTCTGCTTCGTCCTTACTCGTGCTGATAACCCTATGTCAGTGGAATGTATGTAACACGCGACATTTCCATGGCCATTCTAATGTTGCAATAATTCACATAGATCTATGACTTCATGAACTCGCAACTTACGCACAACCAAACCTATGCTTACCGTCTTCCCCCGACTTTAATTGAGCAGGCCCACGGATATGCTAACTATCACGAGAACGCGATCTTCTCGGACAAGGAAACGGGTGGAATTGGAAATAGTGCGTCTCACTGTCACGTATTGTTTGCGACTAGTAACCTCCTGCTTAGTTGCTGGTCGTACTATCCTTCACAGCATTCTTCACACCCTTCAACGCATCACTTTTGACGAGGACCCCCTCAAGTTGCTTCTCCTTGAGACGACTTACCAGCCATTCATCTCACTATTCCACATGATGGAGATGGTCAACGAGCACCCTCAGCTCGCTGCTATTCGTGAGTATTCTACTTCAGGCAACCTTACAACGACTCAATATTTGCATTACTACAGCAAACCGTGCATCCGCCCTTGCCTTTGAACTTCTTCGCGGACCTCCACCTGAACTCCGTGAATTCCTCCGCATCAAGTTCAAGAACGGGACCAATGAGGATTTCCAGACTTATCCCATCTTCGGTCACCAAGGAGACATTGCGGTAACAGAATTCCTGTATCGCCTTGAGGTAAGTTTCGTGCACGTTGTGTTTGGCTCGCACTCATACGTTTTCCAGAACTTTGCTGTCTCGAGCCAGAAACAATGGGAATCTGCGTGTGGAGTCCATAGCGGCTACTTCGGTATCACGTCTGCTGCTGAGAGCACGAACATGTTACTCGCTGCCTTCTCAGTATTCTTACTCATTGGCGTGTTTGCTTTGTCGTGGTTCAAGCGCAGGCGGAGCACATATGCTCCTATTCGTGAAGTGGTGAGTTGCTTTAATCTGCGCTGTGCTCTGTTGACTTACGGATACTGCTTGTAGCATGTTGTTAGCAACGAGAAGGGGAAACTTTTGCCATGAGTTTGGTGTGAGGTGGATAGGTGATATGGGCGTGGTTTTTTGCATCATGTCGTTTGAGTAGCGTTGCATTTGTTTAGATCAGCAGTCTTTGGTTACTTGGACTATGTTTCTGAATGATTCTAAATTCCTGCGAGAGGTCAGAGGCCTGCATGCCGCTATAAACAGAAGCGATTTGAAGGGGAACTCTTCCTGGTCCGTTCGAGTACAGTCACGTGCCTCGCATCTCATCGAGCATTCGAAATGAATCATGCCAATGTCTCTTCGTCTCGTCTCTTCTCCACATGGAAACACTTTTCGATCCCACAAAAGACCAGCTTCACGTTTTCATCGAACTGCTCTTTCGTTCTCTTCGCGCAGCTGCCAACAAGTACCCTAGCAACACCACAAAAAACGTCCCGCACAAATTTAGGGAAAAGTAGAGGAATTTTGAACAAGCCAGATAAAATACTAAAAGTTAGAGCCAACTCCACGGGGATGGCTATTAACAATGGTCTGCTTGTACGTCGTTCAACTCCATTAGCAGGTCCATATCGACCATCCCAGCAGCACGAAGGATATCCTCTTGGGGATCCTCGACGTCGCTCAAAAGGTCTGTTAGTACACGGAAGCGATTCGTAAGCCAAATGATTTGGAGAATGCCAGCGCCATCGATAGGCATTGTACCGTTCCTTCCGTGCATCCCATTTGTCACGCGCATTGATAACGCTAACATAAGTAGAGAGCAGGTGAGCGCAAGTGCAAGCTAGATCTTTTGGTTAGTGATACATAATTCCCACACGCAACAGGATCCTTACGGGCCATAAGTTTATCTGGATGATCTATTACTTAGCCATGAAATTCATCATCGAATGATTCTGACCTTACACCAAGGTGCCATTGCAGAAGCTGCTGTGAAATGGTGGTAGTTTCATTTTTCCGATCAAACCCGCCACCGTCGGCGCCGAGTTGTCCGCCTTTTTAATCGCAGTATGTCAGTTAACCGTTTCTGCACAAATCAATCAACATACCTGTCCATAGAAGTGTAGCATAAGCCCTTGATAGAGCCGATTCAAATTGGTCACGGCTGCACAGAATTTTCTTCGGAATTGGAGGAGCGTGGGCCAGGACAGAGAAGTCTCCGGTTATTGCTGGGTCGGGAAAGAGGATATTTATTCCAATCTGCTGCATAAAATGTCTGACAAGATGATTAGCAAGGACTGAACGTTACTACGAGCTGTGCATAAATTACATTTCCAAAAGAGATAACCCATAACATGATGCTCGGTCCTGATTCATGCACCAGCCAATGGGATGATATGCCCCGCTTACGAAAGGAGAAACAAGCTATTGAGTGCCGAAAACCGTAAGTTAAATCTCGGCCAGTCCATCAATGGCAAAAACTGACCCATTTTTCATGATGCAATGCACTTGCTGATGGCGGTGACCAAATATCCCATTTCGGTTCTTCCTCCGGCGCTGACCATGCCTCCCATTCGCCAGAAACATTCGGCTCAAGGGATGGAGAAAGACCTAGTAATTGATTGGTCTGTACATCAACAGTGGCGACATGAGGTTGAACATTAATAGTGCACGCCACTATATGGACGTCGTACATGCTATAAATCAGGGGAGGCTGGGGACTACCTATAATCGTGTTCAGATCACATTCATGCGTGACAAAGCCTCTTACCTATGAAGGATGTTGGAGGATACTCCCAATACACGTGTTGAACTGTTTCATCGCTGGGTAAATTGCTCGAGTTCACAGCGGTCGAGGCTATGAACGCAATAGTCGGCTATAATATAGTTACTTAGCGAAAGATCCAAATTTCAGGAAGATTGGCATGTACTCCCGGAAAGAACAAGGAGATGGCAGGATTTATCGTAACCTCATCTGGATCTAAGAACAGACGTTGGATGAATCTATTCCAAGGAATAATAGAAAAAAATACATACACGGATGCACAAGTCTAGCTCTAAATTCCGCGGTATGATTGAGCTTTGATATTGGCGGGTTGAGTGTAAAATATCCGAAAGTGTCAGCATTGATTTCAGGAGAATAGTTTAACATGGAATTGCGAACTAATCCACAATTCGCTTTGAACGACGATGCATTGACAATAGCACGACCAGATGTATCGGTAGACTGAATGATGTCGTATAAAGTGGCACCGTGGAGTCCCATGCCCTGAGGATTGGCAAATCGGCCTAATGTAGGAACCAATGCACTGATGGTTTGCCACTGGATTGTCATCATGTCTACGTCTGGACTAGGCCAGTAAGAAATTTTTGTAGCGGACGCATCCACGGTGGAGTTGAATGTTTGCAATTGAATGATAGACGATGAAACCACGTGAAGGGAAAAAACACACGCAAGATAGGCCGTTATGGACAATATGCTCCACCATGATGCAGGGATTGTTGATTGTCGCCAAAGACACTCCAGCGCAGAACCAAGACCCCTCCATGCGTTCACTGTGTCATGAAGAGCGGTTACCGTCTGGCGTCGCGTCACGTTCTTGAGGAATGTCAATCGTTGCATTAAGTAAACGAGTATCGTGCAGTAGATCTGAAGGGTTCATAAGTTCAAGAAAATAGTACATATGTGATGATTCCTCACCACATAAAACGCCTGTGATGATGTGCTCAATATAGTGACCCAGATTTCATTGCCAGATATCAATTGGACGACTAGACGATGCTCGACACCCGAAATACTGAGCACAAGAATAGCAACGTGGAGGAGGACAAGAATGATATGCAGAAGAGTGCATAGAATGGCAAGCACTGGCCTCCCTGATTCCTGCCGCTGCTTAATGACTGCCGATGAAGTTAATTGGTGATCTGCAATCGTTCATGTGAGGGAGAAATTGATACTATGTTGCGTGAGAGTACCTGACGACGTAGTGTGTGTTTGTACTCGTTCGAGCATCATAGAACACGTGTGACGGGTATCTATGGGGTACAAAGGAAATACACCATGATCTTGCTGTGGCTTTGCGAAGACGTTGGGTAGTGTAAGAGAGGTCATGGGGTGTGAAAGGACATCGTATGAACCCATACGTACTGCTATAAGAGACCAGTCAGGATTGCTGTGTCACATACCTCAAATTTCCTGCTGGTCTCCGGCCATGTTTGGAGTCATGGCAGTGAGGTAATCGCAACGGGTCTTGGCATCATTTTATGCAAGGTGTCCATGTGAAGAGGTCTCACAAAAGCTTCGTCTACTCCTGATTTAGGGAAGTGTAGAGCATAAAACCTATGCATAGGGAAGACAAAACTTGCCAAGATCTGAGTAAGACAGTGTGAATTTAGAATCACCCACCATTAATGTAAGCACAGGCCGCTGAGCTATAGTAGGACTGGAGTATTATTGATAGTCCGTGACTTGGATGAGCGTCAGAGATTATCATTCGCAGATCATTGTTCAAGCTCAGTGCCATAAATATACTGTAGCTATAATAACTGCTTCGCCCATCATGATGGTAGATCATGATTCCAGACGACTCGGCTCGAGACGGGCACTGGTTTGACTATGGAATTACTATCTGAGGCCTAATGTGGCGTTTGCACAGCCATCAATAGCAACCCACCTTGTAATGGTGCAGCCCGCCGGAATGCCCCGGCACTAGGAATCCAGCTGAGCGGCTGCGCCGGTTCTTTCCTTCGTTCGATTTTCACTCACCTAGTGAGTCACCACTACCAGTGTCGGGTTCATCGTATTCCACACCTTCTCCCGAGCGGCTCCACCTGCTCGCGTACCACCCTGAGCTGATGCTCGGCCCAGCCCAACCTATTAGAACATGTCAGCGACGTGACTAGAGCTAGACGAAGCTGGAATCTTATACCATCCATGTGGTTGTCTTTCCTTTCGTACACTGCGGTCAGTCTTGGCTTCCAAGTAACTTGCCCCGCGCTGCGCGCATACTTATTTCACGTGTTTCCTTACAGAAAACCTATAGAAGACCCAGTAGAAAAGCCTGATATTCTTGCAACTAAGCTATTGCCTGATATCAACACTGCTCTGATCACGGCAGGTCTTTTCCTTATCTCTCAAGTATTACTACTTCGAGGGTGGCCTGTTGCCACACTTGTTGGTACTGTACTATATATATACCACTGTCTACGATGTCTGTGCACGGGCGCCGGGCCTTGCACGCACTGGGAACACTCTTGTCGCTAGTACTGCATGGAAAGATGAGACCGGCTCGGGTGTGGCGCAATGGTGCAGATCAGAGGACACGGGAGATCTACTGTAATTACTGTTGAACCAATAATACTCAGTGCTAATCATGATCGTATTAGGATGGGGCTGAGCTTCGTCGGCAGGAACCTTGTTTACTGTTTCTGTACAGTGTACACTGTCACAGACTTTGTTCTGACAAGGATTTCGTACAATATGTATCCATAGTAAGATACAACTTTGTACAGAAGTATGAGGCTGTGATCTTTCACTGGCAGTACTTGGTGATACCGTGGTGTGTGATTGATTTCGATTAATCATCAGCATCCTATATAATGGGAGTAGTCTTTAATTATAGGCTGACCAGTATCATCACGTACTTTCTATAGGACACCCTTGTTAACATAGTATTCGATCAATCATTACGGCCGTGCAGTGTCATCGATACCACTAGCCTATCAAGATCGACCTGCATAGCATCATGGTGGTATACTTGTAATGGGGACTGACACAGCACATAAAAGCAATGTCATGGTGATAAGCTGATTATCCACCCTTTAGCATGTTCTCTTCCCTGCTACCTAACATGTTGAACACGAAGCGGCAGGGAAACCATGGCTCCGTGTCATTGCAGCCAACTGGGAGCCTCTTGGGTTCTTCTGTACATGAACAAACACCAACAAAAACTCAACGTCGATGCCTGCACAAGTCAACAAACTCGATATCGGCATTTCTGTGTGTGTTTATACACGGATTTCTTGTTCTTATCCATCTTGTTTTCCTGGCGCTAAGCATTTCTGCTGTCGAGCACCACCTTGCCACATCTGAGAATGATGCATGGATGTCGGTATTGGGCGCATCGACACAGGCCTTTTATGCGGTGAGGTTAATTGTTTGTACAAATTAAACTTAATTGACCTTGACTTATAAAGCTGTACTGTGTGATACTCGTTTACCTGATGCAACGCCTGACACTCTACCGGAACTTGATTCAGCATCAAAAATTGGCCATCCTCCACGACAATGTTAACGCATGGAGTGGCCTTGGTTCTGCATTACAATGCCTCTGGCAGCAATCAAGCACTACTGGATCATCGTGGTGGATCGCATGGATCGCCACCTATCTGGGATGTATATTCGCGCTTCATGTTGCTTCATCATCCATATTGCAGCTGCAGACATTCACCACAACCACAAACATGTCCGCAACAACATTCTCTCACTGGCCTGGCTCAAATGTTGACATGACGGGGCTTCAGTGGCACACCATTAGCGCCATTGTTCCCTCTCTGGGTCATTTTACCAGTTTGTCGAACGCGGGACTTAACGGTGCCACCCTGTATGACACTGTTCAAGCAGATGGCGCCACAGGAAACGCCTCTGTAGATGCAACTACTTTCCGAGCAGAGTGTGGGTTACTCCGTAATTCTGAGTTGAGTTACACCCCAAGGCTGAATGCAAATCAATTCGGAGACTACGTGGTTGAACCTCGAATTTCAGGTAATGAGCAGTCTAAGAAATGGCCAGCCAGGCTGGTACCTTCCTGTCGGTGCCTCTTCCCTCACTTGCAAGAGCTGTATCTTACATTTGAGTAGATCAAGATCAGTTGGTAGTCAGTCTTTCCATGTCTGACCTTTTCCCCGGAGTATGTATATTTCAATTTTTGTTTGCTTATACATAGCTCTCTAAGCTACCCATACCACTTTTAGCCCACCATCGTATTCATGATTCCTATGTCCATCGATGTTGATGACTCCTTGAAATCAGCAACCTTACAGCATATGAACTGGGAATATCAATCCGGTATGTGCTCTCACTACCACCCAGCTCCGCTCGCTAATGGTCTCGACAGACAGCCCACAAGCTCCGATCATCTCGACTGTGCTTGACACTCATTTAATAGGTTGCAACATATATGTTGAACACCATACGGCGAAAGTCGATATGGAAACAGGCCAATTACTGGCACTCTTGCCGCCCCCGGTTCTATCTCCTCCTTCGGACTGGAAGGCATGGACGGCGCCAGAGGGTGACAATATTCGAGATATCTGGTCGCCGCCAGAAGTACTAGGTCAGTATAGGCGTAATAAAAATTGGGTTAGCAGTTGTGTTACTAGCAATTATGACCTTCGTTCGCTGAACACATTGAAGCTTGCATATCCATTCAGGACTGGAGCCATGCACCCCGTAAAGATTTGTATGACCCAAACTGGAGCAAGCTGCTACGGAATCTCTCTTCTCGAGCTGTAAGGCAACCACGTTAGGGGCTATCTTAACAAACTGACGCCCCGTCTCTCAGGTATTTTATGGAAGAAATCGGGTTACCTGTGGTTTTGGATGAGCAAGCTTCCAGGCCACGACCTCCATCTGGCCCAAAGAAAGTTCTCTGTAGTCGCCACCGATTCGAATCTAGTCTCTCTAAGATATTCGCATCGCTGGTGTGGACGGGTAAAGTGTTTTATTTTATCATGTGTACCAGAGTTGAAAGACGATGCAGGTGCAAAACTCGGCTCCGATGCTGGTGGCTTTGACCCAACACCAGGCAGCACTGTCGTTTCTCGGCAGGTTATGAAGTGGCATCTCAGCGTAGGTACTTCATCATACGGAGCATTCAATTCCGCCAACCTACGTTTCAGATTAACTCGTGGCCTGTAAGACGCCAATTGAAACTGACTTGATCAGGCTTTACTGAAGAGATGCAGTTGGCAGTTGCATTGGCCGCTTCGTTGACCATGTTGACCCTCTCGATCTACATGTCAGGGGGCATATATCGGCAGAAAAACAGGACACCCATAGATAGTACTGGCATTCTCCAGATCATCTGGCTGACGAACCGTCTCCGCGTGCTGAAAGACCTCGTGAGTAAAGTGGATGATCCAAGAGAAGATATTCTTCGTTCTGCTGGGATGTTGGAAGTAAATCTGTTACAAGAGCTAAACAGGTAGGCATCGAATTCTTGGCAGCAAGACTGACCCGTTGATCGTGTGGTTGCTTGAATTTAGCGAATGGTGCACTACAAACGATACCGCAAAGAATGACTCGCAGGGGCCAGGGCAGCCTTCTACTTGCACGAATTCCGTGCCGCACCCCGAACAGGCATCTCCATCTCATGCTAGGGCGGAATACCCTGCAACATCAATATCATTAGTGTAGTTTATGCGCATCCTCTCGTATTTTCATGGATATCTCATTTCCACCCATCGATAGCATTTGCTCTTCTCTCTCACCCTACTCCATCTATCACATTGCGGTGGCAATTTGCGTCAAGAACAACTTCATGATTGGCTGGCGCGTCGTGTCTATTTGTCTATACAAACGAGTTCCGTCCCCATCACGATCTAATTCACTGCCGCTGATGTCAATTATGGTTGGAGTCTATAGAATACAAGTACACCAACCTGATAAATTGCGATGTTAGGTCGTGCGATCAGCATAAATAGTAAATCTATGCGTTTATCACCCACACCTGCTGCGCTTCCAAGTCAGAAGTATACATTACAAAAATGATATCATGAGAGGAAGTGATGTTGAGACTTGGGACTGACCAGAGCGGTTTTATATCGGTGTTATACTACACAGCCGTATTTCAGTCCCTCCCCACATCCATCAGTGATTCACTAGCCAGTCAGGACGATTACACACGGTTAACTGGGGGGAACTAAGCAGAACCTTGCAAGTCGAAAGCATCCTGAACGTTGATGGTGTTGTGCATAGCTAGTCCATTTAGGAATTAGAGTGTTGCTACCGCACAAATGATTCCTCAGACCCTTACGCTGCTACAAGGCAGTTGTGTGCCACCGTCACTTGCAAGAATAACCGCCACCATGGCAATTGATCAAGGTCCAAAGGGGCAGATCGAGTGTTTTGATAATACGGGGACATAGTAGACTAGTCGGGACGCATCGGTTTAGCAGCGCAGCGCTGGTGCAAATATGCCGGTCGGCGGTCAGGAATTCGGAATCAAACGGTAGCATGCGCCATTTTGTTATCCTCCAGCTAGGTCCAGCTTTGTCTATACTGAACAGTACTCCCTTCAGATCTCGTGTGGCACAAATGAAAAGATAGAACTGTGCCCGTAGTGTCAATCCTATGAGGGACGCAAGCATAGAGGCCGCTGCACTGGCATGAGTGGGTACCCACCACGAATTCATCTCAATACACACTGGCAAGAAGCGAACAGTGAAAGGTTTAGGACACCGTTGGGCGATGTATGCGCTATGAACACTGTTAAACCACTGGCAAGTGAACATGTATGATTTTCGTGAAACGAAACGAGGCGTAAAAGCTGAGCGGGGAATCAAACCAAGTGACGGTGACTCACTGGCCACCGTGAGACATTCATCATCATCAGATTGAACTCTTCTGCAGACTGCAACGCGTTAAGCAGTTCAAACTAGCACTCGAGTAGCAGTGACATAGACGCTCTACAAGTAGAGAACAGTACAAAATATAATAGTGATTATATTACTCGTGCATCATGGCTATCAGTATCCTGAAACGTCAAACAAAAGTGATTCTGAAAAAGATATTGACATCCAGAAACAGAATCCAATCAACCAGAACGAGCATGTCAATTGTGAGAGGACATCACGTTGACTCTGGTGGTGAAGACATCGAGGCTGAGGTCATCATCCCGGATGGTGGTGGAGAAAATGCCATCATCCGTAGATTCGTGCAGGTTAAGCACCAGCCGAGAGACGAAAGTGACGGACATGCTGGGGTCATATTCAAAATCGATCCGTATTTATCGCGCCAATCACTCACCAACTAGTCAATGTGGCTAGATTTCCCCTGGTGATATACTTGTCAATCGTCAGCGAATAGCTAAATTGATTGTAAGATGCAAGTGTGCTCACTGAACCACACTAAATCATGGTATGAGCGTGCGACTCGATATTTCATTCGTTGACTCACGTAGTACGTCAGAATGTTGGGTAGATTAATCAATGTCATCGCTCTGAATGAACGCAGATCAGTTTCACTCGAATCACAGTTTTACTAGAGATCTTACGCGAAATACATTGCACCTGCATTTGCTTGGTTCAGAATTTATATTACAGGTGTGACGAAAAAAAATACCATCTTGAAATATGATATCAAGGATATGCAATCCAAGCCAGCCCAGCACCTGCAAGTGGATAAGGTAGTAGCGTCATCAACTTGCATGCAACGTGACTGAAAATTCACTGACGGGCGGCTCTGCCACGACTTAGTTGAGCATGCGCGCATACCGATGAAGGAAATGACATACGTCTCTGCTGTGAATGTGTTATGACAATCACTTCCTTGGATGTAAGTCACAGTATTTGAATTATCTCCAAAAGAACCCGCCTAAAAAGATGAGCAGAATATAGAGTGCGAAAGGATGTGCGAACACGTACAAACGCTCCTCCCATAAGAGCAAGGCTGATGATAACCATGCAACTAAGCAGGCGCCTGCTACGATTGTACAGGGCATAAATGCGCAGAGTCAATGTAACTGAAAATCTTTCAGGGCATGTATTTCTCGTGATCAACTCTTCACTCACGGCAAACAGTGATTTGTTGAAGAAAAAGGAATAGCTCTCTGACTAGCATGTATCTCGAACAGCTAAGCCTTTGGTAAGAACAACAATATATATTCAGGAAAAATTGAAACCTCTGCAGAAATAAGTTGTGAGCCTGCTATCCGGGTAAGTGCATGACGAAATCATCGAACCTCGTACGAAACGGCGGGCAGGAAATCAATAATCAAACCAAAGATATTGCCGACCAGGGCAAAATAACGATTGACGAAAAAGAGCATTGCAGACAGTAATCTTGGACGACACCAAATAAACTTGATTTCTTCTGGAAGGGTCATCATATGGTCGTATATCAGAACACCTATGATATTTGTTATCATCCTAAAAACGTAAGGTCAAGATCATGACATTTATGCGCGTATCACTCACAACTGCTGTTTTTCAGTGATATCCATTACAATGAGGCAATGCGCAGTATAGGAAGTGAATGTTGAGAATGTCTGATTGACGCACTATGATTATAACAGTATTAGTAGTATTACTAAATACACGTTATCGATATCAGCGAACTTGATGTATTACTGTGAAGGCTGTTCAAATGTGCCACCGAAACACATAATGTAACATTCACTTACACAATAAGCAACGGTCATACGTGGACCTACAAAGATGATAGTAGTACATCATCATCAGCTTGTTGCGAGTAGTTCAACCTACATGACCGTCCCGGGACAGCACAAATACATACGATGTTTTTTATTTTATGATAAGGCTGAACGCCAAGCAGCTGTATCTCTTTCGTAATGCATCAAGCACTTGAAAGAAATACACAAGGATCGTGCACGCACATTGCATATGATACTGACCATCTCTGGCAGGAGAAGAAAAAACACGGAAGCAATCACTTACAGTATGCGTGCTTCAAAGTAGACTGGTGGGGCTGGTCACCAGTCTAGCTTCAAAGGGAAAACCGAGTCTGTCCATCTGAAACAGTTTGACCGATGATCGCATAATGGGATGGTGCATGATATGTGACGCCAGTATCAAGGGAGGATGTGGAAAAGACAAAAATATGACTTTGTTTCAAGATCTCCACCCATCGTGCCAACAAACTCAGATGAGCGTCATCAGTGATAGGCATTCCAAACATGTGGTGAGCTGTGCGTCCACGGTCATAAGCGGTTGCGCGGAGGGCTGCCAACGATCAACACGATGTCTCCGTCACGGTATGTTGGAGGAGATAATACTTCCACCAAAAGTCTTTCTTCGTCCTAGTCGACCCTCCACAAATAAAAAACTGTTCTCGTGAGTCTGAATTGCATGGTAAACCTGTTCGAAAACGCGCCGTTGTTCAGCATTGAGCTGATTATACATGTTCTCGCTCCTTGCGTGAAATTCACACTCATTCCTCCACAAATATAATTCGTCGTATACATCCAAAGATCTCCGTCGCGCTGTTGGTAGCCCGTAATCTCCGAGATGTTTGCTATATAGTGCGATAGATGGTTGTCAATGATTTGCGGCGTGTACTCGTGTCCACTTATTTCCCAGTCTAAGGATGTGATGAAAAGCAAAAATGAGAAGAGGATCGATCAGAGCGCTGCACAGCATTGACAGAGCGGACCCAACTGACACCGAGCCGCTTATATTATGATCCTCAAGCTTCCATCCATAAATATTTAAATGGTAGACATTGATAAAGTATTGGCAGTATTGCGCATATGTCGTGTTCGTCAGAATGAAAGGAAAATCGAACCAAGTGTCAGGGTATCATTGCGATAGTTTGGATCAGTGAACGCTCGCAGCACAAGGCTTCAGTGTTCTGTTGCACTGGGTTTTGCTTCTGCAGGAAGAATGACTATGATCTTCTTCACTTCGTCGGATGCCACTCGCACTTGGCTTGCAGGAATCACCCACCTTTCCACAGGTCGTCATACGAGCTGCCAGATGCCGAATCAACAAGAGATTGAACGAAGAGTACAAAGATAGATCCAATTCATACATCCTACAAATATCGTCCATGTCCTGATCTCTCCTCGATACCTGCAACAACAATACCCCCTCTCAACATCCTCTCCTCGTCGTCCATGTCTCCACCGCCAGGGGCCCGTTCACTATAGCCTCTCACCAAAATCTCATTCACGCGCTCCAAGCTCTGGGCCGCAGCCAGGATCGCGAGCATAGTGGGTGTGGGCGAGATCATGGGTTGCGAGGTGCTCGAGGCGAGAGTCGTTGAAACAGAGGTCTTCTGTCCTGCCTGCACCAGCTGGTCAGGGTATGAAGGGAACGGGAGCATCGGTGAAGTCTCAGTCCCTCTATTAATCTCTTTCTTCCTCCCTTTCCTGGATCTACTCTGACTCTTGCGCTTCTTGAGTTTCTTTGCGGAGGAAGGGAGCGGGAAGAGCGAAATGTCAGGGGAAGTAACATACGCACTCTGATTTGCGTTCGAATCTTTTTGCGATCCCAGGTTGGCCTTCGCCTTGGTCTCTGAGCTCAAGGAACTGTTGTAAGTTCCCGCAAAAACCTTTGTTTTGGACGTTGGCGGAGAACGTGAAACCAGCTTCGGGCTTGAATTCGCAAGTGTGGCAAAACTGAGCGCGCCGCATGACGTAGAAGTGAAGAGTAGTGCGGCTTCGAGGGGGGGAGACATCAGGAACGGGGGACTACGTGGAAGAACGGAAGAGTCGATTTGCGGAATCGATATGCCACCCTCCAGCGATTTGGGCTCAGATTCCATTCTTTTCTCGAGAAGGTCCTGCTGCTTACGCTCTTTAGATGGTCCTTCACGCGTCGAAGTGGATACAGCAGATCGCGGCATTGGTGATGGGGATCGCGGGGGTTGTGAAGGAGTTTGTATAATGTACGGTATGGATGGAGAAGGTTTAGCCGGGGATGAAGATGAGAGCAGCGGCACGGCTTTATTCTTCCAACGAGGCGTCCAGAACTGACTGACTTTCGAGATGGGGGTCCGTGGAGTTTCTGTCATTGTTGCATAACCAGTATGCTGATCGCCGGTGGCCTTGTATTTGCGAGACTTTCCGTCCCCATATCTTGTGCCCCTAGGTGTCTCAGCCACCCCTTCAGGTGTTTCCAACCACGCCCTCACAGGCCGCTGCACCTCCCCTCCCGCACCACCCTCAAGCGAGCGCAGTGGAACATCCACAGCGCTGCTCCTTCCCTCATAGGGAGTCGTACTGTTCACTGTATTTGCGGGGTCGAGGTTTGGGGCTAAAGTGGGGATTGAGTTGAGGCGGGGATGGTTACTCGGGGAGGAATCGTGCATCCTGACCGCAGCATATTGTCTGCCATTAGCCGAGATCGAGGGATTTAAGATTCTCTGGAACATGCTGCGTCGAGACTGGCCTGCCTCTGCCCTTTCTGCATCATATACGCTAGAAGAAGCACTATGCGTCCACGTGAACGGGTCGCCATGATCAGAGCCCCCGGCCCCAGCCGAGTTGAACTGATTTGCACCTATAAGGAATGGTGTACAGAGAGGTTTGGTCACAGTATCATCGCTGGTGGCTTGATCACGCATGTGCGTGGGGAAGAGATACCGCGTGCCGTGTACCGTTGTTTTGCTGGGTGTGCTCGCTGCAAAGAGTATAACTTCTTCCATGCTCCTGTTGCGAGTTGAATGTGGTCCAGGGCCTTCTACATCGTCAACACCGCCATCACCCTCATCAGGGGGCGCGGGTGCATAGGCTGGACCAGGTTCAAGATTAATCCTACTCCCACCGCCGGTCTTCCTGCCACCTAGTCCACATATACCAGAACCCGCATCGCCGGTTTGCCGGAACTTCCACCACAGACTCGCGGCGCCCACCCCAAGTAAAATTCCTAACACTGCAAAGAGCGGCGCTAGAAATATGACATCAAGGTGCTGGTGGTAGGAAACTTTTGTGACGTCGTGAGGCAGAGTCGTATTAAGAGGAGGAAGGGCGGTGATAGAAATGATGGTAGCTGTGGTTGCACTTGCCTCAGTGAACGCAGGGGCAATGACAGAGGTAGGGTCGTCTATAAGGGTTGAATCTAGAGATGTAGAAGAAGGGGGATACGACGATGAGGTTAGACCACCGTCCTGACGTTCATATGCATACACGTAATTAATATTCCAATGGGTCAAAGTCCCACCTCCGCCCGATTGTGTGGCATACTCATTTTCCATCATGCACGCTCACCAGCCAACGCTGGGATACAGCTGCAATATATGATCTGGGCCGAGGACAAGAACCGAGACGCGACTTTCTACGCCAAGGGCGCTGAGGTCAGCGGCCGGTGCGTCAAGGGAAAGGCCAGCAGCAAGGAAGGTGGCCCGACGAACTAGATGGGAAGCGGGCGAATAGGATGCGCCTGTGACACCTGAACGCTTTGTCTTGCGCCAAAAAGTCCTGGGGCGAACTGTGGGATAAGGATCGGTATCAGAAAAGAAGTAAACAGGAAGAGAGGACTCACAGAGAGAAGGTGCTGGTCGCGGGAGCTCACGCGTATATGTAGATGTAGCTGGAAACGTAGAGAATACGCGTCGTGGGGGAGCCTTGACAGGTTCAGAGAAAGAAACCTGCTTGGGCGGGGCAGACTGCGAACGGGAAATGCTTGATTGGTTTCGGTGCGCTCTGGATGAACGCTTAGGAGGTAAAAGCAGAGCTTCGTCAAAGGTTCGCACTTCGACGGGCGAAGAAGGTGCCGTCGAAGGATCTGCTGTCTCAAGAGTAACCATGACTGGTGATGCGAATTCAGGCTGGCTGCGGCGAGCAAGATTCAGGCTGAAACCAAGTGCGGAATGAGGTCTTGGATAGAGTGGAGTCGGTGAAACGAGCACGGTAACATCTGCCATAGTTTGAATTGAAAGGAGCGACGAGAGGTTAGTTGAAGCTAGTTAACTTGAGAATATTTGCGTCCGTCAAGTGAAGACAATTACATAAATAAGTTTGGGTCCAAATATAGAAGGTCCTGTAGTTTGCCGATCTAAACGCAACCGAATGTTGAACGTTATACAACTGCAGTCGGACTGGGCCTGAATCTTTTCACGCTGTCAGATTCAGAGTACTCATCATATTCAGTGCTCAAAAGCTTTGAGCCCATCGGCGTCAACGTCAGCTACTATTCATAGGCAAGCCGGCATTCAGCCTAACATTCGCCCACCTTCAGAGTCAAATTGCACAACACGGCACTCGCGGATTATGCATCGGGTGTACTATCCAAGCCTATCATGGTCGTGTGCTGAACTCGTGTGCTCGTGACCGGCGATAAAAAAAGCAACCAGTGCAAACTCGACGATATACACCTACATTAAGATACATGACAATACCGCACCGCATCAACATTATAATTGTTTTCACTAGGTGCACTTTCTTGATGCCGCATCTGACGCCTGAAATTAATCATCCGACATGCAGTGCAGACGGTCAGACCATGCCTCCCACGAACCTCCAAGAACACATCATTAAATATGTCATGAACGACATGTCGATCCGCTTGATTCACCTCAAGGTAATGCAGCTAGTATACTGCAGTTTCGTCAGGAATTTTTTTCAACAGCGTGTAGACAAGCTTACAGAAACTGCCATATATGAAATCAACGGTCACCGTCCAATGGCTATCTAGATCTTCGTACAAGGCACCGTGGGATATGTTACTCCATCCAATCAATGGGCGAATGGCAAGGGACTGCCGTACGAAGGTATGGTGTGGAACAGAGCGGCCGAATCTGGGTAAGAAAGAACTCAAAGGTTCTGCGAAAAAAATAAGCCCGATGGTTTGGAGTTTGCGTGGGTGGACACGTGTTGCATCAACGGGAGCAGCACGGGATCGGACAAATTGCTTCGGTCGATGTTTCGATGGTGCCACAACTCTAGCATTTGCATAGTCCATCTTGGTAGACGACAACTACCCTCGGTGATACGGAAGAAGATGAATGTTGGCAGAGGGAGTTCAGGAACACTGTATACATTGCCCCGCGGACCATGAAGATCTTGAAAAAATTGGACTCCGTTGACGGACCAGAATCGTTCTTCAGATTGATGCACACTATCATGCTGAGGGCCCGGTGCATCAACGCTTAACTTGGCTGGCGATTCTGCCCGACACCCTCTGATACACCCCAACTTCACCTGCTAGTTATGTAGGCCATCCCCTCGACATGACGTAAACCAGGTGGTGCTTGCGCGTTCGATTATTGTATTTCTCCTAAAACCCGTTAAAGACTCCGCCAGAGGCGTCCATCACCATAATGACAGTTGCAAAATCAGACTCCATCGCACCTCTCTTCTACAGACTGCCCAGATTAGATTTCAAAGTGTCGTCACTCAACAGATTACTCCGACCAGATCCTGGGCTTACACCTTTTCGCCCTCGACAGGGCACATTCAACCCTGGTCTCCCGAACACATCAGTGCCATATCTGTTGCAAAGGAATGGACATTCGAGCGGCGATAAGCCAAGTCCCCTTCAAGTTACTGGCAAACACAAAATTAGCTGGGAAATGTAATTCGAGGGATGAAGAGACTGGTACGGTTTGCATTCCCGAGGTACCGGCGCAAACAAGGCAAAGCCCTGCTGACGAACATTCTTTCTCCATCAGTCGTGATGATTTACGTATCCTGTTAACTTGTAAGGTGGGACTTAGATACTGGGTTGCCCAGGCCAAGAATCTACATTTCAGTGAGAGCGTGCAATCATCCATAATTTGAAAAGAACCTTGAAGCTCCAGCTTCAACATTCGGTGAACCTAAAACCTGATGCGGTGAAAGTCCCGCTTGAAAGGGGACAAGACGGCCATTAATATCCCAGCGGGACCTGACTCTGCTTGGGAAGTTAGTTTTGGATCGGCCGCTGAACGTCGAACGTGAATGTTGGTGCAAGCAACTTCAACATAGAGCACGCGTGCATTTTCAGAGGGTCGCGTCCAGTCTGAGGGGTTGCAGAGTGGTGTTTATCCTCGTTTATCTTTTTTTTTTCTGCCTGTCAGCATCTTCAACGTCACAGACAAACATTTATACACGGTGGAGTTGACGTGCCTACGTCTTCAGAAGCTGATACTATGACGGTCCCACACGGCGAATACGAGGAGGGTGTTGTTGCTGTGCTCCATTGAGTGGGATGACACAGGTGCGGTAATGAGGGCCGCCCGATATCAATGGACTATCCTGTTCGCGAACTTCGACCACGATTCGAATCGGTCTAGGTGTTGTATCTTGAGCATATTGATATTTAGTTCTGTACATGCATATATGCCATGGACCTGCGAGGTGTAAGTGTGAAATTATGAATCGAGATGTTGATGTTGAGCCGAAGAGGGGACAGGGCGGGTTGAAACTTGACGTGTATATCCGAGCCTGACCTGAGTCGCAAATTTCCTTGGTGTCACTATGTCCACTGCAGGGGCTTCTGTCCCGAGCTCAATTATGGTGCGAACAACTCAATATACAGTGTATCGAGTTTCAAATTGCTGATATCGATCACCTATCGTCTACAGTCACCCAACGCCCTCTTCATGCACGAACGAGGACTCAGTACACAGTGTGAGCATAGTTTCCTCCTAGTTTCTTTCAAGGTCTTTCATTCACTATCCCAGCAAATATTCTCAATACTCCGATTCAAACAATAATGCGATCCATCTCTTCCCAAGGACCCTTTCGAACCCTTCTAATGGCCGAACCTCCTGATCGAATTCATATTTGATCATGCATGCCCACCGGCCCCGCGAGACGTTCCCATTATACCACCTGCGTGCACGCAAGCCATCGACCTACGTAAAGCGGGCGAACGACGCAACGCAGCCTTCACGTTGCATCTCCAGATACGCGCAAACCGACTTGTTTGGGATTGAGAATATACAATTGAGGAAGGGCCTGTGTAATTGTGAACCTAAAGGTCTTGAAAGCGTAAGGTTAAGAAGCCCTTGCATTCTGCGGGAGATTCTCCCGGTCTAAAGAAGCCTAACAAAGTCAGCCAATAATCTCTCATACACTTGCACCACGGATCAAAGTCACTTACCAGACCATCATCACACTCGGGACAGGGAATAGAGCAAGTTTATTGTCGTACCTTGTCTCAATCTTCGTAAGGACCGCGGACTGCTTGGACTATGCTCAATCAGAACGAATATGAAGCTTCTCGATCACAGGAAAGCAATAATTACTTCGGGGATTCCTCCTCTGGTCGCAACTTCGATGTGAATGGGTCTGTTCAGTGTATGCGGCATGGAGGAAGCAGCGCTTGCGATGGTATTACTTGAATTTCTCCGGGTCCCTAATAAAGTGACTTACAAAATAGGTTTGATACATTAGTAGGTGAAGAAAGAGGTATAAAAGACGCAATCGAGCAAGCTCTTGTTGAAACCCATCCAACCCTTACACCTACTAAAGCATCATCACAACCATGACTATCCCAGTTCCAGGCATATACGTGATCTACAACATCCAATACTCCACCCTAGATGTCGATTTGCACTGGGCCAATGTTACTGACGGCGCTCCTGTCGTCGGTTACATCTACAACGAATCCACCCAGAACATGCTGGTTGGTGCAGATATTGTGAATATGCGTGTTTGATCTCACCGAACCCGACTCTGCAGTGGAACTTGCAGGTTGTCGATGAAGAACAGGGTCTGGTGCAATTTGTCAACCTCGCGGGCAACAATTATGCTGGAGTCTCTGGCGAAATCGATGTGAGTGCGTCCAGTAACTTTGCAAGCTGGGGTTGACAACAAGAAAATCAAGGGCTCTGGAGTCATAGGAACCTCCATCGAAACTACTTTCAAACTTCACGAGAGGAAAATTGGGGAATATGAGCGAGTTCCATTTCTCTTTCATGCGTCTTTAGGCTCAAACAACACCATCAGGATTCAGACATATAACTCTGAGCTCGTCTGGGAGCTGCCTGACGGAAACAACTTCACCGAGGTAAGCCTATCTGATAAACTGGACAAATTGCACGTACTCAAGGGTATAGATTATCCTCTCTCCTCCTATCAGCTTCTATGACAACCAGGCTTGGCAGTTCATTCCAGTTGACGGTAACTGAGGGAGTGAAGACACTGAAGAGGGGGGTAAAGCATTGGCGGCAATGACTTGACACCATTAGCACCGATCATGGACTAACAATATTCTTGAGCATCGGAAAGAGGATATCTACCGGCACTGCTGTTATGCGGCTACAGCTATTTATTTGACTTGTAGTAGTGTGATTTTTTTTAGGAAACGAAAAGAGTGCGAGGACTTAGGACATGTCTGCCTAACATAACTAACGTCGAACCATTTGCGAGCACTCAGTATCTAAAAGCCAACGCTGTACACGATCACAATTCCAACAGCGACTACGGCATAATTCAGCGTATGAGAGAGTCGACTGGCTGACACGAAGGTCAGAACAAAAGCGAGAATGGTCCCAAACAACCTGTGAATAACAGGACCTACATTGGCTTGAGGAAGAAGGAATACAATAGCGATGAATGCAATCCATGTAACTGCCGCGATGAGAATGGGTATAGGGAATGCGACAAGCCTCGCACGAAACGCTTTTGGTAAAATACACGGAGAGCAATGAGCATAGCTTGCATCAAGCTTATTTATATTAGGTCCGACCTGAGATGACCATTTCAAAGGAAGAGCCACTTGCCCGTGAGAACGAGCACATCAGAGAACCTGTGGGAAGAAGATATCGTAATATATAGGAAAGGTTTTCGTCACATTGGAATATAAAGTGATATAAAGCAATATATGACTATGTAAAAGCACCATAATCAGCATAATCTCCAGCAAGAACTCACCGGTTTACTGATGCAACGCCGCTAGACTCAGACTGTGACACTCATTTTGAATTCAACTCTTGTGTGTAACCCATCCTCGCCAGTTCAAACTCGTCCGCCCCATCATCGATCAGCTTGGGCTTTGCAACTTCCACCTTCCACAGCTTTCAGGGTGGTCAGACATGATGAGCCGACCGCACAATCCAGATTCGGAATTCTGTTGATGTTCAAGTTGAATAGTGGTTGGAACACTATCCCATTCAAATTATTGAAGCTGTATACACGATATTGGTATATACTGTGTGCCTTGATCAAACGATAACCGCTCGGACAGGTGGCAGACGCGCGATTGTGGGATAAGTAAGCTGAAGTGACTATGTACCTACAGCCGAATCCACTTGAAGCCAGGCGCACGCCCACTAGGCCTAGAAAAGGTTCGTCAGTAGTGCTCTGCTTGAAGTCGTATATTCTACTAAATACCATTACGGGATAGCGACCTGCCAAGGCCTGAGATCCTAAACAAATAAAATGATGTTGTTCACTCATATCAAGACGAGTATATCCTGTTTTCCCTGGAATAGGTCTTGGTATAGATACTTAGGCTGCTGCATGCAGCTGCAAGTGCACTTGAACCCCCGAGTCGAATGGTCATTCAACGAAGCAGGCTCACGCTCGGATTCAGTGTTGGCGCCACCAGGCAGACCACATGGTCCATATTCCCTGGGGGGCTAACGATCAACGACTCTGTACCCACGGCTAGCGGGGAATCGATATTCGGTGTGCAAGTGAGTATGCGAGAACACATGAGTGACTCACAAAATGATACAGATCTAGGATGTGTATAAATTTAAACTGGGTGGGCGAGCAGAAACGCGCAACAAGGTCACGCTCGGATACGCCGAAGCAACAAGGCGCCATTTACAGCTCATTCGCCAAGCTGCAGACGGGTTTTTATTAAGTATGGGCGGGAAACTTTAAAGCTCCATCATCCAGATTCATCCGGATAGACCATAGGGTCTGATGCCATCTGAAGAATCGAAACTATGTACTACTCTCAACAGACCTCGACGAGGTGACCCATCCAAAACTCTGTTTGCCGCCGTGATGCAGCACTTTTGTAGGACAACTCGTTGGTGTTACCATTATCTTTTGAAGAAATCCAGAGAACCGTAGTATAAACGCAATCACCACCGTAGCATTATTCGCAATTTTGCACAGACTCGCCCGACATTAGCGAATTCGCACTGCCGGAACGAATCTAACTTAGGAGTCGCTCGTGATGATGGTATGGGCTCCTTTTTCGTTGCTATATCCCGCCTTTCCATTTGGAATAGCTTCTGGTGCGGATACCACGTTTGTATCGTAATCAGGTGAGCCCTACTGCGCTGCATTCACAGATGCGCATGACGAATTGGTCCGGCTGGGAGCGATGACAGCGGATGCCCACCTCGAAGCACTAGCCGAAAACCCCCCGAGTTGAACAGGTAAGATTGATTACCTAGTGATGTGAAGGAATTTAAGTGTGACTCAGAGGGAGCCGCTCCTCACATTTTGTTTACAGATAATCCCGTTGCTATGATATCTTTCAGGTAAAAAGACGAAGCGAAATATATTTCCAGTGGTTGCGCAGCACGGCTATTGTATATTTCACACCCGTATTGGTGTTTGAAGGGGCGGTCATTCAAATATTCATTTCCCCTGGTCCTAAATTATAGTGATCTAGAACGGATCACTGCAAGCAGCTTATGCTTGTTTGGAGAAGCGATGGTTCATAGGAGTCACCTACATGTCGTTGTGCCAGGAGCTAACTGTCATTTCATTTTCAATAGGATTATCACCTGCATCATGTAGTATATGCAACATACCAGCAAGCGCTCGACTTGTAGCGAGTTCCCTCAAGACACATATCAGTCACTATGTGAGACTATGTATAGTCTTGCAAGGAGGGTATTCAAACGGGAGTTGGTGCGGCCGAGCGCCGGTTCCTTGTATGGAGTCTGAAACAGACGATAATACAGAACCACCGGTCCTTCACTCACACCGTTTCTCTAATAGTTTAGCAGGTGAAATGGACCACCTACCGGCGCAGATCCCGGTGGTACCGATCTCCTTCTGGTATCACAGAAGATCTATCATCAAATGATGGAGTTTCAGAATCCATGCGAAAGGTAGGATCTACGACTTATTAAAGGCTGACACTGAAAGCCGACGTACCTTTGTATCGTACATAGATAATTACATGCTGGTGTGAAGCCTAAACAGAATTCTAATCCCACAGTCGTCTTCTACAACTCGACTTGGAGTGCCAGATCATGGGCTTGAGTGCACGGGATATTGCATTTATCATTGCCCTTTGTGGTGTCACAACTCTGAATGTAAGTATGAATAACTGTTTTCCGGAATATCAACACTTCATAAACTCGACGTGGAATCAAGGTTTTCCTCATCGGCGCTGTTACAGTTGCACTTCCCACTATTGGAAGAGACCTTAATTTCCGAGAGGTTTGTTTTATATTCCACGCACACTACTCTAACACGATATGCATCTGTCTAGGGTAATCTTTACTGGCCGGTCAATGTGAATTCGTACGTCCCTACAATAATTGCGACACAACTATGAGGCACTGACATCGTTAAATAGTTTGTCATTTGGAGGCTTACTTTTATTCTGCGGAAGACTGGGGGACATATTTGGAAACCGCTTCATGTTCCTAGTTGGGTCTCTATGGTTCGCGATTTGGTCAGTAGTCAAATTTGAATTTTCGAATTGTTAACTTACAAAATTCATGCCAGGAGTCTCGCCATGGCCTTTGTTCCAAGTTCAGATGTTTTCATCGTAGATATGGCACTCCTGGGAATAGGATCGGCCGCCAACACTCCCGCTGCAATCGGATTATGTTCGTCATACTTTCCACCAGGAGCAAACAGGAGCAAGGCCTTCAGCGCACTGGGTGTTGGATCACCTGTGGGTTTTGTTCTGGGCATCATTGCTAGTGAGTTTTGCGTAGCAACATTTCCGATAGACAATTCATTCAACTTTGCAGGCGGTCTTTTGACTGAAAGTCGCGCCACATGGCGTTCATTGTTCTGCATTCAAGCCGCCAGAAGTCTTGATGGTTGGTTTCCGAGCAGCTGCGTGGACTTGTTTCGCATCGACACTGTTGGGCATTGTCATCGTCATCTTTGGGTTGAGAGACCTGGGTATTACCGGCACAAAAGCGAGGACGCGGAACAATCAGACAATCCCACTTTGAAGTCGGGCCAGAGTGACTCGGAATCGCTCAAGTGAAAAGGAGCATCATTGTTTCGCCCAAGGCCGACGAATTGTTGTGGGATCTCCTTTGTTTTGTACAGTATCAAATAGACGGCGATCTGCGTTTTGACAGAGTATCAGTTATGTACCACACTAGACTAGAAATCCCCAGCTATGTATCTATATAAGTATACTTGCTGCTAAAAGTGTGATGTGCTGTTTGACACGAGTAAACTCAAACAGTGACACTCACTCATACCTGGAGTACTGTTATTACTGTAGCGGCTCGGTACCGACGGTAGGACAAGCTCGAGCGCCGTAGCGTACGTCAAAGAAGGCCTAGCTAAGGATGCAATTCATTATGACCGTACCTTGAACGGCTTCCTCAGTCAGGTCCTAGATGAATGCAAGATCAGCATGCCACTTTGGTCAGGGTAAACGAATCTCGAGTTCTTAGCAGTGCAAAGGAGGGTAATTCTTTAAGCCGCGTATACTTCTCTTGACAGAGCTGGCATCGACCTAAGGGAGCGTGATAGTTTTGCCTGGGGCCTGGCACATGCAGCTACTGTCATTTCGAGATAGGCAAAATATTCCCACGCATGTCGTGTCACCTTCAGTTGCTGACATCCATATGCTTTCTAGACAACAGTCATGACCATACAGGAGCTAGTGGAAGGCAGAATAGCGGGTGTGCTTTTTTGGTTCTTCGGGACGGAGCTGACCATACAACAATCCAGGACTTCAAAGGCCAAAAGACGGCGGACGACATTGTTCGCGTGGTGCTCATCACTAGCACGGTACGTACCCTTCGCCGTCGCTGCGTTTAGCCAGTTAGATCTCGTTTTGCAGTTTCTCTCTTTTGCGATTGGGTTTGCCTTCAGCTCTCTCATGATAACAATGAGTATATTCGCACTCTGTACTGTAGCGCTGTCTCTGGTAAGTTTGTTTCACGAGACGTTCATGTACCTGGTCAATTCATACCTTTACTATAGGTTGTCCTGCCTCCTTGGCCCATGTTCAATCACCATCCAGTGATATGGTTATCTGCAGAAGGACACAGTCAGAAGTAGTATTCGGTGTTTATTTTGATATCTTTGGCTCCTGCGACAGACTCAGAAAGCAAGACTTCTCTAGCTTCTGATAATCTGTTATTTGCAAAGAGTGAGTCTTATTAATACATATACTATTTGTATGCTTCGACAGCCTGAGAGTACAAGGTAAGCTTGTTGGGGCAATTGTTCCACATGGGCGTGTCGGGCCTATGATTACAGTGCCTTGCCATAGTGGTTGGCATCGCTACCTCTGAGTTTGAAGCGCTAGCCAAGGCCTCAGCCATTTTCATATCCACGTTTTGAAGTTCTGAATGAGGAAGAAGGAAATGGATCGTTTCCACCTTAGGGGATTTTTGGCACTGGTGAGCTGATGAGACCTGGTGAGACATACATGAGAAAATCAGGGCTCTATATCTGTTGGATTATCAACTGGGAGCAAATATCCGTTTGCGAACATAGACGCTTGACCGCCCTGAGTGATTTTAAAACGTTGATTCGGAGGCGGTTTCGCTGACTAGCGAGCACTGCCCTTGAGAGTGCTTGGTTAACGTTAGAGACGTTCATGGCAGCATTCTACCCGTCCTCTATGGCAGCGCCGCTAGGACAGGTGCCTGAAGAATCTGGTTTGGTTACGCCGTCGCACGCAGGAGGTTATGAGTTTGATATGACCATCACGCAACCACCCTCGGCTCATCAGCCACAGCTTCTTTCATCACCTCCACCAGCAAGGTCACATACTTTAACACCGTCAACAGCAGCTACAACAACCTTCAGGACCACGACCACGACGCATAATACTGCTATTCCACGCCCTTTACCCTCTCCAAGGCCGCAGGCCACGTCTCACAGGCCCCGCCCGGTTTCAATGCCTCCACAGGCATTCGCTGGTACCACAACTTCAATGTCAAGTTCTTCAGACCGCGAAAAACAGCAGACTACAGACTCAAAACACCGTCAGATCAGAGATGGTTCAACCAGCAAGCAGGGTCGAAGCTCAAACCGCATCCTTGGTGACTATACCTTGACCAAGACGCTTGGAGCTGGTAGTATGGGAAAGGTCAAGTTGGCTATTCACAATGTCACGGAAGAGAAGGTGTGTGCTACGTTCGTATCAAGCATGGTTTATCGTTCGAACACCCTGGTTGTTGTTCGTAGCTCGCCGTCAAAATCCTCCCCCGAGTGTATCCGCAGGCCTCCCAGCCAAATGGTTCAAATGCAACTCCAGAAGCAGTCGCAAAGCAGGCCTCAAAAGATGCCTCGAAAGAGATACGCACTCTCCGTGAAGCTGCCCTCTCTATGCTTCTCCATCACCCATACATCTGCGGCATGCGTGAGATGATCGTCCATCAACATCATTATTACATGGTATTTGAATATGTGAACGGCGGCCAGATGCTCGACTACATTATCAGTCACGGTCGGTTGCGGGAACGTGTCGCTCGCAAGTTCGCTCGTCAGATAGGAAGTGCGCTAGATTACTGCCATCGAAACAATGTGGTTCATCGAGGTCTGCGGTTGCTGTATCTGGATTGTCTCACATTCTCATTGTTCTATATCGTAGATCTCAAAATTGAGAATATCCTCATATCTGAAACAGGTAACATCAAGATCATCGACTTTGGCCTGTCTAATCTCTACGATCCTTCCTCCACTCTGTCGACCTTCTGTGGTTCGCTATACTTTGCGGCTCCCGAGCTCCTTAACGCGAAAGTCTACATAGGACCAGAGGTTGATGTATGGAGTTTTGGAGTTGTCCTGTACGTCCTCGTATGCGGCAAAGTGCCTTTCGACGATCAGAGTATGCCAGCACTGCATGCCAAAATTAAGCGCGGGCTGGTCGAGTATCCTGTGTGGTTAAGCGCAGGTGCGTCCAAATTGTGTTGTGAAGCGTGTTGCTCACTGATCGATTCTCCAGAATGCAAGCACTTACTCTCCCGAATGCTTGTCACCAACCCCGCTGTGCGTGCCTCGCTGACCGAGGTACTCGAGCATCCATGGATGACTCGCGGCTTCAGTGGTCCTCCTGATTCACACATGATACACCGGGACCCGCTCCGACCTGATGACCTTGATAAGCAAGTCATCAAAGGCATGAAAGGCTTTGAATTTGGGACTGATGAGGAAATCGAACGAAACCTCCGAAAGGTTCTCGAATCTGACGGTTATGTCCGCGCGGTCCAGGCATGGGACCGCAAGCGCGGTGGTCGCAATGGCGCAAACCACCGTTTGGAGTTCTCTAACTCTTCTCTTGCTATATCCTTCGATGGATCGGCCACGAATGCACACAAGAATGAGTCTACGATGAGCCCTTCAAAGAAGTCGAAACGTTTTTCCGGATTCGACTTTTATCGCCGGAAGCTGTTCTCCCCTTCCTCATCGCCGCCCACCACTCCTTCTCACTCGCCGCCCACCTCTCAGTCGCTTCTGTCAATCGGCGATGGCGCGCGCGACCCCCTCGACCCAACGCAGGGATTTCATCCACTGGTTACAATGTATTACCTTTCCCGCGAGAAGTTAGAGCGCGAGCGCGTCTATGGTCCCGGGCGCTTTGCTAGCTCCCAGCTCTCCATTCAATCGGCCACCGCAGCCAATGCATCCGCCGCTGATACTTCTGCACTACCTCCTTACCCTGCTAAGCCTTTCACTCAACCTGCTCCTGTCAAGAAGGAGCAACAGCAGCTTGCTACCTCTGCATCTGCTAAAGCAGACTACGGCATGCCTCTCCCGCGCTTTCCCGCACCTGAGACGTTGCACTACTCCGACATGTCCTATGATGCAGCATCTGCAGCGGCTTCCCCGACCTCTGCTGCATTCCATGGGCAAGTGAGAGCGCGTGACTCGGGGCTACCTCCACCTGCTACGAAGCACGTCGAAATTTCCCAGCCACTTACGCCAACACCGGGGCCAGCGACGGCACTTCCGCGCGCTCCACCTGCGTCCACTCATCGCCGCAGCCACAGCATGAGCCAACGACCAACTGCGCTCCGTGGATGGGGTGGAGGGTTTGTTAGTGGCGAAAGTCGTGTAGACGAGCATGGTGAGGAGCAGGGCCCTCATTCGGCTGGTCTGGAGGGTGAGTTTACGGAGCAGGATAAGGTTCTGTCCGCGGGGGATCGTGCACATACACATGACAGTCCGTTGTCAGCTGGCGCAACGCTCGTGCGCAGGTTTGGAACGCTTCTGGTTGGGAAGGGCGATGATAGTAAACGGAGTACCAGTAAACGAGCGACGATGTTAGGCGGTGTGCCATTGCGATCATCGGGAGATGACGGCGAGAAGGCTGCTGAATCGTCTTGGAAGCGTGGCGCGGATGTTGATGTACGCAGATCCTCCATCGTTGCGCCTCAGCCTATCACTGCTAGTCAGAGCCAGCCCCTTGGGAACGTGCACAGACGAGCTGCCACGATCCTTGACCCCCAAGGTCGTCAGATGCGGCACGAACGCCGGAGTAGCACTGGTGGAGCCTTGCTCCCTAGTATAGGTGGCACCATTGGACGACACCGTCGACCATCGACTGGTTATGGGACGAGCAGCGGACGTCCAACTGGGTTGAGTGGTTTTGGAGACACTGAGAAGGTGGAGGAGAATGTTGAGCAGGAGGCGGTCGATCAGGACGATGGCTTCAAGGATGAACAGAGTGGGCACCACAGTGATAAGGAATTCAAGCCTGTGCATCTTAAGGGGCTGTTCAGGTGAGCGCAAGTCTTGTGTTTATTTGGACAGTGCTGACATGTGTGACAGCGTTGCGACCACTTCTACAAAACCTCCATCAATGCTCAAGGCTGATATCAAGAAGGTTCTGGACCGAATGCAAGTTCAATATCGGGAGACACGGGGTGGCTTTGAGTGCATTCATGTACCCTCCATTGACATTTCGTCTGTCCCCGAATCAACTCAAGTTCAAGGACGCTCTAGTCATCACCGCAGAACTGCTTCTAGTGGCTCTAACGAAACTGGAATTACGCCTCGATCGCTCGTGAAGAAAGCGTCGAAGATGTCTTTCGGTATGAAGTCCAAGGATCGGGAAAGGGAGAGGGAGAGTATGAAGGAAAAAGAGCACGAGGCTCCCTTGGAGAAAGAGCTCCCTCACAGGCCGTCGATTGGGACTGCATTAAGCGCCACCCCCAGCAGTGGATCGTCTTCATTCTTCAATGTCTCTTCTAATACCCATACCATTATGGCGGACAATTCTCGGCATCAGGAAGCCAACGTACCAGCGCCGGGGACACCTCATGAAGAACAGCGTGATCCATTCCGCTCGCAAACACCGGTAAAAGGCAAGGTCTTACCGCCCATACCCCGTGACTTTGCTGCCACGCCACAGCCGCACACTCCTCGGCCGGCACCTTTGCCTACCGGCGAAGTCGATCGTGAAGTATTTGAATCTATCGGTGCCAGTTCATTATCAGTCCGTTTCGAAATTAACATTATTAAGGTATGATATTCCTCCTCGTCATCGTCTCAAACATCTGATAGACTTTACCCTAGGTTCCTTGGCTGCCACTCCACGGCATACAGTTCCGAAGGGCTGGTGGCGATGGCTGGCAATACCAGATGCTCGCCCGGAGAGTTCTTACTGAGCTTAAGCTATGACCAATCGCCTTCGCGGTCTCCATTATGATTTGCCTCTTTCCAAGGCATCCTCATGCTCAATGTTTCCATCTTTTGTGAAATATCTTTTCTTTATGGTTTTCCCTCCTTTCTCTAGTTAAAACGGTTAGACACGACGTGTCACAGGTGTTCCGTTCATACGCTGCCGAATACTTACTTGCCCGCTCATTTCTCACGTGTATCAATGCTTCTCTCGAGGACGGCAATAATACCTATCTTATATGTTCTTCCATCTTGCTTTGGAAGTACTGTACAGAACGATGGAAATTCTGCAAGAAGTCGTACTGCCCTTGCTTCAGTTGTGTCATAACGTCTGAGCTGCCTTGAGACTCACTTGAAAGATCAACACTCATTCATGCTGATTAGCTCAGGCCGTCCGAGACTCGGACTCGGAGTGTGAGGATACCCATAAATCACATGAGTGCGGTGATAAATGCTTAGGCAGGATACAAAAAAAACCTATACGACGACTAGTGTGCTGTACGATCGATCTAGGACAACGTTGGAGTCGGATATTTATGGGCGTCCTGGTCCCATAGTTTGGTATAGGGAAAATCATGTGTTCAGTTACCCTATTCAAAATTCAATGCAAGCGACAAACTGGTTAAAGTTGAAACATTATGACTTTTTGAATAGAAATAAAGACCAACTATTCCAGACTAAGTAGTACCAATTTAATTGACAGCAAGCGAACAATAAATAGCTGGTATAGATTGCACATAAGATCATCAGATCAGCTTGAGCCTAGCCCTTGGCAAGGATTGGACGGTCTGGAACAGCTCTGTGACATCATCCCACCCCTCAAGACCCAGCCCCAGCATACCCGGAACCATCCAGGTCAGCGACACTCCAGCATCTTTGCAAGCCTCCGTGACACTGATGAACAACTCGCTCGTAGTCGTGAACGCCAAATCGGCATCATGCTTGAGAGCTACGGCAAGATGCAATAGGTTTCGTGCATTCTCGGATGAGATATATGCAACAAAACGATTCGAAGGAGACAGCAACATTACTGAAATAGCAAGCCGACGAAGCGTGCGAGGTAAAAACGGAAATATGTTTGAACTCGTCGGAGATACGTAAACGAATGTCTCGAGAGCAGGGCAACATTCCAGTGAACGGCACGGATCAAGTGCGTGTATCATTAAAAATCGGAGACGCTCGCCGGTCGAGTCGAATGTGAGCAGAGGCGTGATATCTGGCGGCGGGATGCTTTGAAGGCGACCTGGGATGATGACAAGCTTTTGCAGGACCTGCCCGCTGTTTCCATCCTCGTCAGGTCCACGAAGAAGGTCAATGACCCCTGGGACTGACAAGTAGGTGCAATGCAAGATGAGGCTGTGAAGTTTTCCCAGTGAGGTAGGAAGTGAATGGTCAAATGGCCATGTCTCGAAATACATTATCTCCAAGGTTTCCAGGAACGGCGCAACGCGCCCTAGAGCATCAAGGAGTGATTTTCCACTGTGCCCCACACTTCCCGCCAACTTGAGAGAGCGCAACGACAGGAGATCAAAGCGCCCAACTTCAGCTGGCAATGAATACCCAAATATCCTGTCCATTGCGCCATAAATTTCCACTTTCGGCATTTGCGGCATCGAACTGAAACAACCGTCCAAGGCAACGCAAAAATCATTGCGGTTCAGCCGTACTGAATCGCCTGCGTCTATTGTGAAGATTATCATGACGCGCGAATAGGAACCAAATTGCCGTAGAATTGAACACAGCTGGAGAATACTCTCATCCAGCCATGGGACGATGAGGGTGTGCAACATGATTTCGCGGGTGAAAGTGCACCAAGTTCGACAGACCAACGCACACTGAATGAATGCACGAAGATCATGTCGATACTGTTGCCATGACCTATCTATGAAAGCCGGTCCTGGGAGTGGAGATGGAGGAGTAGGTGAAATATGTTGTAGAATTGATGGTACGAGCTCGGGAGGTATGTGCACTGTTAGCAACCCGTGACGGTTATGAGTACGAAGGGACATATCATGAAATGCAATGCGACAATGGAGCGATTGCAGTAGTTCTACGAGCCCTGTTGCCCGTTGCCTTGTTAGAATACGAGAGGCTTAGCGAGTCACACCCCGATGTTTGATATCCCACGAAGATTGTGTATCCGAGTCATCCAGGACGTGATACGCCAAGATGCGAGTCGAGTGTTAGACGCCCGCTATTTAATACCATCATGATGGTATGCTGTGTTTTGTTTGACAGCGCCTAGGATTTGCTCAGGACCGTGACGGATGGTGAAAGAGAAGACAATGTAACTTGTTTGATATTGTTTGAGGGGGAGTTGCTAACAACGTCCCTGCCTCATGCATGTCGAGGTCCAGAAAGAGTGGACATATCGATATCGGAGATATGGGTCGGCATGAGCAGGGGATCGTACAATATGTACGTACCTGATTGTACCTGAGCATGATTCGGCGATAAGCAGAACGTATACTGATACGCCATAATATAAGTTGGCAGCGAAAAAAGAATTCTGAATCCCTAGCATGCAATGTTCAGCCGCACCTCCCGGATCCGATGGATCATAAGTACTATAGCTAGTGACGGTCAATTCGTCCAGGGCTTCATAATTGATTACTCGGAACCTTGGATTACTGCCCCCTCCAGATTTTTGTAAATATTGAATTGAGCGCTCACGGGACAACTCACTGACCGAAATTATTTCTTCAGCCAAGTGCACGTTCCATTAGCCGGACGCTGTGCCAGGGCCCAGAGGCGAGGAGAAGGATGATAATAATGCCATCAGAAGAGGAGTCCGAATTAATTATCCAGTGCTAGTTTAATTCTGTGGTGCGTTTTAAGCTTGTGGCGAATGTCCGACTCGGACTAGCAAGTGGCATGTGTTTAGAGCTAGTAGTCATCGGGGATATGCCGCGCTAACCCTGCCAAGTATTTTCACCCCTTCAATTTGTGCTTCCGGTTAGAGATTCAACCCAACATTGCCATGATTCAAACGTTCCTATGTGATTGCCGGCAGCAGTTGCGTTAGCTTGAACGTTCCAAGTTGTCGAGCGCACCATGGGCGACGCATCACAACATAACTTAGATAAGACTTGCGGGCAATATTTTTGAAAGCATTATTAAAGCTCGAGTCAAGACATTTGAGATGCTGCTAGTATCATCTAGGTGTGTAAGATTCTGAAAAAGAAAACATGAATGACCAAGTGTACAGTGTACAGTAGTGAAAGCAAGATCATGAATACAGTAATGCTGCGTGAAACCAAAGAATACTCAATACTAATAGAAGAGAAATTTCCGACCCTTGACGATGTCATATAACTAATGTCTTACGGACGAAAAAGTTACATTGCTAGCTGTGGTTCAGCTGTGTACCCTCCAAAGCTTGGGTGGATGCCTGGTATTCCTTGATTGTAAACTTCTGCAACGCCGTTCAATTGTGGTCCTTCAGGCCAAGAGAACCTTTGAAATCGATCAGTTGTGCCGCAAAGAAGAACAGACACGGAACATACCCTGGCATCATCATATTACTCCACCAGGCATCGTTGAGTGCATGCATAGCTGCCAATGTCCCGCTCTCCGATAGCACATCTGCCATTCCAACATCCATATCGCTATCTAAAACTCCATGGTTCGACTGAGTGCGAGAGTAAGCAGCTTCGGAGTATATCATAGGAGTCGCGGAAGGAGGTGTAGATGCCTGTGATGAAGAGCTCGAAGGGCCTCGGTTGAGAGTCATCTGCATGGAATCATTGTCGCGTCCTTGCTGCGACATGCCTGACGCTGGTCCACCAGAGTATCTTGTTCCTGAAGGTGACATCGAATGTTGCGAAGCGAAGTTACGAGGTTCAGGTTGACGAGAAACTTGGCCTTGAGGTGGAGCGTGTTGAAGACGCCCACCAACGGAGCCTCCACCTTTCCTATGCCTTGTAAGAAGGCTGGCGAGGAATCGAGCATATAGGCGTGGTGTGTGACGTTCATCAATGGCAACATCTTGAAGCGTTGTGATCAGGCGGCCAATGAGTTCGAAGATTTCGTCCTCCATCTGACGGGTCAACAGCTGAGAAAACTCGGGACGCAGAAGCTGAGTAATGAGGTAAGAATAGCGCCACATTGGATATGTAAGTTTTCACCTTGAGCATGAATGCAGAGGCGAAAGACGCAAAGACGAAGTGGCCTTGGAATATAATGAGACCAAGAGCATCACAGATCAGAATAGTATGTTACCATCAGGGGCAGCGCACATGAGACCACTAGGTGCCAGCACTTCAATCATTTGCTTAATGACCACCTTTGCGGAGTCGAAACACTACATAAAGTTCGGTAAGATGGTTTGGGATACGGGACCACAAAAGTACTGACCTTGTCAAGAAAGACGTTGTCGCTCGCCTCCATACCTCGTTGGAAGGCGTGTTGAAATCCGAAAGAGTACATAACAAGACGTGAATAGCTGACCAAGCTAGAGGCACATTAGCTGGTCTCGCAGACGATTGAAACACAGAACATACAAAGGTAGCAGAGTGCATCGGAATACACTTCCGGGATCTAAGGCACAGGAATGAGCACGTGTTTGACTATTGCTTCTGGAATGAAATCGTACCTCCAGGATCAGATTCCTCATTAAAGCGTCTGGTCCATTCCTCAAAATAGTTTGTAAGATGACGATCGTGTTCTAGCGTGACCTGAAGGAAGTTGATACCCTACAAGGCCGGTTTAGTCACTAAGTAGGCGCAAATGAAGGGCGCAAACCTTGTTCAAACCAGTTGGAGAGCTAGGGTCTGAGAAAATATCGTCATGGAACCGGCCCACGATACGAAGAAGCGTTGAATAAGCACAGAGGTGGATATCAAACTTCAGCACAACTGATCAGCACCCGAGACGAGAAGATATATTGGAACACACCTTGTCTCTGAAGCGAGATTGTTTGTACCAGTCTGCGGAATGACGAGTGATATAGTCCTCCTTAATCGTCGAGGGCTTGCCAAACTGTGTAGCAGTTGATCTATCGATATTAAAACATATCATCCACACGCGAGTGCGATTCAACATCTCTCGCTCCTGGCGCTCTGTCTGAGGCTGTGTTGCAGAGACCTGATGTAAATTCAAGTCTGTAGCAATCCTAGAGTGACAACGATAAGCTTTAGAAATGAAAGGAAGGGTATGTACTGCATACCGCGCCGCAAGTCCTGTGTACAACCAGCTTCTGTCTTCCTCCCACTTGCGAGCTGGGACAGCATAAATGCTCATGAGAATGTAAGCTTGACATAGCTCAACGGATTTCCAGCCGTCGATGAGCGCGTTAGCCGCAGAGTGCTTCGCAAAGTGCATAGCAACAGGATAGATCTCAGACTTCTCCTTGTAATAACGCGAAGAAATAGCACAGACTGTGCATCTCAAGTTAGGCGCTTAACAGATGATATCAAGAGAGTAGTTACGTACTAACGGTGAACAAGAAGGGACACCTTTGGAAGATGGATTGAGATGTATGTAACGTGGGATCGAGGAGGCCAATGAATGGCTGTAAGATAGATTAATAAGTCGCAGTTTCTTTCTAGCTTTAGAAGCATACACTTACATTAATTTGCTTCCAGAATCTGTGTTGACGGACATACGTCAGCAGAAGGAAAGTAAAGAACTGTGTGACCTTACATATCGAAAAGCTTTTCAACGTCAGCGTTATTCACAAGTCCGTGGAGAACTATCTCCGGTGTGTGCTGTTCCACCAGGGTTTTGCGTATATTCAAGTCCGAGGCAGGACCTACTAGGTTATTAGAAACAGCGTATAGTGTTGTGCCACGACAGCATCTTACCAGGTAAAAAATACTCTTTATTGGCCACACCCTGCAAGTAATTACCGTCATAAACACGGGGCCGACATCATGCAAAGGAGCCATTACTTACCACATTGTCATCGTCGTCTTCGGGCTTCGAGTTACTGCCACCTGCACCAGTGTTACCACCTTGGCGACCTCTGCCTTTACCCTTATCTTTATCCTTGTCTAAAGACAAGTTTGCGAGCAGCCCAATAGGCACAGCAGCGTCAGGGAGCGAGTTCCTGACTTTCTCAACGTCCTCTTCTTCGACGGGACCCTCTTCAGCGTTGGGATCATCATCCTCGGAATCATCCACAATAGCTGCAGGGGGGTTGCGCAAGTTACGAAGGAAGTCAGGGTCGGTAGGCGAGGCCATCCCTGGTTGCCTGGTGCTAGCCTGCAGACGATCAAGCCAGTCAACAACGTTCATGTTGTCACTGTCAGATGGTGATGTCGCTGCTTTGAAGGATGCAACCGAAAGCGGCGTCGCCAAGTAAGGGTTGTGCAACTGCTCGACAAGGAACGTCAGTGAACGAATGTATCGAAGCATCATGGCGAACGACCCACCTGCTTCAACAGAGACTCTATGATCTGATCCTTGTGACGGATCTGAGCCAAGAGGTACTCTCGTTTGCTAACACGGGGAGGGTTGTATGAGTAATGTGACATCGTGGACGACATAGTATCAGAAAATGAAGACGACAAAGACGAAGAGGAATCAACAGATGAAGACCGCGAACGGGGCATATGAAGAACAGTCAACAAAGACAGTACAGTGGGGATGACTGACAACCAAAAAGTAACCAGGTTTAAATAGGAACCAAGAAAATGCGATGATGGACAATCAGAACGCAAGACTGACACGACTTGTGCTTGGTTCGAAACATGAATGACGAATAAAGGATAGTAGGAACCGGAAATTGTGAAGAAATTGACGACCGAGAATGAAAAAAGATTGAAAGATGTCTCGAGGCCGGTCTGGATCTCCAGATATGGATATATACTCAAGTTCAGTCATATCCCATTTGACTTAGCAGGAAGGCCAGCCAATGCCGAGAAAAGTGTAAAAAAACACAGTCGGTACAAAGACATGTCCCGGTTCCAAATAAAGAGCGAGAAGTTACGACATCCAAAATGAAGGATGATCGTCGTTTTGAAATCAGAAGAACGAGTCAGGGACTTACTTTGGCGCTGTCCTAGGTTTACGACCTTCTACGATGCAAGGGTGCCCTCCGGTTGCGCAACGCTTGCAAGTACTAGCCCCGTCCGGAAAGTCGCATTTCATCTGTAATGTCGACCGGAGACAAGTGAAACGGCAAACCGATGTCACAAGATCGAATGAATATGTTCAATCGAAGCCGAAAACAATCACATGACATCCAAAACGAGGAGTACGATCCATTTCGGGAGCAGAACGTTACATTCCGATAATCAAAGGGTCCAGGAGCCGGCAACAGGGCGCATAAATGTGCGGGGTACGTTCGCACATTCAAGTAGTGCCGAGTGGAGGATAGGGACCGAGCAGCGAAATAGGAGTTTAGTAATATCGGAAGATGTGGATGGAAGTCCGCAGGTGTGAAGAATTACGAGCCATCACCGGAGGTTAACGATTCAGTCGCAGGAGGAACCATGATGCCGTGCGAGGAACCCACAACAGCCCCAGAAGAGAAGCGGTAGTCCAAAAGGAGGTCCGAAAGTGAGGGCACGAGTTTCCGTCGAGGCAGACATCAGACACCAAGGCACGTTCGGAGTAGAGGTAGACCGGAGACAGTATGAATTCATGACGAAATATATCGTGTCGCAGATTGCAAGGATATCAATTCATCGTAGATAGGAGAAGAGAACAAGAATTTGGTAAGCAATCAGACCACAGCACCATGATATATGGAATGGAAGTGCAAAAAGAAAGATAACGTACCTTCAGGCGTTTGCAATGTGTACACGCTCCAGTTCTGTAGTGGCATTCGTGAGAGCGCAAATTCGGAAAACGACAGAAGAGGTAGAAAATACATAGCAGTAGTTGGGGAAGAATCACCGAGCCGAAAAGATGGAACGTGTGGGGCAAGACACGAGCGCCGGACGGGAAGCAAGTCAATTAATTATGTAAGCAAATCGTCATCGTGGGTGAGTGTATTTTCACGAGGCAACGAGTCCAAAGACACCGTACGGGCAGGCGAAAAAGCAAGGCGACGAAGGCGTGTAAAACGCAGCGTATAGCCAGGTCGCAGGACGGGGGTTGACAAACCGGTAGAATTACGATATTGAGAGGTGGGGCACGGAATTAGAGCAAGCCAAGGTCAGCCAAGATGTCGGGTCGGCAGTGCAAGAAGGTGCCGCGATGTCAAGTTATCGTCAGGATTTAGTGTCGGTAACAGATGTAGCCGGAGCGGGAAGACAGAAAATATAGCCGGAGTCGGGAGTCGGCACGAGAACATAGGCAGAGATAGCCGGTTCGGGTTGCACGTCAATCGCGCGAGGTTATGGTAGAAGGTTTAGCAGTAGGATATCCACAACGATCACAAATAGAAGGGCCGAGCCGAACGTTGCGCAAGTGAAAGAAAGTTGAGATGAACCACAGCAAAAGGTTGGAGTGAAAAAAATGTGAAGATTTAGCAAGATAGAACATAGCCATCCGCACCAACGATAGGAACACCAATGAAAAGGTGACGAGAACGAACAAACGTGGAAGTGCACAAGTTAAAGAACGTCCGACCAGCGCGCATCGCAGACCATAATGAAAAAAATGCCAATGGCATAATCACAGACCAACGATTTTTGAGTAAACGGAAGGAGCAAACACAATTGACAGGTGCCAATGTGCAGGTAGCGCGACGTCAGCGGAAATTGTGTGACAAAGAAAACGACACCGCAACCAGAACGAGGATATAAGGATGGAGCGCAGCGGGAAAGCAGGGTTCCATCCAGCATACAAGATCATGCGTGCCATCAAGGTCATACACACGTCAAGGTTAGTACAGTTGTTTTGGCCGCGGTAACGCCGTCAAAGAGTCACCAGAAACGTAGGATCGGATCCAATGTCGATTGAGTTGGTTAGTATCGTATCGGGGCCAGTAATTGACATAACCAGAGCAGTTGCCATTGAAACCAGCAGTATCGAGCGCGCACGAGATCAGGACAGGGCCGTTACGCCAACACAAATGTGTTTAGTTACCACGCGAGGATCAACGAACCAAACCATTTGCAGAAATACGACCCCGAATAAGACGATCGTAAGGAAGCCACGTCCACGAAAGCAGGCGAGGAAACAGAAAAGGAAGAAAACGTACAAGACAGCACAATCAGCACACTATTTCCGATTTAATAAACGTACGAGGTCACTCACTTGCGTTGACCCGGCATCCCTGTAGCTGCGCCTTGTGGAGGCATAGGTGGTCCAGTCCATTCTACTACATCGTCGTCATCACTATCATCGTCACTGTCGCCACCCCCGCCGCCGCCGCCGCCCTGAGATGTCGATGGCCTTGGTCGCTTTGGAGCACGAGCTCTTCGATTTGTTGCGGGGCGAGGGGCGGGCGGCTTCGGTACGATTGGAGGGCGTGCGGGACCTGCCTGAGCCGTTGTCGTTGCTGCAGTGATCGGCATAATCGGGCGTTGGCGTATCTGCGCACGCTGCTGCTGCTGCTGATGTGGCGCGGCGACGATTGGCGGCGATCCAGGGGTGACAGTGGAGACCGACGAAGTTGCAGCATGTCCCATACCCTGTGAAGTCATATGCGCAATACCCGAGCCCGCAGACGATGCTGGATGCCCCGAAGACGAATCGTCGAATGAGGAGGATGTAGGATGGCTTGCGTATGAGGCCGGGGAGACAGAGTCGTGTGAGCGCGGGAGTCCAAGTAAGGGGCCTGTTTGTGCCAAAGGTAGAATAAGAAGAGATAAGCGTCAGTACGCTAGAAGACACGGGACCCCGCAATAGATGGTAGCAAAGAGACTTAGATGATGTTCGGGTTCAACTGTGCCGGGGCGCTAGTTTGGCCACGAGGTTGTTAACGCCGTCAGCGCAACTATATACAAGACACGTGGATCATTATGGCTCGCACTTCATCCTGTGTCGTGCGCAAAATCCAGAAAATGAGAAAGTGATTTGAGTGCTGGGCAAGAGCCCATTGCATCCAAAAGGGGCTCACGAAGTCTGATAATGTAATATAGCATAGCCCTGAGTATTGACGCCACATTGAGAGAACGATCTCCGTTCCTCGATCAGAAATAACTGGTGCATCTCTTGAACAAAGTGCCAAGAGCTCCGTCGACAGAATCCCATCAATAAACATTGAGCGATCCGTGGCATCACGTGTTCGGGCGCAAGTATTGACCTCGCGCCAAAATATGAAATGGCTGATAATCGGTATCGATAACCGAAAGAACGTTATCTGTTCTTCGATATAAGATAACCGATAAAAGGAGGCCTCTCGACATCAAGGCGTCAAGAACTCCATCCACAAAGTCCCATCAGCTGACCGAGTAGCACGCATGGCATCGCGTGTTCGGGCACAGACGGCCCACGTGCTTCCGTCACCCGATGCACGCATCAAAGAGCGATGGAGAAACCGAACCAAAGCGAGCAGAACTGGTCACGAAGCCAAAATAGACTATTCAAGTGCACAAAAAAAGCTCGAGCCATCGAAACACAAAAATGAAAACAACAAGCCGACAAAGTACAATGACAAACAAGAAAAACACTCACCCCCATCACTAGAAGGCGTAGGTGGCGTATGAGGCCCAAACGTTGCAAAAGGTGTGTGGGGAGACATTGAGTGCGCGTGGGGCGTGGACGTGGGCGCGTGCGTCGAGTGCTGGCAATCAAACAGTGATCGCAGGTTGGGTGTAATCGAGGAAGTTGATAATAATGTTCCAGTTCCGCGGAAGAGAACAGGGAGGGTAGCGTGAAATGATCAATCGTCAGCGCAATTCAAGATTTGAGATGAGAATGAGGAATGGAGTATGGCGGAAGGAACATAGGATGGTACATGTAACAAACAGGACCAGTGTTGCGGGATAACAGAAGAAGAAACCGAAGCACGAAGTATAAGAAAAGGGATTTTATCCCTACATGGGCGCATATATCCATGTATGCACCTCGGATAGAATAGACGGACGGACGTGTCCCGAAACAAAAGAAGAGAATAAGGCATGAACATGTCAAGAATAAACAAATATGCCCCGAAAAAAGCAAGCGTTAAAAACACCCACAAGATTGGCCGTACTCTGTGTCTGTGAGTGTTGTCGATCAATCAGTGATTCAAACGTTGATCGCAAGTCGAGCGTGATTGCAAGTCAGGCATGATTGCGAGTCAGGCGTGATCAAGGAAGTGAGAAGGTTCCGTGTCGGATGGTTCCACAGAGGAGGACAAGGGAGTAGCGGGAAATGAATGATTATTAGCGCGATTCAAGATTCAAGATGAAAATGAGATGGGCGCATATATGCACGTTCAACCCCAGAGAGAGCGAGGACACAAAGTATGGAACCCATACGCTGCCGTCCGATCATATCTGAAAAAAATGAACCGGCATGGCCGGACAAAATGGAAGCGAACAAGACACAAAGAATAAGGAAAGAGACTATCCCATTACGATCAAAGATGGAACGATAACGAGGCGCAAAATATAGGGGGAGTGCCCATGCACGGGCGCGTATATGAACGTCATCCCGTCCAAACCGGCATATCCCAAAAAAAGAACAAGGCATAGGGGGAGTACGTGTCCGCCGCCATCCAAAAATACGTCCCAAAGCCCAAAACCAAAAAGAAGCAGGAAGACACTCACAAGACTAGGCGCACTCTGACTCCCCTGCGTATTCATCGCATAATACATATCGCTCTGAAGGTAATACGAATCTGATGGTCCCGAATAGTGTTGAGACTGTTGGGGTGGATTCGGAGGGGTGTGGACCTGAGGTTGAGGTTGGGCGTGCGCAGGGACATGAGGGTGTGCATGCGATTGCGTTGGAACATGAGGATGATGGGGTTGCGAGAACTGACTCTGCGGCCTGGCCTGAGCCTGACTCTGAGAAAACTGTGGGGTAGGTGGGAATTGGGTTTGTTGGATCTGGAACTGGGACTGGGTAGGCGGAGGCGAGAAATGGGGCTGGGGCTGCTGAGCCGGGTACTGCTGTTCAGCCTGCACTGGTGGGAATTGACCTGCGATTAATTGAGTCGTACGCTGTGCAGCGAGGGCTTGGCCTGTTGGCTGTTGAGACGACTGAGGAGCAGGTTGGGCTGAAGGAAGATTGGAAGGAACGGAAGGAGGGACTTGCGAATATTGCTGGAAAGGGTACATCAGAGAGGAAGGAGAAAGACGAACAAAATGGAATGAAGAAAGTGAAGATAAAGGAAGAAAATAAACGGAAAAAGGTAAAAGAAAATCCAAGAGGATGATCGAAACTCGAGAGTCGCATAAAATCACGTAATAGGGGGGTTCAAAGACTTACTTGGCTTTGTGCGCCCCCTGCCTATAGTACCCAGAAGAGCGAGCACTACCACGTGCCGAACGCCGTGCAGCGGGTACGACGGGGCGTGGTTGAGAATGCTGCTGCTGTTGAAGTTGATCTTGAGCAAATGAATACTGGTTTGTCCCTGCTCCCTCAAAGCGATACGGCTGCTGGTATGTCGTATGTTGTCTAGGAAAGTATTCTCCACTTGGACGTGTGAATTGGTTGTCCCAGACGGTCATGGTAGGCTGCTGGGCTGTAAAGGCCGAGGCTTGAGTGGGGTCATAGAAGGAAGAGCTGGTGACGATCATCGGTTGAGATGCTGGAAACCACTGCTGGTCACCTGTAGTTGCTGGTGCGGAAGTAGATTGGTGAAAAGAAGCAGAAGAAGAAGAAAGGGAATGTGCTTGAGTGTGGGGCTGGTCATCTTGTAGTTGTTCGCTCGCTATTGAGCCAAAGAAATCGAATAAAGGATAATTAGCTCGAATAGTGGATAACTGGTGTGATGGGTACTTACAACCGGATGAAAGGTTTGCGGAATGAGTTTGATCGACATCAGCTGGCATTCGGCGGTTTGACATGCCGACTGAATTATGGTCTTGGATTAGTAGAGTTAAATCCAGATCGACTCCTGTATCGTGTCTTGGTCGTGAAAGATGATAGCTCTAGTAGTCCTATGTCGAACTTCCAATTAACTTTGTCTTGAGATTAAGATCCAGAGCAAATCCACCCTTAGTCGTCCTCGAAGATAGCCGAGCTTCCGACAAGCGCGTCTCTTCTATCCAAGTTCCCCCGGTTCTGCGAATCACCGGATTCCAATTGCGAGTCTTGAGTTGCGCGCCAACAGATTATAACTCGTGTATCGTTATTGTTCAGCAAACGAGTTGCAGCACACGCATTCTATGGCCTGAATGCTTCGAACGAGGACGAGACGTTGTCGACGAGAAAATGAAGACTAGAACACATGGCATGGCCACTCCTTATTTAACTCACCTAACTCCCGTAAGTACTCAACAATTTACCCCCACCCAATCACAGCTCGTCCACCTAATTTGATTCCGCGGATCCGGCCATCGATGACTAACCGGTCAACCTCGACAACGTGGACTGGGTATGTGCACAGCCCCCGGTGTCACATCCACTTCAGAATCTGTGCAAAAAACAAAACACTCCTTCTGAAGAGTATTGCTCTGCCATTCGAATAACATATCAACCGTGTGCTGTGCCATCTCTCCCGAGATACCCCATGCATGTTCGCCTCCACCTTGCCGCGACAGCAAAATTTTCGCGAGTACCGCGTGGTAAGTGCTGCTCGTGCCTTACAACGATCCTCCACAACTTCTTTAGTATCGCTCACTACCATTTCAAGGGTGTCGTTCTCGTGTTCGCCGTCCATCCCCGCCCCTCGTCTTTATATACTTGCATGCTTCCCCGCGCGCGCATCACTTCACTTCATAAGTATGTACACTCTCTATCAAATTTCAACGTTTCCATATCTTCGAGTCGTTCCACTTCAAGTCTTGTATTCATATTCTGATTCATGTCCTGGTCTCCTAGCTCACATAATCTTCGATTGACACAAAAAAATTGGGTGCCGCATCACACGATACGCCGCCTTCGCGCCACTTCGGCTGCATCCCGCCCCTTTTTGCGTCGCGGTATCCTCAACCTACGCGATGTCTGCGCCACGCTTCTTTCATGACGTGCCAAGTCAACCTACTGCCCCAGTATTATGTCCTGGTACACCTACACGACCAGATGAGCCCCGCTTCAGGTGACACTTTATCAACTTTCAATTCCGCGCCTCCATGCACTCCGTGTCGGCCACGTCTTTGGAACGTTTTGCCCCACATCTTCGCATGCATCAACTTCGACAATCGCGTCCTTCGAGTTGCATCTGTATGACCGACACGTTCGCGTTCACGCGCATACATAGAGCTGTCAGCACTAGCAATAAACCCTATCGTGGTTCTTGGAATTCTTTTCTAAAATCTAGCCCGTGTTCGTCTTCTTATTCCCTCACCCATCACTTCTTACTCATCACCTGATAATGTGCGTTCATAACTAGTCTTCTGGCCTAGTCTAGCGCTCATTCGTATCTTCGGCCATCGGATGACGTAGGCACATGACCCCGACTCATGAGTTGGAAAGCGCAGTCGCCCAAAATAGTATTATTATCTATTGTTATCTACCAGGTGCATCACTCTTGCTCCTAGACTGATATCAACACTAGTACTGACAGTCCGAATTCGAATGCACTAGTGCACGTGAATCTGGATTGTAAAGATGGATGATATCAAACAGCGAGTTCTCCCATTTGCTTCTTCTTCTCCTTCTCAACGTCCTCACCCCGCGCATCCCGTAATGATCAGATTTGCAACGCAGATCCCCCAGTTTGTGGCGCTCCCGTTCAGCGTCCTTCATGTATTTGCAGCCGCCACAGTATTCACTTCTTACCAGAAGATTTATACGGCGCTACGCCACGTGCACGTGCGTATTGTTCTGGATCTGATCACCCAAATATCCAATGATAATATCCATCTCGATCGCTATATAAAGGACCACCACACGCACATGCGCATGTCTGCAGGATTCCTGATCTACTCCACAATAGTGCGTATACCGCGTTTTTTTCAGAGCGATCGTTGCGTAGTTCTTTAGACAAAAATCGTTGCCTCAACTTTCTACGGGTAGATCCCCCCATTTTATCACGTGATGATCGAAGGTCTAGCGCCCTGGCCTATATGGTACGACAAGATACGTTTTGGATCATGGAATATCCGCGGCTGGGACTCCGAGGTGCGCAACATAAAGGCCAGTTCTACCACGGCACCATACCAGTCGATGGCCATACTTGTTATTGTCCGACTTGGAGCTCGCCAAGCTAGGGCCAGTTGCTCGAAGTTGGTATGTAGATCCCCCCGCTCCGTGTTACATTGGATTCTGGATGCTCCCGCGGCTTAACGCTTAGATTCCGAGGTGCAAAAGGTCAGTACATACTCTTCTGGGACTAGTCGACGTCTGAGAATCAATCATGGTTTGTGATTCACGAGGCTTACGCGGAGGTTTTACTTGTGGATGAGATATTTATGACTTGGACGAGTACTTATCACTTATAATAATAGCTTGGTATTCACTGTTGATGTCCTCCCTGCAGGCATCATGTATCCTCTCTGATTTAATATAGACATATATATCAGCTCCGAGGGGATATTCGATGTTTGGACGCGGCATGATCACTTATCCGATGTGTTTGTTAGGACATGTAAGTTCTTATCAGCCTCCTTTCATCGAATCGTTTGTTTTAAGAGTCTTCGATAGATCCATGACCAGCCGCCTGACACAACGGTGACATGGTGCGCGTATGGTATTACCACTTGGTAATACTATAGTACAATTCAATCTCTGACTTGTCCTGAGTTACATCTAACACTGCAGTTGCCTAATAAAGTCGCAAGTGGAGTTCGGATGGGTGTTTGTTCTCAACGAAGTGCTCCTAATAGCTTACATTTCAAAACCACTCTCCTTCCACTCGGTTCCCCGCCAGTGGAAGTATGTCCTCTTCCAGGGTACCAAATGCACACACATTCCTCGATGCGAACATTGTCAAGACGTGGTGGGTACCTCCCTTTCTGCTCATATCAATGCATCTAAATTTATATGTAGACGTACTACGCCCAAGACGGATTCGCCACACGCCGAATCAGTACTCATGAGACGATGTCTCTCGCTTGCAATTCAGGCTCACGCAGCAGTTTCAGCCGAGACCTCGACGCAATTCGTTTGCTGTTGCCTATGACTCTTTTCAGCGTCTGTTCACACAGTCAGCGAAAGCAGCCGCCCTCTCAAGATACCACAGACTGTCTTTTCACATCGAAGAAAAACCGAGGATTTGGATCCCTGGGAGATTAAGTGTAAAGGTGGCTGATTTCGCATGGATGAGCCTATCTCCACAGATTATATAGCACTTTTCTATATGGGTCGTGGTTAAGAAGGGGTCGTTTCAAGACATTTCACAAATATAATCCTCCACTGGAACTGTTCACTGGAGGGTCACAGAGTACCAGGGTATCAACAACAATGATCTCCACTGGAACCGTTCCACTGGAGGGTCACAGAGTACCAGGGTGTCGACAACAATGATCTCCACTGGAACAGTTCCATCGGAGGCTCGACTCCATGACAAGACAAAGACATTATGTAAGCTAATACCTGATCAACTAATTGATGAAAACCAATGTCGTAGCCCTCGTCAAGGGGAGTCTATCCATAGTCTAATGACATCAATAGGATAAGATCCTAATGAATTATAAGCAAAATACTCGAAATCGAAGGGTTCAACAAAGCAACTCAACCGTGGGAACTACTCCGATAAAAATGCAAAAATCAAGCAAAATCAAGCAAAGTCTGAACGAGGATTCGACCCGGGCCATAAGGATAAGGATAAGGAATATGATAGTCAAGACTACGATAGCAAAAAATCAAGAAAACAAGCAAAAGACAAGGATAAGGATCACGACGGTCAAGACTACGATACGATAAGCAAGTCAAGGATAAGAAACGCGATAGTCAAGACTACGATACGATAAGCAAGTCAAGGATAAGAAACACGATACCATAGTCAAGACAAGGATAAGAAACGCGATAGACTACGATACGATAACTTACGATAACAATACGATAGTCAAGGATAAGGATAAGGATAAGCAGGGCAATCATATGTTAGACCGTCCCCACCCACCCGCCCGTTAGCTCTCTCGTCGTCTCGTATAAAAACGTATTCTCTCGGTGTCTCGCTTCTCGGTTAGATAGCTTAGCAACACGCTACAATACACCACAATACAATACCCCAGCAAGACAAGCAATACAACAGCAATAACTCAGGCAAAATCAACCAACACAATACCAAAAAAATAGCAGAAATCATCCAAAATGAACCCAAGTCTGAACAACATTTTCGCCTAAGCCTGCCCCTCACATCAACCAAAATCAAGCCATGCAATACCAAAAAAATACCAAAATGAACCCAAAACCAAGCCCAGTCCTGACGAGGTTTTCGCCTAAACCTATGCCTCACATCAACCAAAATCAACCAACACAATACAAATAAAAATACCAAAAATCAAGTAAAGTCAAGCCCAGTCCTGACAACGTTTTCGCCTAAACCTACGCCTCAGATCAAGCAAAAATCAACCAAAGTCAAGCCCAGTCCAAACAACATTTTCACCTCACCCTATGCCTCAAGATCAAGCAAAATCAACCAACACAACGCCAAAAATCAAGCAAAGTCAAGCCCAGTCCTGACGAGGTTTTCGCCTCACCCTACGCTTCAGATCAAGCAAAATCAAGCAACCCAATACCAAAAAAATACCAAAAATCAAGCAAAGTCAAGCCCAGCCCTGACAAGGTTTTCGCCTTCGCTTACGCTTCAGATCAAGCAACACAATAGCAAGAAAATATCAAAAATCAAGCAAAAATCAAGCAAAGTCAAGCAAAGTCTGAACAAGGTTTTCGCCTCACCCTACGCTTCAGATCAAGCGACACAATAGCACAAAAATAGCGAAAATCAAGCAAAGTCAAC